AATTCCTTAAGGAACATTACCTGGATTTGTTGAAATCTTTGTTGTACAAAAACCTAATTTAATTTCATAATGAAATACTGAAAAAAAAATCAGAAAAAGTTAACCCAAATCGATTCGGAGACTGTTCATCTTGCAATTACCAGTAACAAAATAGTCTTTAACTTGTACATAGCACTTTTTTATGCAAAGATCTTAAATTATTTTAAAACAGTCATACAAGTTGGGAGGCTTAATAAGAGAAACAGTTTTTTCCCTAGATCATGTCAAATGCTTGTAGAAAGAACCAAATTGGATTATGCGTTTGGCTGAAACAGTGTATATTCCATGTAAAGTTTTGAAAGTTTACTTCTTGTTCAGTCCCAAAGTTGAACTCCAGCCGCACAGCATCTGCATGTCATCTCCACTGACAGTAGAATAGGCTTCTTTACTAGAGTCCTTTCCTGTGTTAGAGATACAGATACCATGCTGCATTTGATTAAGAAACCTGTGTACTGTAAAGAAACCAGAAATTCACATCACAGCTCTTTAGCTATGATCCAGTATGAATTATACCTACATAATAAAGCAGGACAAGGTCTCTCATGAAGCTAGCATAGGACATATTTCACTTCTAGTACTTCACAGAAAGAACTGTGAACAGAAAATGTAATGACTAGAAGTTTCTGCCTCTTCAATAGTACTGCCCTTTCAGCAATACATTTTTCTACCTGCTCTGCTTTGTTCAGCGATTTGAGTTCCATCTGCTCAGAGCTATATAACACAAACCCCTGCATGATACAGCAGCTGATTCTGACTAACATTTCATGAGATCTTTTCAAAGGCAGAATGCTGTTATTCTTCTAAACTTTGTTGTATATTTCACATTACCTGATTTTATTATTTTTAGCAGACCGAGAAATCTTGAAATTTGAATGTGCTGGAGATACCTGTGAAATACTCAAATTTTAGAAGAACCTAATAGAAACTTACTTCCTTACGGTATAAGGCGGGCATTATAAACATCCTACAAATAAAGTGCTCCACAATAATGGGCTTGGTTTAAGTTTTTCTTGTTCAGACAAACACATCTAAACCATCATCAACAACTAAAACAGTCAATAAAATAATTTCCATCTGGCCTATTTTTTATATTGATTTCCCCTTTTCTAAACTGCAGTATAACCTGCTACGTGTGTTTTTTTTTCTTGCTGTTGTTTGTATAATATTTACAACAGTACAGGCCAATTCTGCTAAAACTTGTCATGTAAACAATATATTTTGAGTTACTCTTTATTTTAAGAAATACCTTTAGAAAGGAAGAGTGATAACAAGAGAAATAGAAGAAACAACTCCAGAAACAAATTCCATAGCTTCTCAGGCAAACTAGGTTGAATATTTATGTATCCTACAAACCTTTTAAAAATAGCATGGAGAATTTACAAATCTGAACCCGAAAAAGGAAAAGTTTGTCTAATAATAGAAATAGTTTACCCAAAGTGTTCATAACTGTGTGCGTTCATCCTTTCAGGAATAAGCAATCTTGAATTTTCCTGTTAGCTCTGTGGTTCTTTTGCTTTTATGATATTTTTATGACTATTCAATATCAAAATTTGCTGGTATAAGCCAGTGCAAGAACAGCAAGATGCTAGAAATCACAAGTGCTTTATTAAATGCTTTCTTCATGTGGACTTCCTAACTGATGTTAGAAGCTGGCATTTTACTTGAATACAAAATGATTTCCACAGATGTTCATTTGAGTATTTCAATACATTTGCTCTTTTATTTCCTCCTCCTCAGTTACTCACAGTAAATCAATGCTTTTAGTCACAAAGATTGTGACACATGGAAGAGCTCAATGAAAAGTCTACAGCTATAAGCTAAGAGTAATTTTCAGTCCAGCATATGCACCAGTGTACCATTTTCCCTTTTGTGCAAATACATTCCAGCACTCAAGCAGCTGAGCTTAAACTTTACCTGTCTGTTAACATCTGTACAGGTACATTATTCCTTATTTTTTCATTCTTCCTCACTCAGTGTTGGAACTTTGCCTTCCTGAAGTTTTACCACTTATGTTACTGTATACAGATCAGCTATCATTTCCATTTCCTTTCCCTACTTATCCTCTGTATATGTTGATTTTATGACTCAGATGGAAGTTAACTGCTTACCTATCTTCCATCTGCCCAGCTAGAGAGAAGCCAGGGAGCCTGTATTCAGGTGCTTTGTGTCTGTGGACATTCAAACTCTATGCATACTACCTAATTAATAACTGATATTGCTGCAGATATTCATAGCTGCAGTTAAAGTCTATGGGGAATAAAAATACCGTGGGAGGGAAGGGACCCTTAAAGATCATCTGATCCAACTCCCCTGCAGTGAACAAGGACTCCTACAGCTACATCAAGTTGCTCAGAGCCCCATCCAGCCTGACCTTGAGTATCTCCTGGGATGAGCATCCACCACTTCTCTGGGCAACCTGTTCCAGTGCCTCAACACACTTATTCTACAAAACTTTTTCCCTTATATCCAATCTAAACCTCTCCTCTTTTGGTTTGAAGCCATTTCTCCTTGTCCCATCACAACAGACCTTGCAAAAGAGTCTGTCCTCTTATTTCTCATAGCACCTCTTTAGATATTGAGAGGCCTCTCAGGTCTCTTCATCAACAGGCTCTGCTTTATCAGCTGGCCTGTAGTAAACACCAACCAAAAAGGCTCCCTTTGTTGCCTCAGTCTCTAACTCTCAACCATAGGTTTTTAACTCACTTATGGCCATTCTTCAGGGATAGCTCTTCACACTCTATTCCTTCCCTGACGTAGAGATTATATGGGCCTGAGAACACTCACTATTTGTTTTGTTTTGTTTTAAGATTCATCAAACATCTGAAACACCTGGTCTGTGCTTTGCTTATTCTAAAGTAATAGTTTTCAGGAAATACCTTCCCAAATGCTTATTTCCAAGAGTACAGAGAGACAGGTGTAAAAAAGATGAGTTTAATATTCAAAATTAAGAAATACTACGTACAATCTCTGTAATTAATGCTGTTTTTTTCAATTTAAAACATTCATATCAAAAGAATTGTTGTCAATATAATCAACAATCGCACCACAGGTGTAAACTAATTTCCCCAAATGTTGTGTAAAACCAAAAGTTTATTTGTGAATGAAGAGGAAACAATATTTGATGGCTTGCTAGTTATATACAGAAGTAACAACTTTCAAAGCATGCTAGCTAAACGGCCAGCTTGGGTAGGACAATGGGGGATGGTTTTAAACTGAGACAGGAGAGGTTTAGGCTAGGTATTAGGAGGAAGTTTTTCACACACAGGGTAGTGACGCACTGGAACAGGTTGCCCAAGGAGGCTGTGGATGCCCCATCCCTGGAGGCATTCAAGGCCAGGCTGGATGTGGCCCTGGGCAGCCTGGTCTGCTGGTTGGTGACCCTGCACATAGCAGGGGGGTTGATGATCACTGTGATCCTTTTCAACCCAGGCCATTCTATGATTCTGTGATTATCTGGCTACTCTGAGTACAACGATTTTGTAATCTACATAATTTTAATCTTCACCAGTTCCTCTTAATGAAGTACTTCATAGTACTTTTTTTTCCTTAAAGTACTTAAATATTTATTTTCTACCAGGAATGTGCTCTGTTCAGCTTTCATTTGATTTTTTTTTTTTCTTTATTCCTATAATGATAGAAAACACAAATACTCAGCAAATTAATAGATAGAAGGGCACACGTGCTCTGCACTTAAAGGCTACTTAGATACTTTCAGATGTTTTAAAAACTGGTTTACTCTAGATACCTTACTGTTTAACAGATTTTTTAAAAATCTGATAGTTTAGCAAATCTAATCTGATAGTTTAGCATCTCATTTAATGGAATATTTAAAGATGATATTGCTTAATTGTTTTTACAATTCTCCTTGCTTTAGGAAGGATTTGGACTTCAAGATCCCCAGATGTTCCTTCCAACCCCTAGCATTCTGTGATTCTCGTAGTTTTTATGAAGTACAAAGTATCATGGGAAGTTGTATGGCAGGCATGTGCATTAAGATAATTTCATTTCCTCGAAGTCATAGTTGGGAAAAGAGAATACTTTTAAGCATCTATGGAAAAAATACCCAAGTCTGATGTATTTACAGTGGAAGCACAAAATATTTCCTACGGAGGACAGAAAAATTGCTTCCCACAGATGTTTCTATGGTGTGCTAAAGCTGTAGTGACACAGGGCAAGAGGTGGTGATATTTGCTTGCAGACAGAATCAATAGCTTGTGGTTGGCGCTTCCTGAAATAGATCTCCCTTGCTAGTGCTATGTGACATGCAGCATAGCTTTCGTGAATTACGAAATCCTTTGCTACTCACATGAATCACTATTAAAATATTAGAGCTATGTGCATCTTTGTGTCTGAATCCTATGAATTTTATTAAGAAATCTGAGCAGTGGACGTGTGACCGTGCAGGGGGGAGGGAATGGGAATGGGTATGAAAGAGGATAGCAGCGTGGTGAAGCTGATGGGAATGGTTTGTTTTTTAGCCCCTTTCTCCTTCCCCGACTTTGTTTTCTAAGACCTGTGCCAAATACCTTAAATGAGATGGCAAGGTGCCTTCCCGAGAGCCTGCAGACAGCAGCAGGGCACACCTTGACTGAAACTGTAGGAGAAAGCCTGCAAAACCTTAATTTTATGTGAGACAAGCCATGGCTTGCGAGGGTGGGATGCTCGGAGATGTCTCTGCGCTCTGTTAGCGATACGTATCCCGAGGAGGAGGAGGATCACCTCGATATGGCTGCGGGGCGCGCACCTGAGACAGCCCCACCAGCCCAGAGACCCTTTCGCTCGCCCTGGCAGCCGCTGCCATGCCGAGCCCTCGCCTCCTACCGAGGAGCTCCGCGCTCCCCTCCGCCGCCTCGCCTCAGCGGGGGTGTGTTCGCGCCTCTCCCCGCCCCGCACACCGCGGCCGGGCAGCCCCCGGCCTCCGCCCGCCTCAGCTATACGGCCGCCCCGAGGGAGGCGAGGGCAGAGCCCGGCTCAGGATGGCTGCGACGCGGGGCCGCTTTGCCCACGGTACCTCATCGCAGGGCTGCCGGCTCCTGTGGGCTCTGCTCCCGCCGCTCTTCTCCCTGTGCCCCGCGCACACGGAGCCCCCCGACTCCCTCGGACTCAGCCTCCACCCGCCCTACTTCAACCTGGCCGAGACGGCCGGCATCTCGGCGACCGCCACCTGCGGAGAGGAGGCTGGCGGCGGGCGGCCGGAGCTGTACTGCAAGCTGGTGGGGGGGCCAGCCGCAGCCCCGCTGGGGAGAGCCATACAGGTAACGGGTGGGAACGGGCAGGGGAATGGTGACGGCAACGGCAGGCCGGCTCCCACTTCTGGGGTGAGGGCAGGTTGCACCTGCAGAGGGACAGAACTCCGCCAGAGGCGTTAATGGAGATACATTTTTACTGTGGTAACGCTCCTTGCGTGAGCGTGCCTGTGGGAGGGCGGGCAGAGAGCAGCAGGTCAGCTTTGTGATGGACTGGGGTGATGTTTTATATCAGCTCTGTCAGAACTCTGCTTGCCTCAGCCTTCCCAGAGCTCTTCCATTTGTACCTTGAGACTGCAGAATGCCTCTCACAAAAAGCTTGGAGTGCTTTGAGGTGCTCTCAGGCTGAGAAACGTAGTTTACCTATTAGCAAAGCTGGGCTGCAGGTAGTAAATACTTCAGCTGAGGTGCAGTGATAGGGAAACTGCATGGTCTGCTGTTTGTGACGTGATTATTTTTGTATTTATTCCCTTATGTACTTGCATCCCATTGGAAATGAGGGTTTGCTTTCTGTAGAAAGAGAGTGAAAGGATGGGGGTTCCTCTTTTTAAATTTTGATGTTGCGGGCCTGGGTTAGAGGGCAGTTATGGGTCAGGGTTGATTCCATTCCCTGGAGGACTGCTGGTGTGAGCCTGCTGTGCCTCCTGCCTTCGTGTAAATGTGGATGCAGCTGCATTGCTCTCTAGTTCTAAGAAAACCCCACTGAGGTACAGCACGTGAATACATCTGTAGTTGTTGTGGTCTGAGAAAACTTGGAAAATTCCTTCCCCAGGCCAGGGAAATCCAGCCATGGAAAATGTGATAACAGCACAATGTGCATATTATCAAGCCCCTCCACTTCGTGAGTTCAAAGTCACTGCAAATACAAGAGTCTTGGTTTTGTTTTTTTATTGGTGGAAAATTGGACGGAAGCACATTAAAGTGTTGCAGAAGCTGAGCCTATGTTGATGGATTTAGATCAGCATAAGCATTTGTGTGTTGTTTCTTAACAGTCTGAGGGAGGATCAGGCAGCTTTTACATATGGTGGCAGAGATGGAGCTGCTGTGACAGTCTCAGACTGAAGTTGTGCTGTGCACCTGAGTCACTCACCTCTGGAGTCTGTCCAAAGATGGATAGCACTGCTGTGCCTATGAGCAGGGAAGTCAGAAAGAAGGTGAGAAGAGGGAATAGACAGCTCCATTATGGTACCAACACAAGCAATTAAAATAAGGCAGAAAGAGCAGCTCAGCCTCATTTCTGCTGCTTCTCACAGAATTATAGAATGCCTTAGGTTGGAATTGCCTTAAAGCCCACCCAGTTCCAACCTCTGCCATGGGCAGGGCTGCCACCCAGCAGCTCAGCTGCCCAGGGCCCCATCCAACCTGGCCTTGAGCACCTCCAGGGATAATGGGGCACCATAGCTTGTCTGATAAACCTGTTCCAGTGTCTCACCATCCTCTCAAAGAAAATGTTCTGCCTAACATCTAACTGAAGTCTCCCCTCTTTGAGTTTAAAGACACTCCCCTTGTCCTGTCACTGTTAGACCACATAAAAAGTCAATCCCTCATCTGTTTATAAGTTCCTTTCAAGTTTCTTGCATTGGCCTCTTCTTTTCATCTTGTCTTTTGGTTCTTTATATAATTTATTGTATTCCTTAGTGGAGCTCATCATCCCCAGCAAATCCTGAAAGAGCATTAAGAGGCTGTTGGAAGCCCTTCAGGTGTGCCATTCCTTCAGGTGCAACTTAGTTCAGCCACCAGGTGTAGTCTGAGGCTTGTGAGGCAGTGCTGGATGTACGCTGAGGAAAGTGTTTCTGTTACTTAGCGTGTTGGCAAGAGGGACAATAGCTTAATAAGAGCAGTGCTGAGTGAACAAATGTGCTGCAGTGCAAAATATTTCAACGGCTCTGGCAGATAAATGGCATGCCCGGCTTTGCCTGCAGGTCTGTCCACAGCAGTGTGCGGGTGTGAGTTAAAGTTAGTTGCATGCCTGTCCTGCCTTGCCAGTGGGTATGGCTCCTCTAGGTATTTGTGAACAAATCCTTCATCGTTGTAGCTTTTTAACTATATACAGATGTGAATTTTTCATCATTTTCAGTATTTCAGCAAACTGCTTTATGCAGTTTCATTTCTCTCCTCCATGCGAGAGAACTGAGGGGAAGAGGGTAACAAGGTCACCAGCGGATGCACACCTGCCTGGCTGCTGAACTGCAGCCAAAATCAAGCAGTGGCTGGGTGCCCAGGGTCCTGGATGGAGATGTGTCCTGTGGCAGGCAGGCTGGGGGGAGCATGCCTGCAGGTATAGCCAGGGGAAAGCAGGGAAAGCTGCTCAGCTCAATCATTTATTCTTTCTTTCTTTCATTTCTTTTTTTTTTTAATGTCTTCTTGGCAGGTTTGCTGGAATGTACTTTAAATAACTGAAACTCCAGTTGTTGAAGTGAAATGCTTTGAATTATGTGTTCAAAAAGAAAAAAAAAAGTATCTTGAGTTCAGATCAAGTGTTCTGGTATACTGAAATACAGAGTAGATGTATGTAAATGTGACTCTGCCATTGAATACTCCTCACTGCTTTCTTTTCATTCAGCCTTTCTTGAGGCTGTGGCTGGATCAAGGCTGGAACTGCCATGGCAGCAACTGCTTCCTGTGTATTTCCAGCCAGAGCATTGTGAATGTGAAGTAAAGGTGATGTTTCATGTGTCCTATGAAACTGTTTAGGATAGGCTTGTGGTGGTGTACTACCTATATCAGAACTCTAAGCATGCATTCACCAGAAAATCTGAACAATAAAAATGCACTCATGTGGTGGCAACTGCTGTTTTTGGTCCCTGGATTCATTTCTCAGTGTATTGCTTTTGCGGATTGTGACACAATGTTCTCTGGCCTCACTGCAGAAGCTGGCAGTGTTACTTGTAGCTAGCACAGCCTATGTGGTGTCAACTATGTTAGAAACCCATAGTGTACTGGCATACTACAGTTGTTTGTACAAAAATCATCCAAATCTTCTCTAACGGTTAGAGGAGGAATGTGTTATAACTTGATTGCCGTGGTTAGCCAGCCTATGTGCATACAGATTTAGTACATTTTTAAATAACTTTTTCAAATTCATAGAATCAGGGGAAAGCTTGGGTTGGAAGGGACCTCAAACCCAGTCCCACCCCGTGCCATGGGCAGGGCTGAGACCCAGCAGCTCAGCTGCCCAGGGCCCCATCCAACCTGGCCTTGAGCGCCTGCAGGGATGGGGCACCACAGCTTACATGGGCAGCTGTGCCAGCCCCTCACCAACCTCAGAGTGAAGAATTTCTTCCTAAAATGTAAACTGAATCTCCCCTCTTCTAGTTTAAAACCATTCCTACTTGTCCTATCACTATTAAAATGAGTTAAAATTTGATTTCCCTCCTATTTATAAACTCCCTTCAAGCACTGTAAGGAATTCTTGAGATTAATGATTCAGATCAACTGATCAGCTAATGGTGGTTGTGTCTTTTGGCACCAGTGTCGTATTCTGAGCTTGCCAGAAGAGCAGGATTAGGACAGAACTACTGCTCTCATTCCTGTGTTAGAAGTGGACAAGTATGACCTCTCTAGTTAATTTGCACTGATTAGTGCGACAGCAGTGGCAAACAAAACAATGACAGTTGTATGGAAGTGTGTTAATGCTTCCAAGGCAGGTGCATATTTAAGGCTAGGCAACAAGGGCTGTGGAAACCCTTTTAACAACCACATCTTGTTAAAAATTTGTTCAGTTAGAAAAGGAGAAGGTTCAAATGTGACATACTACCTTCTTTAAAACACAAATCCAACGCAGTGTCAGCACGTCACAGACTGAACTGTTCAAGCGACTGTCTGGCTGAAGTAAACGAAGGGGATTGTAGCATTTAATGAAAATGTCATTTTTCTGTTGAGGTTCTACAAAGAAAGATCTGTGCCTGGCACAGTTTCTCTCACGTCAATTATCTACACTCAGTGACTGGAATAAGATGTGAATTGGACAGTGAAAAGATTCCTTAATAGCTAATTTTGATTCTTCAGCACTAATCTTAGTAGACTGTACAATGCAGTTTCTTGAAGATAAAAATACTGCTATGAGACAAGCCAATATGCCAAATTAAAATTAAGTTTCCTGAAGTTTATTCATCATTATTGTATGGAACAGCATAAAGAGCTTTAGAAACTACCAAGGAGAGATTATCAGGGCATATCCGGAGTGTGGCTTCAATAGTGGATTAAAAATTGTGTGGTAACTTTGGCAGATGAAGATACAATGGGATTCTTTCATCGTCCTTAAAGGGAACACTCTGTGTAATCCATAGCGCTTTCCATAGATGTGTGTTTCTTCAAGTTTCTGATTCAGAATGTGTTATATATGTAACACGGATATATATTTTTTCATGCTATAAAATTGTAACTATAAATTTACACATTCAGAAGTTGTAGATAATTTTTTATGGGTTTGTTACTATTGGTCCATGTATATACATTGATGTTTCACAGTCTTTTAGGAGGATTGAGGGTAAATCTTATGTTGGTGCTATCCCAGCTATAAGTGTCTTTGTTTCATTACATTCCTGTGGAAGTGCCTGCAGATGTAATACAGATAATTTCAGCAACAAAGTATCAGTATTAATAAAATAAAAGACGTATTGCTTTTTCATTAAAGAGATTTCTGAAATTTCATTCTGTATTTCAAGGTATAAATATGAGTTTTAATTGCAAGAGAAATCATTGCACAAGCACACTATATACATAGAGAAGCAAGATTTAACTCAGTTTTTAGGTTGGGCTCTAATTCTGTGAACAAGAGCACGCATCTGCAGCATGTACAATCTTGACTGAGACAACCTCTTTAATTTTCTGTGTTTCAGGGACAGTTTTGTGACTACTGCAATGCTGGTGATCCCAGTAAAGCTCACCCAATCACTAATGCCATTGATGGAACGGAGAGCTGGTGGCAAAGTCCTCCTCTTTCTAAGGGCTTAAAGTACAATGAAGTCAATGTCACTTTAGATCTGGGGCAGGTGAGTGCGTGAGCTGTTGTTTAAGGTATGATCATTTCATTTCTTGCATCTACATAAAAGCTGCGCAGTTGGGAGGGATATTTGAACAAGTGATTTTAACTTCCAATACCATGTTTTTTTTATCTATTTCATGTTCTTTTTTTTTTTTTTTTTTTTTTTTTTTTTTTTTTTTAACAAATTCAACTTTATTAGAGTGATTATAATGATGTAGATTCTTGCCACAGGTATCGCCCTGATTGAGTGACGTTATGCTGTCATGAAGAGACATTGAAACTTGTTTTTCTGAGGGGATTGGCCAGGTGAAACTGGGGCTCTGCTTACATTGCAAATTCTCCTTTTTCATGAGTCCATAAGGGAAGAGATTTCATGATCCTTTGTATACACACAATTTGAGAATAATGTCCAGAGTCTGCTTTTGCCTCAGGGATCCTTCTGGTTCCTCTGTCATCCAGTAAGATCTTCAAGATAGACAGAAAAATATTGATAACATGGCCTAAAAAGGTGGAGACAGCAAAAACAGTGTAATAGGAAGTAGTATGATGATAGTAACATGAACACCTGTATTTGTTCAGCAGGTGATAGGCAAATAGCTCACAGTAAAAGCTGTAAACGTAGCTTTCAAGCCACAGGGCTGGATTCTCAGCTGCCTTAATTGGGCACTGATCCAAAGAAATTAGTTATTGTCTGCAATTTTACACCAGCTGAAAATATGTTGCTATAAATATATATTGGGGGCTACAATATATATGTGTCTAAATATAATTGTTTTTTGGTCAGTAGTAACTATTTACTGATACTGATGATAGATAGGACTGTTATTATTATTATTGTTTTTAAATTGGCTTTCAATTTAGTTAATAGCAAGAGGAGAATAACAAAGGAAAAAAAAATCTCTATGAGGCGTTGCTGCTACTTTGTTGGGGATTCAGCTGCAAACCTTTTTGCCTCTTCTAGAACTGGGAGAGAGTCATGTATAAGCTGATAAAGTTTTATGCCAGAGTATCCTCACTAGCCTAGCACACCTTGGTCTGATCTCTCTGAGTCATGTTGCTCTTTCTGATAAAATGCACTATTGTGGAGTATAGCATTCCCTGATACTTTGTGCTCCAGGAAGCGAGCTGCTTGCACCCATCGTGGTCTTTGCAAAACATAGAATAAGGTTGCAGCCTAGAGTCTGTAAATTGCTTTGCTGTGTAGCCCTTCATATTTGCAACCAAAACTTGAATGGCATCATCAGAACATCATGTAGTGCCCACAAAACTATTCAAAACTGATCCAAACCACTGTTTCCTCTGAGTCTTTGCTAGCTTCTTTAGAGGAGCTGCTGATAGTCACTTAATCTTTTATGGGTTGAGTAAAATTCTGAGAAATCGCTTTCTTTCAGGGTAGGGATGTTGACTGAATGTCCTTTTCCTGTGGGACTCCTTAGAGACCAACTGTGTGCTGAAATTCTAGTTAAAGGATTTCTCAGTAGGAAAGACTGTATTTCTCTTTACACTGGTACCTCTTGGAATGGTGACTCCAAAATCCCTTGTGAGGAAACGAGGGAAACAGAAGACTAAGGTCAAAATGATTTCAGGTCTCGTGATCAGGAAGGGATAATTTTATTTGGTGAATGGATGAGGATTTAGTAGGGCTCATATGGTTTGTTTGTTTTTCACTTCACAGACATTTTCATATCTGTGTTCAGTCAGTTAAACCCTAATCTCAGAATTGGTTTGAACTTGAGATTTACTTTTGACGTTTTGCTCAGTATTCTCCCATTCCAAGTTCAAGCTGTAGTGCACATAAGTCATAATAAAGAGGAAAAGTAAATACTGTGACAGAGTAAGTCTACTCAAGCAAACAGGTAAATACTGAGACCTCAGCCCTCCTTACCTTATTTCAGGCTCTTAAAAATTAAGATCTTACTCTGTTAATCTTGCAGACTTTCTATGCAGTTGACAGTAACAGGCAGACAGATACTTTTAGAGTACTGTTTTGCTTTTTATTTAAGGTAAAATTAATGTGCTTGAAATCAAATGTGTGCCTAAATGCCTTGCAGAACTACATGCTGTGATACTAGAAAGGTATCACAAATGTGGTTTTACTCACTGATAGCTTGTTCTTTCTTTTAATGTCACCTTTTTCTGAAGACAAAACAGAGAAGTACTTTTGCATGTTTATGCATGTCCAAAATACAGCAAAGAGTAAGGTACACATGCATGCAGATAAGCAATGACTGAGTTGTAAGTTTGTTATCAAATAATCACAATTAGAGGAAGTGGAGCTTAGTGCACCATCACAAGACTTTTAATTTGCTGTGTTCCTGCCATTATGTCTTTAAGACTCAGAGTAGAGTCCCAGTGGAGTCTTTTGCTAGTATTCTGAAGAGAATATTTAATTGAATAGTTGAAAGCTTGAGAGTTTATTAAAATGGTGTTAGAGCACCCACCTGCTGCTGTTCCTGTTTTAGAAGGACTGGGGGAGATTTTGACAATCAAAGTTCCTTCAGGATCTTAAATCTTTAAATTAGAAGATTGCTCACTTTGTTGTTCCTGGTAATATGAGGAAAAAGCAAAAAACTTGAAGCCCTGCTTTACTTCCCTTTCTGACTTTCTGCACTACAGTTACAGTTCTAATCAATCACAGACCTGAATAATAATTATAATGTTGATCCCTGAGGCAGTGTCTCAGTTTACATACTTACTTATGCTTTGGCTGTTCCTCACTTGTTTAAAATATTTGGATCAAATGAAGATTCACATATTCCTTTAATTGATCAAAATCTTCCCAACATAGTTGTCAACTCATTTTTAACTATTCGGTAACGTCTGAGTGAACTTAGCTGCAGTTTCTGTGATGCTTTGGATTGCCTGACTATAGCAGGTGTGCTCTTGTTTTTGGCTTTCTTAATGCCTAGCAAATATTACACCAATATTCCCCCAGGTGTTTTTTTCCTGAGCTCTTCTGAAGTAGAAGGTGAAGTTTCTGGATTGTGTTATAGTGTGTGGTGCAGAATAAATCCAACTAAGGTCTAACTGTTAATCTTTATAAAGTGTTGTCCATGATTTTTTTATCACAGCTTTTAGTTATCTGTACTTTTTTTACTGTGCTTTTTGTGGCAATAGTATGGTGCTGAGAGACTTAAGACTTAGTGAGATCTTCTTCAGTAATATGTTAAATGCTATTTTTTTGTAGTGATGTTATTAATTAGGCAGTATTGTAAATTGAAGGCACGAAATGGAATGTAGTGTACAAAATAGTACTTTCTGTAGGCAGGGAAGGAAACTGAAATAGATTTCAGATTTATGGTGTGGCCTGTGGAATACGTCATGTTTTTGTCACTCCCAATTGAAGCACGTAAAGAATTTGTAAAAACCTCTCATGGTTGTGTATATTCTGAGTTGCTTTTTCATGGTAGATATTTCTTATGGATTTAGTTTTTGTTTTATAGTAATCATCTGGGTGTAGCTTGACAAAAAATATTTTTTGTTGGGAATATCAATCAGTGACTGTGTTTATTAAAATAATTATTCTTAACTTATTAATGCTCTGACACTATTTCTTAAGATGGATCTGAAGTTACAGTTGTTAATTTAACAACCATTCTGTAAAATATAGTGTCTTCTCTCTTCTCAGGAGAAGCTATCAGGGTAAGCTGTACTAACCTGCCTCCAAAAGTAGTAATTGCATTCACTGTACTTGACTGCTGACAACAGTTTATAAAAGATGATCCTGAAATTAGATCCAGATAACAAATGCTCCATTTATTCCTCTGCCCCAATACAACCATCCTAAGCAGAGTTGACAGATGTAGTCACCCTAAAAAACCCCTTCTTGCTCATATTTTATGCTCTGAGAAAGGCTATTTGCTGTTCTGTTAAAAGTTTAATTTAAAAAGACAGGTTGAATGGTTTGGTTTATTATTATTTTTATGTTTGCAATAAGACATATATTGGTGTTGAGAGAATTTAATTTTTAAAATGTACAGACACATACTTGAAGGATTGCTCTCCCTAAATTTCCTGATACTACCTTCTTCTGGTTTTCAGCATCCAGTTAGGAAGACTTTTGTTCCCATTTACTGATTTCACTTCCCTCAATGTCTGTACTTCAGCTTCTGCCATCTCCCCCTCTGTGGTCCATCTCTGTGTTACTTTGATCTGTGATGTGTTGTCTTCACTTTCAACTCAACATAATAAAAGCAGAATCTCTATTGATAGCCTTCAACCCTCCATGCTTCCCCATGTTTTCTTCCAGTGCTGACAGTACTTCTGTGTTCTTTGAACTTTGGATTGTAGCCTTCATAAGGGGATGTTTATCTCCTGAACAACTGAGGTCTGAACTATATAAATGCTCTCCCAAATGAATAGCTTCAGTGTTCTGTGAAGAAATAGGCCATATGTAAGAAATAATTATGAGCATTGAGTTGGTCTTTGTCCAATTCCCAATGGAAAAATGGCTGCATGAGAAGTTACAGGATTATAACTGAGAATAGTTGATGTATTTGCCTGCAGCCTTGGCAAAAAGACCAAGGACAGATTGAACCTGGACAATGGACTACCCTTTCATTTCCAAAAGCGTTCCTTCCAGAATACTGCCTGTGAAATGTGGAGTGATTCTCCCTTTTGATCCTGCACACTGACTGCGATATAGAGAAAAGAGTTAGCATCTCCACTGAGGCATGTTCACAGGCACGATCTTAGATAACTAAATCTAGGAGCATAGCTTCTTAGCACTGGTGACTGGTTGAATGAAGAAGTGGTATGATGTCATGGAGTTGACCAGATCAATCTGTGTCTGTGACAGGGGCGACAGGCCTCTGCCCTCCCCCCCACACCCCAGTCCCACAAAAATGGGAAAGAAGGAAGGGAGGAAAAGAACAGTGGCAACAATCTATGGAGGAAAAACTTATTTTACTATAGTACTGGAATATAAGATAACACAATATATACAATTTAATTGAAATTGGGATTAATAAATCAGACAAGATGAGAGAGAGAGAGTTCCTGGGACCGATTCAAACCTGAAAAGCTTGGAACAGCTGGGAAAGCACCCTCCTGCACCCACTGCAAGGCAGCAAGAGAGCACCTCCCCCATCTGGAAGGGCCAGATCCCGTGACTGCTGTAATGTACAGGGATAGGTACCTGGGATTGGGGCAGTGACACTATAATGCCCCATACACTACATGATGTTTTGATGTGGAATACTGAAACCCAAAAACAAAAAAACAAAAACATAGAACCATGACATATGAATACAGCATGCACAGTTCTAAGTGAATGATGTTGGAAGTCCTCTGCTTATTTCTGGCTTCTGTACCCAACAGGGTGAGTCTAAGGTGTAGGGAATGGCTTCTGTGTGCTGTGCAGCGTGAGCTTCTCCAGTCACTGTCGTCATTTCTGCAACATCAACACTGCTGCATGTATGTGTGTGTCATTAAACTGTATGAAACACATTCAATTGATCTGATGCCTCTCAGACACTATCCATGTCAGCTTTTCTCCGAACCTCTACAGTAGCTTCTTTTCCAGATGCCTGCCAAAAATGCTGTCTCAGCTCTCTCTACTTGACATTTTTGAATTTCATCTGTAAAATCCATGGTTAGAGATGGCTACATATTGATTGTTGGGAGTGACGAGTAAGTCTCTGCATTTATAAGAGTGCTTCAGGTCCTACTGAGAGGTTACAAACAGAGGGGGTGCTGAACTCTTTGCAACAGCAAAGTTTCAGTTGGATCAGTAACACATAGGATTCTACTTCATTTAAATATATTATTTTTATTATTTTTATCAATTGGTCTTAGAGAAAAATCAGCGCTTGAGACCTTAATGCTTCATTATAGCAAGAAACTTTTGGGCATGTACATGCCAACCCTGTGAAATAGGTGGTACTGAGGAATGTTTTGGAGGAGTTGCATAAATGATAACTGCTGTTATTGTGAGGTAAAAGCAATTCGTGCTTCCTTAAAATCCCACTCCTGCATTGGCCCACATCTGAGAGGTTTTTTTTAATCTACTGAATGATCATCAAATTTTTACCACTTTCTCACCTGCTTTTCCAGTTTACACAGCAAGTACAGTAAGGACATACCTTTGCTGTTAAAGGACATAGTTTGCAGTCATCTATCAGTGTAGGAGCCTCACTGTCTTCTGGGTAATGTGCAATGCCAGCCACAATAGCATCATATCAGAAGCAACAAGAACAATCTATTACACTGAGGTAATTTTGGTGGTGTAGATATACCTGCTAATACTGTCTTGAGGAAATATTCTCCTTGTGGAAATAGCTGTTCACCATTCTTTTAACATTTGGATTATATGAAGAGGAACTGTTGTGGTATCTCTTTAAAACACATCCTGAAACCTTCAAGTTGCCTCAGATAGATGGTGTATCTGACCTCAGTTTTCTTATTACCACACCAGAAATTGTTATTCTCCATGAACCAAAAATGGAGAATCATCCTTTCCTACATGTGCAGCACACAGCAGAATTGCATAGAACAGAGTGTGTCTTTGTTTTGTACTAGTTTATATACTGCACTTAATGAACAATTCATTTCATTCTGTTTTGAGTTTATGGTGGAGGTGGAGGGTGGAGAAAAATAATCTATAATTTTGTATAGACACATCTAACTTTCTTTTTGACATGTATTTGCAAATACATGTCAAGAATCAAACAAGTCTTGGGAATTCCTCATTTAGAAAATTGTTTAAAATTTTGAGAAAATAGAGACAAAATTTTAAACAATTTTATTATACTTTTTTAGAATTCCCACGAGGATACGTTATAGGGGATTCTGTATTTTGTTAGCATAAATAATATGCATGTCATTAGAGATCTCTAACACTGTATCATTACAATCGTGGTGGTGTGACTCTCAATCTAAGTGAGCTCTTTTAAGAGTCTGACAGTAACCTACAAGACTTTCTGTGGAAATATTTCTCTCTTTGTGGTAGCTCTTAGTGATGAATTTGTATCAACACTTTGAGCAGCATCAGAGGAAAAGAATACAATGTGTGACAGGCTGAGGCAGGTGCTGCCAGCTTTTTTGGAGAGTAGGTAAAAGGTCATTGTTGTAGTGATTTAATAAGTGGCTACAAATAGCAGTGCACTGGAGGACGCAGCCTGCCTTCTTGTATGCTTCTTTTGTGTCCCCATGAGCTTTCTAAATTGCTTGTCTTGATGAAGTCCGATCTGATTTGATTGATGCAGAATGTCCTCCATCCTCAATAGAGCATGTGAGGATGGAATTCCTAAAGACATTAAAGCATAGGGGAAGTGAGAATACTAACAGGTAAGCAGTTGCCTGCCCAGTGCAGACTTAGCTTTGAGAGATTCTGTTGTCCAAAACTGAGAACATAAACCTGTTTTCTTTTAGGAATTACATAACTGTGGCCCTTCTCTGTGAGGATACCCGGTTTCAGTCTGAATGGCCATACTGAATTGCATGTAAGGGCTGTATGGCCAAAATCCCTACTCTTACACTTGGCTGTCAAGTGGCGGAAGCTACTTTGGCTGAGTATCAGAAACTCAATAGCAACACATTTCGGCACAATCTTCAAAGTATTCAGCTGTTTCTGACGTCTGGTTTGGGAACTTTCAGTCGATAATTTATAATTTAAGGACATTACTTCACCTGTGTAGTCACCATGTCTAGCCCTTGGAAAAAGAATGATGTTGTCAACAGAATGACTGCCATTTAATTTGCTTGATACCATTACTTAGTAAACTATGTACAGTACTGGATAGGGACAAAAATTTCTGCTCCCTTTTTTTTTTTATAGGCCATTTGCATCTGCTTTTGGTGGCTCTGACTGCTGTGAGAGCTGCTGAATTGGTCCTAGCTGACAGCTGAATGGGCCAGGCATGGCAACAGATAGCAGTCCCAGTTTGTGATTGGGAGCTTGAACATATTTGTAGTTTGAAATCTAATGATCTAAATTTGTAATAATGAACTAAATTTGACTTAGAGTAGGATTTCATGTCAAATCCATATTTGCTTTAGTGTTTGGGAGCTTTCTGCCTTGCGGTCTACGTCCATATTCTGAGTGGTTTCAGAATATGGAAGAACTGCCAGTCATAAAAATCTCTCCCATTATATTTGACACACATGAAACTCTGCAGAGACTTGCTTTTGCTACTCACAAAGTGGCAAAATTATCTAGAAATATCTTTGTAGTGAGGGAACAGATAACTTGAATTATTATCAAATACAACCAGAGGAATACCAGTGTAAAGAGTGTGTGTATTTTGATTAATGTGATTTTCCTTAACTACAAGCACAGTTATGTGTCTGGAATACAACAAGCAGAGAGAATGTGCCAGGATTCTGTAAAAGTATTTTATCTAAGTGAATTGAAATGCTAATTTTTCAAGGCTAAGTACTGTACCCTTAACACACCCCAGCCATCAGTCAGATGTGGAACAGAACCACTCTGAAATGTAACGGATGGCTTATAGTGCAGTTCTACTCCAGCTTTTTAAGTGTATTGGAGAACAATGCCAGTTGAGAAGGGTTGATACAAATACTTAGAGAACATCAGCTTGGAATCTGGCCTATTATTTTAATGGGAATGAAACAGCAGAGGATAACTTTCTCACTGTACACAGCAGAAAAGGGATTTAGTAGCATTTGTTCTAGTATGTGGTACTTCTGAGGTATTCAAAAAGCTTCTAATAGTACTTCTGTATGCTCTGTTACCAGCTCTTCCATGTTGCCTACATTCTTATCAAGTTTGCAAATTCTCCTCGTCCAGATCTCTGGATCTTAGAAAGATCAGTGGACTTTGGAAGAACTTACACTCCCTGGCAGTATTTTGCTCGTAAGTATTAAGTCTTGCATTGCTGCTCTTTTGTAGGCAAGTTTCTTTAATCATTTGCCCAGTAGCAGGAAAATCAGGCCATGTATTTTGCTGAATGTTTTAGCAGTAATGGAGGCAGCGGGTGTCAAAAACGTTTAGTTATAGATGAGAGTTTACAGTTTATATTTAGGAATTTTCATTTTTATGCGCTAAGTGAAGAAATCAGTTGTTGTTTCTCTTTAATGAGGGGAAGAAATTCTCTGAGCTTTTAGGTAAAATTTCTTTGTTAATTCAAATTAGAACAATAGTGTATATTTTCATATATAAAAATAACTCTGATTTGATCAGACTCCAAAGCAGATTGTTTGGAACGCTTTGGAAAGGAAGCAAATGTTCCCGTGAGGAGGGATAGCGATGTCATTTGCACTACAGAGTATTCTCGCATTGTGCCTCTTGAAAATGGAGAGGTAAGTGCTTTTAGAAAAATGATGTGTAATGGTGGAAGTGAACAGTTTTAGAAGTTTGCAGTTAAAGTAAAATCCTAGAACATAAAGTAATTTATTGGTTATTACTGCTTGAAACTAAATTAATAAATCCATAACCATGACTTTTAGTAGGTGGTGAAATTTTTGGAGGATGAGCTGAGTTTTTCTAACTTACACCACTGGGCAGGGCCACATGTATGGATTCTGGGCAGGGCCACATATATGGATTCCTTGTTGTGGTTTAGGTTACCTCTCTTAAGGAATATGCATTTGAAGATACTGACTGCATTTTCTGCGTGGTTTCTGTGTCTGAATTAACTTACTGCATATGAGTTCCTCATGGGACCAAATGCTGTAGACCATTCAAGAATAAGTAACTATTTAAGAAAAAATATGTAAAATACTACATTTTTAAAAATAATATACTACATGTGCTTGCAAAAGTATGCTTTGAGTTTAGTTGCCGTTCCTTTATAAGCAAAAATGTGGCTTGTGTGACTTCATTTGAAGCTAAATTCCTGGCTGTACTGTTCACTCTTGCTGGTGTTCTTGTTTTGTGTCTTAAGCAGTGAGAATACACATCTAAACCACTCCAGAATTGTCCAGAGTTTTGTGCATATGAATCTGGAGTTGTAGTTTAAAGTAGATATTGCCTACTAATGTAACTGTAAAATTTTTACAAGAACAGTTTATGTAGAAGAACATTGCTGGTGTACGCTTCAGATTATTGCAGATGTTTGAAGCTAGAAATCTGTTGTTTTTAAACAAAGTCTCTTACTCAGAGGTCTACATGCACACTGGATTGCTTATTTAATATAGATTCATGGTTGCTAGGCTGCTGGCAGCAATTTCTTCAAAAATAAAGAAGTGCTGGAGCACCTGTTTGGAAAGTCAGACAAACCTGCTTTCATGTGAAAGGATTTTGTAAAGTAACACCATGTACTTTCCTTAGGAGACTGTTAATGTGCTCTTAGGCATTGGACCTGGTAACAATAATATTTTCCAGGAATGTTTGTGCCTTAACCCAAAAATAAATGTGCTTTGGAAAAGAGCCAAAATCTGGCGTTTTCACTCAGGCAAAACTTCCGCTGACACCATCAACTGTTAATGTAACTATTTGTAGCTGTTCCTGTTTTTTTTTTTTCCCTGTCAAATTGTGTTCTTTCCGTGTAATCACTATTGTGGGTACACCATTAAGGCAGTGTGATACGAGCAATGAGAATTCAGGAGAGTCCAAGACATGGTTTTTTTCCCCGGTGCATTTTATGTTTTGATTTCAGCGTGAAATGTGCTCAGAAACAATAGTAAACCTTTTGGTTCTGTTATTAATCAAAACTTGGCTCTGTGCCCAGTACTGATACTTACAGCTGATAAGTTTTAATAAAAATATACTTACTTTTCTTGTTAGATTGTAGTCTCTTTGGTAAATGGCCGCCCAGGAGCAAAAAACTTCACTTATTCCCCTAGTCTTCGAGAATTCACAAAAGCAACAAACATCCGCCTTCATTTTCTCAGAACTAACACGCTTCTTGGCCACTTGATATCAAAAGCTCAACGAGACCCTACTGTAACCCGCAGAGTAAGTACTGTTTTTTCACAGAGGTGTATTCGATTATTTCTTTTTTTAAAGTTTGCAACACTGAAAAAAATAAAAATGTGCAGTGACCCATCTGTAAATCCCTTTATTTTCTTCAGGTCCATTTGAGGTAAGAAGGCGGCTGAGATAGCACAGGGTTAGAGAGGGGAAGTAAAGTTTTTTAACAGACTATCTTCTTTCCTGGTTTCAAATATTAAAAGAAATTGGATGCATCACTGGAACTGTTAGGAGCCTGTCCAGAAATCTTCTGAGCTGTCTTTCACAGAGCTGAGGAGCTAGATTTCATCAGCTTTATTTTACATTGCTTTCCCTTATTTATTCAAAGAGATTTTTAGGAAATAGTACCTCAGTTTCTAAAGGAGCAGGAATCAAAAAGCGTACTCAAAAGTTGCCATTTGTACATTAATTATTTGAGATGCATAGGAGCTTTCAGTGAATCTGGGGCTATCCCCTGGGGCTAAACGGCCAGAGTCCTGTTCCCATGTAAGGAAATCCCTTAAAGGAATAATGCATAGAAATTCATATACTACAGAGGTTGTAAACTTCATATTATATTGTTATTTTTAAGCTTTTTATTTAAAATGAAGACTCAGTAATAATTGGAGGAAGCTCTGGGGTGAGGCACTGCATATGTGTGTGGGTTTCTGCATCAAAAGTAACTAAAAATGTTCCAGCTTCTTGATAGCATTCACATTAAGTACCTTTATTGCCTTAAGTAAATTTTAAGTTGTTGCTTACAGGCAAGTGTAAATGCAGTATTTACCTGGCAAGGAGCATAGTCTTAATGTAAGGTACTTTTGATGTTATGGCTATGGCATGTAAGACAAATGAAAAAAACATTGAGTGTTATATTGAATTGCTAGAAGAGAGCACAAATTCTCATTGTGGAGACCTTCAAAGTCTAGAAAAGAGTTAATATTACTAAGAAAAGTCTGAGTGTTCAACTTAGTAGAGAAACAGATGAAAACCAGATGAGTTCTCTTATCCTGTCCAAGTAACTGTCTGTCTTCCATTAATGGTTTAAATTCATGGCACATCAAATTTTATAGGGTATGTTTTATGTCTATACTGTGAACTATTAATTGTTTTGGCCTATTACTAATATGATTTATTACTAAGCAGTAACAGTACAACTACTGTTAGTAGTACAGTATAGCTCTGCTAAGCTGCACATAACTGTAGACCTGGTTGTGAAAAATCTTACTATAGAAAAAAAAACCCCAAACAGTTAAATATGATTACAAGAATCACAGTAGTTATTTCTAGCTGTGCTTGAAGGCACTGGAAGCACAGATTTTATTTACAGTCTGAAAATGGTAGGCATAGTAAGAAATTAACTTGTATATTTGAATAGAGATTGTTCAGAAAAATAGTGTAGATCTCATTTCCCATCTTCTGTTTTTCACCTGCCTAGAAAAAAGTAGCTTTACAGAAGCCAGACAAGGGAGTTGAAAAGGCTCTCAGCTCTCAGCCTTGGAAAAGCTTCTTTCTGTGCCAGACAACTTCACCTGCAGTGCAGCGTATAGCCTCCTACATGGGCTATATTGTGAATGGGAGAGCGCAGGAGATAAAATTGCAAAATGTTTCAACCCTTTTTATCCACCAGTGGCATTAAAACTGTCCCTTTAATTTTTTTTCTGGAGGTACACCGAGATCAAAAATTACAACCAGCTCTTTGTTCTGCTTGGTAAACAACTTCTCAGCTATAAAAAATATGTACGGTAGTTACTATTGATATGTGCTAATGAGATTTTTAGTGAGTTGAACTTATTACATTTTTATCTTCTGTTGCCTGGATGCCTGAAAGGCATTAGGATGAGTTACAGAGCGGTTCGATTTCAGGTCACAATTTCAAATCTAGCTTGAGTCACAGATTCTTTTGTCAAAGAATTGATCTTCTAGAACTGTTTCTAGTGCTTAGTGACAACATATGATTGAATGGGCAAAACAGTGCTGCGCACACAAGCATGTCCTATTTGCTGACCAGACCAAGGTCTCACAAACTGATGCTGATGATGTATTTTACTTCTCCATCCTCAAGCTGGCTTTTAGCAAGCTTTGAGCTCAGGTACTGATGGTTGCGTAGCTGCTGGAGAGTGAAAGGCTACAGCAGTATGCAATTGTTGTGAGCTGCACAAACCTGCAAATGGATTTTGTTGCTATATGGGCATTGACTTCGATTTGCTGGAACTCACACTGAGTCATAACATCAATACAGATTTGACTATTGACTGGTTGGCTTTGCCCCTTTGTAAAATCATGCCTTTAAAATTCTGATAGGCAAGGTTTAACAATGTAGAAATAATTGGTGTTGATATTCATACCATTATACAAGAATATAACTCTGCTTGTTCCATAGTATTACTACAGTATAAAGGACATCAGTATTGGTGGTCGATGTGTTTGCCATGGCCATGCTGAAGTATGTAATGCGAAAAGTGCTGAAAACCAATACCAGTAAGTAAAGCGTGATGTTAATTTCATGCCTGCAAATGTTTTCAAATGGCCTTTTTTTTTACTGCCAAATGTACATTTTCATTATATTTTAAAAACGAGAATCTGACAATAATTGATGTGAAAACATGTCAAGAACTATTTATTCTATATGAAATATCATAGAATCATTGAAGGGCCTGGGTTGAAAAGGATCGCAATTATTACATCTATTTTCAACCCCCCCTTTATGTGCAGGGTCGCCAACCACCCCACTAGACCAGGCTGCCCAGAGCCACATTCTGCCTGGCCCTGAATGCCTCCAGGGATGGGGCATCCACAGCCTCCTTGGGCAACCTGTTCCAGTGCATCACCACCCTCTGTGTGAAAAACTTCCTCCTAATATCTAATCTAAATTTCCCGTCTCAGTTTAAAGCCATTCCCCCTTGTCACTACCCACTATCACTTATCACTATCCATCCTCATAAACAGCCGTTCCCCCTCCTGTTTATACGCTCCCTTCAAATATTGGAAGGCCACAATGGGGTCTCCCCGAAGACTCCTCCAAGCTAAACAAGCCCAGTTCTCTCAAACTTTCTTTGTAGAAGTGCTCCAGCCCTCTGATCATCTTAGTGGCCCTCCTCTGGACCTGCTCCAAGAGCTCTGTCTTTCTTGTTCTGGGGGCCCCAGGCCTGGACACAGTACTACAGATAGGGCCTCACAAGAGCTAAGTAGAGAATAATAAGTATTAGATTTTCTTTTTATCTGAAATAAGATTTAATAATTCATTAGAAACTTTTAATTCTTTTTGGAAAACACAGCTTGATATCATCTCCCAACAGAAGAAATTAGAAGGCCAACTTATGAACAAAGTGAACACACTCAAGATATGGAACAGTATGGAGCTCAGACAAGATCCAATGCTTTTGACAATTACTTGGAAAAATAAAGACAAAAGCTGAATGAATTATACCCTTTTCTTAGAACCATAGAATCGTCTGTGTTGGAAGAGACCTATAAAGGTCATCCAGCCCACATCCCCTACAGTGAACAGGGATATCTACAGATAGATCAGATTGCTTAGAGCTTTTGCCTTATTGATGGTGAAATGGTGCTTCTTTTCAGTGATCTGACTATATGAATACTTGTAAAAGTAACACATTTCTTTCAATACTGTACTCTTAATTTATTAATGAAAACAGCCGTAAAGTTAATAAAAATGTCTGCATTTTTCTGCTTGAATCTTTTGTTGGAGCAGAACTTGGGACTGATGACTATTTGTCCTTTGGATATCTGGCTCTAAATAATATTTGTTTAGAATAATAGCTGCAAAAGCTTTATCTGGGATATTTTACAATTATCTTTACAGTCTTTTAATTGTTTAAGAAGTGTTTTTATTGTCACATATATGAACAATTAGCAAAAAAAAGTGTTATTTCAGTCATTTGGCAGCAGGAGTATACTTACATCAAAGAATGGGCATGTTATCTTACTATACCTTCATTTATAAATGTACTTTTCTGTGAGTGAGCCTGAATTAAAAGCGATAACAACTAGTAATTCACTTATCTGTAATCTATAGGAAAGTTCCCTTTCCCTGTGAATTTTATCATTTACATATTAATTTCACAAGGAGCTAGATGAGGCCTTTGTGGTTCATCTGCTCTAGAAAAATGGCTGTGAATGATCAGGCTTTCTAAAACACATTTTAAGAGCCTAGTTTAAAATAGCTGTTGCTTTATCCATGGTGGCATTTAAACAAACTATCAATATAATGTAACAATTTAAATTGCTTTCTACTGAAGAATAACTGGGCAAATGAATACTTTCTTTTCACACGCCTATGCTGGGGAAAAGTAAGTGCAGAAAGCGTGAAATCTACCAGAAAATGATCACACACTAAAATTCTATTGCCCCTTGGTTATTAAGCTACGCAGATAACAGGGAAAAGCCTTTCCAGTCTCAGGGGTCTGTTTGTTACTCCTAGGACTCAGTTGCTGTGCACGATAATAAGACCTAGCTCACAATAAGAGCCTGCACTATGGAGGCTATTCAGCTAAATCAGAATAAATATGGTGTATGTTTTCTTGATTAGTATGAACTACTTTAAATGTAACAAGGTGGAGTACTGCGGTTTAATAAAGATAGTAATTGTAAGCCAAGCATAACTGAAATATGACGAAAGCATGCATAGAAAAGGGATAGATGTTTTGATTTACTGTAGGTCAACATGCCTGAGCCTTGGAATGAAACTAAAATAGGGTACATCCTAAGCTATTGATTTAGTTTGATTTAATATCCTAGCGTAAGGTTTCTTAATCCACTCTATTGAATCCAGTGATACATGTTCTCTATAACTCATTTATGCTAACAAGCCTGTAATCATATAATTAAAGTAACCAGTCATGAATAATTACAAGCAAGTTCTACTACGCTCTAGTATCACTCTTTGAATTCTCTGAACATAAACTTATGTCCTTTTCACAATACATGTGAATCTTGGACTGCAAAAAGATTAAGGAAAAAAAAAAAGATTAAGAAAAAATAAAATCCAACTTCAGTATAATAAGCGACTTGTATTTTGTAGGTTTCATTGTGAATGTCAGCATAACACTTGTGGGGAAACCTGCGACCACTGCTGCCCTGGATATAATCAGAAACAGTGGCAACCTGCGACAGCTGGGAACACAAATATATGTGAACGTGAGTAGTCAAAAATAAGTTAGTTTAAAAGGGACTTTGAGTGGGTAGGAATTAGCCGTGGTGAGTACCTAGCACACTTTTTTTTTGGACACTTTTTTTTCAGTACCGAGAAAATTCTTTCCACACAGCAATAAGGACTAAATGATGCAGTGAAAATTATTTGTGTTTTTTCTCTTCTCATTAAACAATGAGTATCATCATACCTGTGAGAATATTGCATAAGCAAAGTGGAAATGATCCTGTAGTATGTTAAATCAACATCTCTACCTAGTCGTCACTGTGCTGACAAACCACGGGTCTTCCCTAGCAGAGCAGAGATTTTATGCATCTTGTACAGCTTTGAAACTTGCCTCCCTGTTGCCAAAGGTCTTTGTATTCAGAAGAGAGAGAGAGACTGCATAAATACTTAGTTCTATTAAACTTGCAAACAGGTCACTCTAACTTGATGTGTCAAGGGAGAACTCTTGCTGTGACTTCTAGTTTTTGCTACTGTCAGCAGAGGGTACTCTGTAGGTTTACCTGTGTGGCACGAATTTTTGTTTTTGGAGGGAATAAGAAGTACTTAGTGAAGTGTAGCAAGATGCGGTCAGTCCCCCTTATGAAACAATGAAATATTCAATAAGAGTTTGCAGCTGGGAATTGTAAGACATAATGATACAGTCTTTGCTGTCTTTTGTTGGGAAGAGGATCTGAGTTATTCATTGGTCTTGTCATTGTAGCTACTATATCTTTAATATTATGAAGGCACGCAGTTCAAAAGTTTCTCTCATAAAACAGTTTTATAGAAGAAAATCTGTCCTTTGGGAATTGAACTTGCTCACTGTTTCAGAAACCAGTGCAAAATGTCATCTCTCCAAAGACTCCTAAATTTACAATGTAATAACCATGAAATGCATCTGAAAATCCTTTCAGCAGTAGAGTCCTACTTTGGCAGTGTTACACATTACCCGTAAATCAGTGCAGTACTTCTGCCTTGCTTGTCTTGGGCTCATAAGCAGTCTACTCTGAGCTTCCTGTCATTTTAACACTGACAGGGGTTTGGTCTGTGCTCCCTTCTCAAGCCAGCAGCTGCCCCTTGCTGACCTGATGCAAGTGGTCACAAAGATGTTCCTGCTGAGGAGTCCCCTCCACATGTCTGTCTTTCTGTGCTCTTTGTTAAGGAGTTCCAAGTGCTTTAGACCCACAGACTGAACAGTCAAGCTGGAGAAGCCCCTTGATCTTTTTTTCCATCTTCCATGTGTTTAATCCTTTTGTTAAAGAAAATGTAAAAGTGTGAGAGTGACCACATGGGCCGTCTTCTCCTTGAGGGATATGTAGTGTCAGGCATGAGTGTTGTGCATCTCTTTGACTGGAAAACAGTGTCTGTGGTATGGTGCTAGCCATCTCTGTGCATGTTCTGCTCTGAGCAAATGTCTTGGTAGCATCTGATTTCCCTGATGTCTGGCCTAAGTTATTTAACTTGTCTGCCTTTCGTAAGATTATTGTAGATTGTGGGTACAAACCGTTAGCAGGGGAGGCTTATCTGAAAGCCAAATAGATGTACCTCTGTAGTTAGTTTGAGGAATAAAGAGACTGCCTGTTGAATCTAAATTGCAGTGCTTAGAGTGTTGGGAGGAGGGAAAAAAATAAAAGTTAAAACGTTTGATCAGGGATAGGCATGTTGGGACTCAATTTTTGGACAATATTTGAAACCTCATCTGAATTCCCCTCTTTGAAAGAAAAATACTTTCTGTCAGGAAGAGATAGACAAAGAGTATAAATAATGTCATGTCCTTGAAAGAATGAGTTTATAAAAGTTCACCTGCAAGATTCAGAGCCAAAACAGCTTAGCTTCTAACTGCCTCTGAAAAAAATATGGTTGTTAGAATGGATTGCTTCTAGCACTTCCAGATGATTTGCTGAGAATGTTGGCCAGGTGCAGGCCTCTTGTGGAAGCTGGTAGTGAAGGAATTAAAACAGCTTCATTAACTTCCCAGCAGCCTGAGATTCCTTTGGGGGAGCTGGAAGAGCTTGGTGGGAACTCAAAGAGATGGGGCCAGTCTCTATAAGTTTCCCAGAACAGTGTGGGTCACCCAATGGCTCAAAGTTGTAAGAAGCTGCTTTGTGAAGTAGAAGGGGTTTATGTTCACCTGCCAGAGAAAATGTCACTTTGACCAAATTATTTCTCATCAGTGTTAACAGACATACTTGTGAGCTGTGTGTAGCTCACAGAAGATTTGGCTAGAAAGAGCTTTTGTTCACAGTACAGAGAAAAGGAAATGTTCATTTCTGTGCACAGATCCTCATTTTGTCTGGCATTTGGGCTGAGGGTGAAAAAAAACATCCTATCTTCATTCCTTTCAATTCCTTCCAGCAATCACTTTTTTTTTTTTTTTTTTTTTTTTTTTTCCCCCCTCCTGTATGATCGCTTCTTTTATTTGCTGACTTAATATCTTGAACCAACATCTTATTTGTCAAAACCCAGCCAGGGAACCTAAGCTTGACCTATCTGGTTCCTGGCAGCAAACCATGAGGGAATCTGATCATTTTCCTCAGCTCTGTTTTTGACAATTTCTATGAAAAGGCTTCCTTGTCCAAAGCTATTAAGACATAAGGGCATAGAGGAGATGCAGAGAATGATTCAGTTTCCCAGCTTTGTCTGTATGATCACACAGTGCTTGGAGAATGGGTTTTCCAAGAGTTATGCTCCCAGTCGTACCAGGTAATTTGAATAGTATTTGGTAGGATTACATTATAAGGAAATTCTTCCCTCATCATGAAATAGGGCCAGAGTTCTCACCTTTTGTTTTGTTTTGTTTTGTTTGTTTTGTTTTGAGGCACTTCCAGGAATCCTTTTTTTTCCAGATTGTCTTATCCCCTAGTCCAAGCAAAGGGAAGGTTTTCCCAAGTGTCAAGTCCATTGCTTTATAAAGTCAGAAGTTGAGGAACTCCTAGGAAGGTTCTCTTGGAGTGCTTAGCATTTGTAATAAAATCTTACGTAGCATCCAGATGCTTCTGGAAGGAAATAAGGTAAGTTTGTGTTAAAACCATGGTCCTGCTTTTGATTTGTTCTGCTTGTTTATTGTTATGGTTCATTCTTACTCATAATTGTATTATGAGTATTGTATTCCAGTTTTGGAATGTTTCAGTGAAGACAGAACTTTCCTTGAATGAAGGCATCAAAATTAAGAGATTAATTCTGACTAATATCTTCCATGATGACCAAATTACAAGTTACATATAGCAGATCTATTGTAAATTAGATACGTTCTCTTTACTCAAACTGTACTTGTAGGATCTATTCAAAATGTAGAGCTATTTGTCAACTCTCTTCTACAAGCCTGTCGTGAACATTGGGCTAGTCCTGGAATTTGTATTGTTTGGCCTTTTGGCCAAAGTTAAAACAGTAAGGGATTTTCTAGCTTTAGGTCTCCCACCAGCTGATGCATATACAACACCACAAGCTATCAGTGGAAACATCTCAGATTTTCAGTAGGTGATCTTCCTAGGCCAGGGCATTTGCAAGTGACATTAAGGTGCCAAGAAGCAAAGTCTCTCAGATATGTCTCTTTCTGTCTCTTCAGTCTCTTCTGAGCACTGCAATATAAACATCTGTTAGAAGGAATCAGAAATGTAACAGAAGAATTATTCAGAGATGGAGTGAAATGTATATATCCTCTGTTCAACTGTTACCTTTACTTGGCTTAATAAAAAGGGAAATACAAGAGATGAACTAACCACATAGTACCCAAAGTAAAATTTGTCACATCTGAGGCTGTAAACAACCATAAACTGGGGAAAATTCATTTTCTCAATCACCTAATTCTGTCCTTTTTAACATTGCAATTTATTATTATTACTCTTGTTACTGTTCTTTATACCATGTTTTTTCAGACAGTACATCTTTTTGAATCCAAAATTCTCAGGCATTAGAATGAATTTATACCTAAAACTTCTCCATTAAGAGAACAGCAGCTGGATAAATATATAGCTAAATTTGTTGATATCTCTTTATTTATGGTTATGTGAGTTCCTTTTGTGTATATTTTTTTATTTAAATATGTATAACTTATCTATAACTATTTATTTGAAATAAATACATAGTGAATGAGTGAATGCAGACAGATCAACCCAGATGTATTTTTGGAAATGGAAAAATAGAATAAGCATTTGAACATGTTTTTCATGTATTTTCAAAACTGCTGAGACCATACATCTGGAGATTTCTAGTTCTGCTTTTATGCATATAGTTTTGAGATGGTACAACTATTTTTTTCTCTAAAAAGCCTAGCATCATGTCCTCCTCATGTCTAGATGATCTTCCTGTGTTTCTAGCATGAAAATCTAATTGGTGATAGGTAAATATGTGCTCTGGAGAGTACTACAAAACATATGAGTGCTTGTATATATAAATTATCTAGTTGTTTTTTTTCATCTCTGCTGTATTGATGATGAATGGAGTTAAATCTGATGATGTCATGAGTGGCATTCCCCAGGAAGTCAGCACTGGGGCCTGTTCAGTCTTTGTTCCAGTTAAGGGTATTGAGTGCACCTGCAGTAAATGTGTGGATGTAAATGTGGGACGAAGTGTCAATTTGTTTGGAGGCAGGAAGGCCCTACAGAAAGATCTGTTACAGGCTGGATAGCTGGGCTGAGGCCAATGGGATGAAATTCAACAAGACCAAGTGCTGGGTCCTGCATTTTGGTCACAACAACCCCAGGCAATGCTACAGGCTTGGGGCAGAGTGGCTGGAAGACTGCAGAAGAAATGAACGTGGAATTGTTGGTCAACATTCAGCTGAACATGAGCCAGCATTGTGCCCAGATGAAGAAGAAGTCCAATGGCATTCTGCCTTGTATCAGAAATGGTATTGCCAGCAGCAGCAGTGAAGTTATCAGCACTCTGTACTCAGCACTAGCGAAGCTACTACTTGAGTACTATGTTCAGTTTTGGGCCCCTCACTATAAGAAAGACATTGATGCCCTGGAGTGTGTTCAGAGAAGGGCAACAAAACAAGTTGTCCAGAGAAGGGCAACTTGTACTCCAGAGGGGTCTGGAGCACAAGTCTGATGGGGAGTGGCTGGGATTGTTCAGTATGGAGAAGAGGAGGCTCAGGAGAGATCTTATCGCTCTCTACTGTGGCATGAAAGAGGGTTGTGGTGAGGTGGGGTTGGCCTCTACTCCCGCATAACTAGCGATAGGACTAAAGGGAATGACCTCAAGTTGTTCCAGGGGAGGTTCAGATTGGATGTTAGGAAAAATTGCTTCTCTGAAGGAGTGTTTTGGTGCTGGAATGGGCCGCCCAGGGATGTGGTGGAGTCATCATCACTGGAGGTGGTCAAGAAATATTTGAATGTTGTGGTGAGGGACATAGTTTAGTGGGAAATACTGGTGGTAGGTGGATGGTTGGACTGGATGATCTTGGGGGCCTTTTCCAATTGTGGTGATTCTGTGTTTCTATGAATTCTAGCATGGTAATGAAAGCTGACTTGGAGTATTACTTTTCCAGCCTGCAATTGTCATGGACATGCCACTGACTGCTACTATGATGCTGATGTTGATCAGCGTCGAGAAAGCCTAAATATTCATGGGCATTATGAAGGTGGAGGAGTCTGCATTAACTGCCAGGTAAAAAGATTTTGGTCATTTAAGTAAATGGTTTTTGGAGAAGGTGTACTATAGTGTTGTTGTGCCTGCACTGGTAGTTATGAGGCTGACCAGTTTAGATAGCTCCATTCCTCTACTGTTATTACTTGTACTTAGAGTAGGGAAATAGGTGTCTGAAAATAATTTGTATCATACAATATTCCATGTCAATGTATGATACATAAATTATGTTTATGTGCCGTTCTATGTGATTCAAATAAGGCCACACAATAAAACAATTAAATTAACTACAAAAAATTTCCTTTCCTGTTATTACGAAGTCTGCCATTTATCTGCTTAATAAAGGGAAGTAAAATTTCCTAAATAAAGTACCAATGCAGTCCAGCTGGTTCTTTATTGAAGCAAAACGCTTCAAAACAGAAGAGAACTCTCCTTCATCATCAGGACTAAAGGAGGACAAAGGTGGTACCAAGAAGGAAGGTTTTTGGTATTGAAAAAATGTGGAATTGTAGGATGGACCTCTGGAAGTCATTTGGATTAGAGTTCCATTCAAACCAAGGGTAGATGCAAGTAATATCAGTTTGCATAAAAACTGTCCAGTCCAGTTCTGAAAACTTCCAAGGATGGAGATTGCATAGCCTCTGGGTAAATTTATTATAGCACTTAAGTACTCTTATGTTAAAGAGGTTTTTGTTGCTGTTCACTGGGAATTTCTCCAGTTGCATCTTGTGGCAGTTGGCTTTTGTCTTGCAATGCATGTCTAAGAAGACATGGCTCTGTCTTCTCTGTAACCTCCTCCTAGATATAGAAAACTGCCACTAGACACTGTACTGTCCTTAAATGTATACTCTCCAAGCCAATCAAGGCCCTTTTCTCAGTTTCTCCTGACATGTCATGTGCTTCAGACCCTTAGCATCCTTAGAGGCTTGGCTGGTTTGGACCAACAAATGTCAATTTGGAGTCAGAGACTTCACACTATATGTCATTAATGAGTAATACATTCTTGTAAAAGAATCCTTCTCATCCTAAGTAACTTTTATAGTACTATGACTACTATCAGAAAAGATCATACAAAACTCTAAATGACTTGATCTAATCCTGGCGTTATCTGTGCTTTGAGTGAGGTTGGATCACCTGAACTGCTGAGGTTTCTACCAATATAAATTTGTAATTGTCTGTGATTTCTGGGTTAAATATAGCCAGAGAGATTTAAAAATCTGTCTTCCTTTTGTTGTTGAGTCTTCTGAAGTATGATGATAAGGGAAAATTATCATTAAGCCTATTCTCCTATGAAACCTACATATAATGATTTGTATCTATTACCATGTTGTGCATTTGAAAATATGGCTGTATTTAAGAAGCAAAAAAAAAAAGTTGATATCTAGTAAAATTTAAAGGGGTGTTTTCCACCTTATTGCCACAGTATAATCAAGCGTTGTCCAAAAAGCAATCAGAAGATAATAGAATTATTTTTTACTAGCATGAGCAGAAAAAATGTTCTTTTTCTCCTAGTCAACATTTCTGTGCACAGCTTTGTTCATGCTGTCTGGTAGGTTTATCTTGTTAGTCCTTCCTGCATGTCTCAGGATCTTAAAATTCATTCTCATGGTCACTGCATAATGCTGCCCTCAGCTTTCACATGTTCTCCCAGTTCTTTCTTGTTTGTGGGAGTCTTCTTGAACAGAGTATCTCCTTCTTCAGGTTCATAAGCCCCTGCATCCTAAAACTGCCTTTGATAAAGTAAAATTAACTTCTGAATTGCTTACTCTCTGCTGCATTGGGATGGTTAAAATTATCTTTGAGTATCAAGGCCTGTGATTGCAAGATTAGCTGCCAAAAAAAAAAAAATACTTCATCCACCTTCTTGTTCAGGCAGTCTGTAATACACCTATTGCAGTATCAGTGGTGTTGTTGTGTTTTATGATCCTTATCAACAAGCTGTGCCAGTGTTCATCACCCGACCCAGAGAATGGCATTCACCACCTGCAGCTCTGTCCAGGATGAGTCCTCTAATGTGCCATGGGTGTTAGGAATCTCTGAAGAGCATGCCCTGCAATGTGTTGAGTCCACTGTTGCACAATCTTCAAGTAGTTCTGCAGTCTAAAGCAGTGTTACTGAGTCTTGCCAGGCTACGCGCTGCAACAGCTGTTGTGTCTCCATCTACTGTGAGATGTGAGGAGCACCTTCCCTAATCTACTGTTAGCCTTTCTCAGCAGTAACTCAGTTGTGGAGATGCTAGAGGAAGCACCTGGCAGAACTACTAGGACTATTGAGCAATGTGAGAACACCAACCTCAATAGCAATGAGTACCCTGCTCATCAGCTGCCCAGCCAGCTGAACCATTCAGTCTCTGCAGCCATGAGTTGCAGCACACCCTGAGGAGGAACTAAACAGCACGAAGGGGCTGAGGGCTGATGTCTGCTTCTTTGCTTGCTCCAAAGCAAAATTTACAACTTTCTCTCATCCCTTGCTCATGAGACTGACTCCGCCAGTGTTTTGTGACTCCTAATTACTCAATTTATGAACGCCATTACTGGTGCATGCTCCTGTCACCTTCACCACGAGGGAGAGCTTTACTACAGGAGTTACAATTTTTATTTTTTTTTTACTCAGGACTTTTTTTCACCTGAGATGTATTTTTACTGTATTTCGAAATACGTATGATGTTTTTTTCTGTGTTTCTAAAACATATTTGTAGAGATGCATATTTTTGTAATGGAATAACTATTTTGTCTGTGTTTCATGTAGACTGCTTAGGTTTTGGATTATATTGAGGTTGCTAATATTGGATAGTGTATTCGTAAGAAATAATAGCATGAGGAAAACTCCATGCAGTTGTCTGTATGATGTACATGTTGCAAAAAACAAAACAGAAAGCAGTAGAAAATAAATATAGTGATAGTGTAAAAAGGAGGAATTTTATTACTAAATTGAAATTACTTTCTGTTAAGTAGCTCATTTTCATAATTTGAAGTTACAATTTGGCTACTTTATGTGAGAGTACTGCAATACAGAAAGCTGTACAGATGAAGTAGTTAAAGAACATCAAATGACAAATGCTGTGCTTATTGTGTAAATACTTCTTTTTTTTTTCCTTTTCCTGAAATGATCCTTTCTTAGTTGTGTATAGGAAGAGTGTTAAGGATGTTATTGTTTCTTAATTCTCCTTCCAACTTCCCTTTTTTAGTTCATATTCTCCTCCTGTTTTATTTTGCACAGCATAATACAGCTGGTGTTAACTGTGAGAAGTGTGCAAAAGGTTACTATCGTCCTTACGGTGTTCCAGCAAGAGCTCCTGATGGCTGTATATGTAAGGTCTTCTGTATTCAGTATCTTCTCATTGTGGTAGTGATGTTCTGGCTTAGTGGATTTTTGTTTGTTTGTTTGTTTTGGTTTTTTTTTTTTTTTATGTAACAAGTGCAGGGGATGCATATTTTTGGGAGGGGAAAAAAAGTGCTCAAAAGATATTTGAAAAGAACTGCAAACACATTGTGTTGCTTTAGACCCCCTCAATGATGTTCTTCTCAACACGTGTGGCTTCAGGCCAGCAGCAGGACAATAGCAGGAAGTAAGCCATAAAAGGCTGCTGAGGAGGTAGGATCAACTACATGCCCCACAGCTGGCATGACCTCTGAGAAGCCACTCTTATCTCATAACCTCGTGACTTTGCTTCTCTTAGCTCTCTTATTTACATCTCTGTTGGCTCTTAGTCACTTGTAAATTTTATTTTATAACTCAAAAGGTTCTAAGGATTGTTGTTCCTACTTTATCTAGTGCTGAATCATCTGTAATAAGTAGTGCAATGGGATAATTGCTAATGTAACATTTAATAAAGATGAGCTGAGTATAGATAAGAGCGAAGAGCCTACGAACAGGCTGATGGAGCTTTGTGTTAAGTAGGAGGAAGCTATGGTTTGTTGTGTTTGATATGGATGGAAGGTCAAACAGTGATGAAAGTTCTACTGTAATGCTGCATGTGATGTGTAAGGGAAGGTGGATGCTCAGCCTAGACTTTGGAGAGAGATGAGCAGAAGCCACAGAAAAAATAGATGCTATGCAGAATAATAACGTAATAAAGTGCAGCTTTCTGGATTAAAAAAGTTAAACACTAAGAGCATCTCACCTCTAAGGGGCGTTGTAAAGAATAACTGATGATATAGAGTACTTGGGGAAATATGAAATGACATGCAGGTGTTAATTCTTGAAATGAGGAGATACTCACAACTGTAAATAACATTATAATGCCATGTTGCAATGCTCCAGAAGGCAAATTAATTCATTTCCAAGAAGTGCTAAATTTCTTATCCTTGCTTAGCTTGCCCTTGTGATCTGGAGCGTGCGGAGGGCTGTGAGGAAGGATCAGGCCGCTGTTTCTGCAAGTGGAATTTCCAGGGAGAAAACTGTGAACACTGTGCTGATGGATTCTATAGTTTTCCATCTTGTATCTGTAAGTATGAAAATAAAAATGTCTCTTCTCTTGCGTTGTAAATGTGCTTCAAAGGACTGTTTTCCGTACACTTGATTTATTTCATCTGTTTGATTCCTCTGGCATTTCAGATTTTCATGTTCACATTTTCTGAGAAATCAGTAGTCATAACACTGAAGAGTCTGGTTTACTTACGAAGCAGTGGTTCCCTGAAAATCAAATAGGTTATATTGCATTCTCAGAATTCGTGCAAGACATCTCTCTGTCCCTTAGTCATGAATTCCAATCCTAAAGCCATTGGAGCAGTTCAAATGTGTCTCAGGGTCATTATGTATAACTTACTTGAACTAGAAAGTAGGCTATTACTAGGGAGAGAAAAAGGAGAAAATGGTTTTGTGTTTTCTAGGTCTCAAAGGATTTGGAACTTGCAACCCTAATAAACCAAGTCTGTGGGCTTTCAGAAGATGCTAGAAATAATTTAAAATAGTTGTAAATTACCACCTGCATAATGTTGGAAAGGCCCTCCTGGCAGAACATAAAGCTGTCAGTGGTGCTTTCATACTTTTGCTGGACTGCAGATAAGTGCAGATAATATGGTTGAAGGGAAGGCTACAGGTTTGTTTGAGATTTAATTGATTCAGGGAAAGATGTTTGCAAAGCCAAAGAAAATAAATGCATGAGAAAAAATAACGTCACACAAATGCCGAGTGCCTCCGTTTATTGAAAATGGTAACAGAATGAAATCAAATGTCATTAATTAATTGAAAATTAGATTTTTACTTTAAAACAGATTAAAACTATGCATTGGCAATTGAGAAAATTAAATGTTTTCCCCTTAGGAAGGTGATATAACATCGGAATTGTGTTTACTGCAAAAAAGCTTATGACTCTGTGATCTGATTCTAAAAATGCAACATTTTTTGTCTCAGATTCTGGGGTTTTGAGTACTGAGTCATAATGGCAAATAGCAGATGAACTTTCAACTGGAAATAAAAACTTTGAAATAAATATGTGGTTCCCCAGATACTCTCTTAATGCTGTCAAGAACAAGAAAGCTTTCTGTATGAAAACAGAGAGAGCAGGAAAGCAATGTACTAGCATTTCCAAAGCATGTTTGGCCTTTCATGCGTTTCTTTGTGGACAGACTTTTACCTGATTTGGAGAACAAAAGTTAAAAGTTTCTTAGACTTTCCTAACGGAAAGAGAACAAAACAGTAATTGATTGCTTGAGTCATGTAATTATCATGCTCTTCATCTCGACAGGACAGTACTTTATAATTTGTCATGATTTTTACTGAATAAGTGCGTCTCTTTAAACTATACTTTATTGTTTCTTTTGTTTTAAAGATATTCCTGTTTATCCTTTTACTTCTCCAAATCCAAGAGATGCTATAGCTGGTGACATAATAGGCAAGTTCTTTGAGTTTTGTTTATCTTCCCACTTGAATCATTTTTCATTATTTCAGTAGCGCTTGTTCTTTCAGGAAGATTTATTCAGTGTTGCTATTTATCTTTTGAAGCGCCTTTTTTCTTACCAGAAGTTCATTACATAGTCTTACTCATATTAAACATTTTAGTAGGTTAGCTCCCAAAAAGTTATGGATCAGAAACAAGTTTGGCGACCCTCCGGCAAACATCTGCAGAAGATCCTGACAAGATCTTGTTAAATACTCACGAACAGATCCATCAAGGCTTTCTGACATGTACCACTTGTCAGCTGCTTTGCAGTGTAAATCTCTTAGGGCTAACTGGCCTCTGTTTCTAGGCTGTCTTCTTACACCTGGCAAATTGTACATTGCCTTTGGCAGTAAAGAACTCACATTTCTGAGGGATAAGTATTTCTTATTTAGCCCACCCCGAAGCTGTCTGAAATACAGTGATTGCCTCGGTGGGTTCTTTAGCGTATGTCATCATACTGCAGTACTAAGACATCACAGCCTGTGCCAGAACAAATGACTACTTGAAATATACTTCAGGATTAATAACTTAAACAAACAGACGAACAACAACAACAAACATTAGAATACTTTGTAATATCCTGAAAGCAACATAATTCCACTTGATTTTCCACTAGTTTTTGCAAAACACACCCACCAAAATCCTTCCCTCCCTTCTCCCCCCCAGAAAAACACCACAGAACAAAGCAGGAATAGGTAGAGAGTGCACGTCCATTTACAAGTTCTAAATCCCTTGAAAATGTCTGCTGCTAGTATTATAGCTCACAAAGCTTTAGTTTTGGGTAGACAGATATCATCCCTGGATAGCATCAAAAATGTATCATGTAGACTTAAGGTATACTCTGTTGCATATTCTCTTACATATGTTTAAAATAAAGAAGAAAAAAAATTGCAATGATAACATGAGGAAAAGTATGCAGGAGAAAACAGGTCTTAAAACTATTTACATTTTCAACAGTAGTATCTCAATCTGAAGGCATAGGAAAGGTGGGTGTCTTTAAATGGAAATTTTTGTACCTGAAGAATTAGTGCTCTCAGACTAAGCTTGTGATTATGATTTACTTTTCTAATGAGATTTGTGTGTAAGGATCGTACAAATACTTCTGTTAGCTCAGTAGTAATAATTACTAAGGACCAATATCATTTTCTCTGTAAAAATACGAGGAGTTGCATATTTTCATGTACTAACTTCTGTTCCTTTCTGTCTTTTTGTTCCTACTATAACTAGAAGGTGGCTGCAAAGCAGGATACTTTGGCCCCCAGTGTCTGCGTAAGTTCTCTAGTTTCTTTTATGCTTGGAGCCGGATGTCCAGTGTAAGTGCCAACATTTGGCTTTCAAGTTAAATACTGTAAGATTTGTAACACTGCAGATGTTTTCTTTGCAATGTTCTCTCCAGCGTGCCAGTGCCACGGCGCAGGAGTGCTGGGTGGCGACTGTGATGGAAATACTGGGCAGTGCAGATGTCGAACTGGATTTCAGGGATTTTCCTGTGATACCTGTGCAACTGGCTATTTTCATTACCCTTTCTGCCAGGGTAAGCCAAAGCATTCCCTTTCAGCAGCTGTATCCAAAAATAAAGATTCATACTTTGTACTGTGAAAGAAAATCTTTTGACAAGGAGATGTGTTTATAGCAAACTCTCCCAAAACTCATGGAAGTCAAAAAAGAAGAAGAATCTGATAAGGAGTGATTCCTAACTAAAAATGCCTCTATTAATTGATTGCTGCCTATTTTATGATGCAGATATCAGATTACGTTTAACTTATGCTTGATGATATCTAAAATACCAGTTGAAACATTTCTGTTACTTATCTTTTTTTAAATTTAATTTTAGTTTGTAACCTTACTTTGATGAGAAAGGGCAGCTTGATGTATTAACACCAGAAAACTGTCTCTTTTTAGAGTACTTTAATTATTTGTACTGCCTTCTTATGCATCTTACTAACCTTTCCTCCTGAGACTGTAAATCCCAAACCATAAATTGTTTAATTTTAGCCTGGAGAAGGGGGAACTGCTTTCAGTGGTTGAAACACCACTTAGGATTGATGAGTCTGTCCATGAGTGAGGACAGACTGTGTGCTTTTGCACTGGCATCGAACTCCATAGTTACTTTGAGCCAGATTCTTTCTTTAATAGATTTTCATTAATATCTACCTCGATACTAATTCCTACTGATGAGCAATCAATAAAAGCTAATAAGAAACAAATGTGACAGCCTGAAAAGATTCTGACCATCAGAGAATGTTTTTTTCTTTTGTTCTTTCTTTCTTTTTTTGTTTTTGTTTTTGAAAGATGAAAGAAGAGAGCTCTCTAGAGACTGCATCTGAAAATTCTTTTCTTGGTTGCAGTGTGTGAATGTAACTCAGTGGGTACCCAGCCTGAAGTCTGTGATTTTCTTGGAAAGTGTCTTTGTCGCTCAGGGGTAGTTGGACTTCAGTGTGACAGCTGTCAGCCTGGCCACCACTCTTTCCCTGTATGTGAAGGTAAGGTTGCAGACTGCATGTATCCAACAGACCCCTGAACAGGCTAACTGCAATGCTTTTAATGTTGAAGGGGGTTGAAGTTGTATTCACAGCACTAAGTGAGCAAGACACTCTTCTTTTTTACAGTGAAATCCTCATGCATTTTCATTCTTTAAGCAGTAATTCCAGGCATTGTTTCCGTACTAGGGAATTATGCAGGCTTTTCTCATAATCAGACTGATTTAGCTTCAGTTAGCACAGCTGTCTTAATAATAACTAAAAGATATGAAAACTGTTTTAATAATGGAGGCCTAAAGCAACAGAAAATACTTGACTGCTGGCAAGGAACTGGCATGGTAAAAAAAAAAAAAAAAAAAGCAGAGCTGTGGAGAGCTGATCTACTTTTGCAGAGGATCTGTTTAGTTCCTCACACAATGTGTCTTTTGTAAATTTGAAAGTGACATTTTGCCCTTCACAGTGATTTCTTACTCATTTTAGCATCATATAGCAGGCCTTGAACATATAAATGTGAAGCATGAATGATCTCTGTGTGGTTTTGCCAGTGTATATGATGTCAAGGACTAGCCTACTGTTTACATGAAAGGAAAATTGATCAATACCAAGGGAGTATGTTGTTGAAAAGCATAATACTTCTGTGTGTTCATGAGGGTACCATTGAGTCCTATCTGCCTCTATGTTCTGTCTGCTTTTGCAGTGAATGAGAGAGACCCTTAATCCTCAGTAATTCTTGATAATCCCTGCCCCCAAAAGTAGCAGGGGAGTGGAAATTGATGATCTTTAATTGATGATCTTTTCATTGATCTTAAACCGTTCAATGATCAGTGGATTTTACACTGAAAAAGAATGTAAGATATTGCTGAATTTTGATGCCTAATTTCCTGTACAGAATTTATATAGAACATGATGATTCGACACCTTCTTCCTTATTATTTCAGACTATGGCAATCTTCTTTTTGGACTTTGTGTACTTGTTTATATCCAGTAAATAGCTAGATTCTTTAAGCACTCTCAAAGATGTATTGCACTGTGTTACCAAACACAATGGTTAGAATAAAATAACACAACATGACTGTATCTTAATGGTCTGGAGTAGATTAGCTTTTAAAAAATGAAAAACATAGAATCAAGTTTTATGTTGGTGCACCATGCTTAGTGGGCTTTAAAATATTGTAATTTTTTTCTTTGAACTGAATTAAGTAGAAATCTTAAAGCAAATCAGATCCATATTGAATATGTTCAAATTTTTAACAACAAAAGCAGAGAAGAGACAGAAAAGTTTAAGAAAGCATGCAAAAATGAATAGCAGAAGGCAGGCAAAGTAGTTGAAAACACAACCAGTGGTATTACTCAAAACTGCTGCTGTTCGCAACTTGTTCTATTAAAATAAGCTGCTGTTAGTCAAATTTAAATTAATGCAGCATGCTGTAGACTGTGGTTGAAGATGAGCAGCCCAGGCTGATACTCCTTGGAGCTATCATATTCTGAAGGGAGGTAGTACTGATAGCTTCTTGGCTGCTGCAACTAAAACTGGCCTCTCTGATCTTGCCTTGTTGAAATCTGTAGTATTCAAACCTATTCAATAGCAGCAAAAATCTAAGTAATGCTTTTATACTAATTAATGCAGTTAAAATAAGGAGAAAACATTATATAGTGTTCAGCTGAGAGTAGACAGCTGTGGTAGTGATGATTTTGAAAGCTTTAACGTTTATATTTTTCTTATGCTAACTTCCTAGCAAATCCTGTGTCTTTCCATTATACTTTGAAGTAAACACAGCAAAGCCTAATATCCTTGGCTGCAGTAAAGGAGGAACTGAAAGGGGAAACTGGGAATATGAACATGGAACAGAAAGATAGTACTTGAGCAGTGTTTGTTTTGTATTTCTGTCAGACAGTCATTTCTGTTAGCTGTATAATACAAGTGATTAACTGCAGACCTTAGCAACTGGGATTCCCAGATGGGCTCCCATTCATGTACCTTAAAATGTTCACTTGTGTAAATTCCAGCATCATTTCCATAAAATAACAGGTCTTATTTATGATAGAACTATTAGCCTAAAACTGATAAATCCAAGGGAAGTACCCATCCAGCTAGTTAAGTCTTACAGTGTGCCTGCTGTATCATACTTGTAAGGTTATTCTCAGGCATCAGACCTAGTTTAGCCTTGAAGTTGCTTTTTGTCAGAGATTATTTTTTAAAAATGTTGAGTACTTCTGTCATGTGCCTTTTCTTTCAGTTTTAAGATGCATTTCTGTTCCTTACACAGATATTTTGTAAGGAATAAGAACAGATCTAAAAACTGTATACCATAGAGTTTCAGGAAGAATATGATTATCAGTGTTTGAGCAGGCAATTATATTATAAACATTTATTTAAAGATATTTATATTTGGTGAAACTGTTTTGTCTGGATTCCCCATGATTATTTGACATTTAAAAGTGACTTCTTTTTGGCAAATTCTATTTTAAAATAACTACTTACTTAGAGATGCATCCCTCAGGTTATTCAGCTATTCTTTTTTTCCTCTGTGCAGAATGCAATTGTGACTCTACTGGCTCACTGGACAATACATGTGATCTTAGAGGACAGTGTCAGTGTCATACTAACTATGCTGGATTTAGATGTGACCAGTGTGCTCCAGGTTACTACAGCTATCCCAGCTGCTTGCGTGAGTAACAGCCTTTCCTTTTCTGCTGAGGGGTTGCTGTCTCATTACCATACAGTACAGAAGGAAATCATTTTTTTCTCGAATATATTCAATATAAAACAGCCTATGTAAGCATGGTAGTTTCCTCCTTTTCAAAGCTGACAACAGAAACACTGTTGGAAGTCATAGAATCATAGAATCATAGAAGATGAACTATTGAAGATCCAGCCAGTTTCCAGGCAGGCACACACTCTGGTAGCCCTCCCTGGTGCAAATTGCTGTTCCTGTTATCTGTACTAGTTGGATTAATGTAAGCACAGAAGTGTTTGGCCTTGGTGCATTTGTACCTCTCTTTTAAAACATGAAATCTAAAGCTTAGGCTTTAATGGGTGTTCTGACTCATTACATTTCAAGAGTATAAGTTTCATTGCAACTGGTTTGGCCTTCTAATATGTGATACATCGTCTTGTAAACTTCTAATTGCATTAGTATATGCTCTTGACAAGTGATAAAACTGTGCCATAAATACTAATCTAGAAAGGCTTGACCCTGCAAATTTTCCACAATATCAATATTTTTCTTCTGCCTAAGTGTATTAATTGATCAGGCCCAGACGGTGTGCGTTTTTACAGCAGGCACAATGAAACCTGCAGATGCTGCAGTTAAAACAACGATCTACCTAAACATTCTGAATAGGACTGTTCTTTCCTAGAAGTGAAAAGTGTAGATACTAAAGGAGCAACATTAATTAATGAACTATGTGGATAATCACAATAATTTTAAAATAATAAAAAAATAACCCTACAGGTTTGTTATTCCTTTTTAAGAGGTAGGCCTATTACTGAAATAGTAATTTAATTTCTTTTCAGCCTCAGATTGTGTCAGAGCAGTAACTTGTTTCCTGAGCTACAGTGTTACTTTATTTTACATTACATTATGACCATATATGTGTTATGTAGGTGCTTGAAACAGTAAGATTGTTACACAGTTCATTTTAAAGTTTGCTTTAGTTCTCCTCACCTCTCAGATGTAAAAATGTAGTGAGCATGTATATTCTGTATTTTGCCATTCTTTTTTAAGTGCAGGTCTAGAATTCAGGAAAGATTTTGCCCTGTTCTTTCCATAACTGTAGGAAGATTGAGAAAACAAAGTCAAAACCAAGAGGGAACAAAGATGGTCGGAAACAGATTATAGTTCCAGATACCATAGAATGAGTTGGGTTGGAAGGAACATTAAAGACCATCCAGTTTTAACACCCTTGCCATGGGCAGGGCTGCAACCTACTAGATCAGGCTGCCCAGGGCCCCATCCAACCTGGCCTTGAGCGCCTCCAGGGATGCAGCACCTGCAGCTTCTCTTGGCAATCTATTCCAATGCCTCACTACCCTTTCTGTTTAAAAAAAATCACCTTAACATCTAAGCTAAATCTCACTCTTTTTATTTAAAACCATTCCCCCTTGTTCTATCACTATCAGATAGTGTAAAAAGTATATTTCCCTCCTGTTTATAAGCTACATTTAATACTGGAAGGCTACAGTGAGTTGTCTGTGGAGCCTTCTCTTCTCTAAGCTGAACAAGCCCAACAGCTCCCTCAGCCTTTCCTCATAGGAGAGATGCTCCAGCCCTCTAATCTTCTTCAAGGCCTCTTCTGGACCTGATTCAACAGCTCCATGTCTTCTTTGTTTTGGGTGCCCCACGCTTGGACACGATATTCCAGATAGGGCTTTACGAGGGCACAGCAGAAGGGGACAATCACCTCCTTCACTCTGCTGGCCACTTCTCTTTTGATGCAGCCCAGGATACTGTTGGCCTTCTAAGCTGCAGGCACACACTGTCAGCTCATGCCCTGCTTTTTGTTCACTGGGAACTCCCAGTTCTCCTTGGCAAGGCTACTCTCAGTGAGTTCTCAGGACAATCTGTGCACAATCTGTGATTGCCCTAACCCAATTGCAGCACCTTACACTTGGCCTTCTTGAACCTCACTCAGTTGATGTGGGTGCACTTTTCAAGCCTATCCAGGTCCCTTTTGCTGGCATTCCTTTTTTCTGTCATATCAATTATACTTATTCCTGTCAATAAGATGAAAACAGTGTCAGGATGGAACAGACCATCTCCAACTTCTACCAGCAGAGCTGAGAACCCTGTGAATTACTAATTTCAAATAACAATGATGAACTCTCTATGAAGTATTCAAAACCTCTACAGTAATAGAGTTTTTGAAAGTTATTGCTTGGTATGTACAAGATGGACACCACCAATATTTTTGACACTGTTTTGTATTGTAGCTTGTCAGTGTTCTCCTCGTGGTTCCCGGCGCAGCATATGTGAGCCAACGATGGGGCAATGCGAGTGTCAAACGGGCATTACAGGGAGACAGTGTGACAGGTGCATTTCTGCAGCCCACAGTTTCCCCTACTGTGAAGGTAATGCTTGAGATGGAAAGTCCTCCATTTAACTCATATCTCCCCCCATTTTTACTGTGGGATTCTCCTGGGCATTCTGCTCTGTGGAATTTTGTAGAAACTTGCTGATGTGTAGGAAGGGGGGGCCCCATAGGGAGTCACAAGGTGTGCACATTAGATGAATTCATTCATCATTCTCTATGTTATTCTAAGAAAATATCTCTCAGTTGTAGGTTGACGCTATATTTTTCCAAGTGACTGCATTGCATACTGAAACAGTCTAAACTAGGCTAAGTAAATGTTTGAATAACCATTATAAAAGGCTTCTGTTGGTCTTAAAGTATTTAAGTCACTACAGGGTGACTGGATTAAGGAGCCCTTTGAAAGTTGCAAATGTTATATTGTACTTTTCCATTACTGTATTTCACAGCTGTTTTTCAAAAGATCTTTTAATGCTTTGTTTGTTTTTTAAATTTCATAAAGGAGTCAACAGTGAATGTAACCCTTCAGGTAGCATTGATTCTCATTCTGTAAGTATTCTGTTGCTGCAAAGAGCAGTATCTGTTAACAATTCATGTACAGTCTAGGTCTTTGCTGGCCACATTCACTTCATTGCCTAAGTGCCTGAAGCCTAATTTTCGACTGCGAAAGAATTACACAGACTTATTTGTAGAGTGAGAGTGGAAATGACCTTTGTGTTTTGCTCTTTGATTGTATCAATGCAGTTCCCTCCTGAGGGTGATGGTGGTTGTTCTTTTTATATATTTTTAATGTGGAATATGCATACTGTTTATGTATTTGGTGTTCTTGAATCATAACATATACATGCAGATATGCATTCGTGCCTGTGCATGTCTGATTCTGGGTTGATATAGAGCATTTTAGCGCCAAATTATTCTTGAAAAAATTATTCCTAGTAACTGCTGATATTCTGCTATTATCATTTTCAATACTGTGATGGTTATTAGTAGCATGCTATCAGAAATCACAGTCAGGATCAGAAACTCTTATAACCCATACATATGGGTTGCGATGAAGACTGGCAGATGGAAGAGTTAGGTTCATGTACACATTTGTGTGCGTTTTCCACATTTTCTTTAAGTTAACCATATGCAAGATAGTTACTCCCTGGAAACAGTATTGATATATCTGAGCAAATAATACTGCTGAAAGACATCCATGACTCCTTTACGAAAAAGGATAGAAAAAAGAAGGTATGAAAAACAGAATTCAGTGGTATTTGCCTCTGCTTGTCCATGAGAACAGATGCACATAGGAGTAAAAAGTGTTGTTGTTGCCTCAGAAAAATATGATTTAGCTCTTAATAATTATTTTTTCAATTATTTATGAATGGAGAATATGAGAAAATATGATGGAGAGAAATAAAAATGTGCCTAAATCACTTCTATAGAAAGAATTGGACCTCATGTCTACTATTAGTATGCCATTACTGTAATTTGAAAAAAATTACTGGTAATATTAACGTTTTAATTTGAATTGGTTCACATTACTGCTGTCTTTTCTACTCTGCCCTCCTAAGAAAAAGAGAGCAATAAAGGAGGAAAAAAGACATGAAAATTAATGACTACTTTTAAGGAAAATTGTATTTTAAAGTTTTTGCAAAGCAGTTAATGCTTTAGAGCAGTTCTAACAAGTCCATAAAAGTATTGCAAAGTGCATCTGTTGGGAGATTTATAGTAATTAGATATGGGAAAATAAGCAGTCTGAAACAATCCTGTGCTGATAGCATGAGAAAGAAAATCCAAGAAGTCTGAATCTGCCTCAGTTTCCATGCTTCTGTGAAAGTCAGTAAGCTGCCTGAGTTGCTGTTAATAAAAACAGTAAAAGCTGTTTTTGTGAAACAGATGAATTTCTTTTAACTCATTTCTGTCTTTAGGGCTATTGTCAATGTCTTCAGCACGTTGAAGGTTCTACATGCAGTAAATGCAAACCGTTGTACTGGAACCTGGCTGAAGAAAACCCTGAGGGATGTACAGGTATGGCTTCACGACGTTTTTCTTTGGGTAATGAAATGTGCTTTATTCTTTTGAAAATATCTTCATTAGCTGTAGCCGCCTTTGCTGCGCAGTGCCTTTTTCAACTTGTTAAGAGCATGTTTTTCCACATTATTTAATTTAGACACCTAATTGCCTGTGACAGCAAGGGACAGCAAGTGTTCTCTGACTTGCAATGATTTATGCTTCGTATGGTCTTACTGCAGTTTTACAGTATTTCTGTACTTAATGCTTGAGACCAGAATCTGTCTTATTATTTTGAGAAAGTAGGTTCTTATTCATTTATTATTATCTCCTAGTTTGTGCATACTTCAATATTTAACAGTCCAAGCATCTCAGATTTTGGTTTTCAGACTTCTCATGTAATTGGTCATCTTTGATTTCAGTCACAAAATTAGTACTGGATTTCACCAAACCTCTAGGTCAGCATAGCTCATTCCCACAACATTTTCTTTATCTGTATTTCATATGAGAAATTGTGCTGGTCCCAAGGTAGCACTGTAAAATAGGAACTGCCACTCAGGGTGAAAGACACAGTTTTGCTTCAATTATCTTAATGTTTCTAAGAAAGAAAGCAATTCTAAATCCAAACTCAAGACTGTTTTTATTAGATACAATTAGAATTCTTTAAAATACATCAGTTAACATGCGCACAAGTTTTCATTCTTCTTTGCTTTTTCTTCTCACCTTGTGCCAGTATCCATTTGCTGTTCTGAACCTTCTGGAGTAAAATCCCCCATGTTACACTACGACTCAAAATTGCAGGTTAAGGATGGTAGTGGTTGTTGTTTTCCTGCTATGTATCTTGGAAAAATGAAATGCAGATTTTCTTTTTCTTTTTCACCTGGGCAGCATGCCTGTGCGATGTGAGTGGAACACAAAGTGGAGTTGGGGAGTGTCGGCAGGTAAAGTGAAATTCTAAGAAAGCCATGAATTCAATGATTTCTATAAAGATAAAATACTGTAACACATGGTAAGGTAGAATTGCTATGACACAATAAGTGACTACTGATATCGTAATTCTAAACATTCTTAATCATCTTAAACATAGAGATTTTCTCATCTTTTCATTAAACTTTGTGAATAACAAGTTATGTCCAGATAATACTTTTTTGTTGAGATTAGAGCAATTTTTATTCTTTACAATTACAGTGAATGCAAAGTATTGAAAGAATGAAGTTCTGGAGAAGGTGCTGAAACATTTTTGATTAAATTATTTTCTTTGTAGGAAACTGGACGTTGCTACTGCAAATCTAATGTGTGTGGAGATTTCTGTAACACCTGTGAAGCTGGTTATTATGCTCTTGAAAACAAAAATTATTTTGGCTGCAAAGGTAAAGAATGTTTCTAGTAGCACACTTGCATTTAACACAGAAGCGTTCGGCATTCCATAGGTTATTTTTTCAGATGTGGATTTACTTACTGAATCACTTTTGCACTGTATTTTGTACTATTGCTTGTAACAGAAGTGCAAGTCTCGGTTTGAGCTGAATGAATTTTGCACGTGAAAATTTTCTTTCTTCTTCCAAAAGGAGAAAGAGCAAGGCAGATGTTACCGCTGTAGTTCTCAGAAGTTTTGTGACTTTCAAACTTGAGAAAAATTGTTTCACTTTGACTTCATCATCTTTTGTCTCTCCATCCCCAGTACCTTGTTTACTAACACCTGTCTGAGGATTTGTTCTCACAGCCATTTGTGTAATTGCACAAAGAGCTGCTGAAGGTTACCCAGCGCAGAATCAGTGTAAACTTGGGCAATCCTACACTCTGTGCCTGGCATTCATTTCTGCACGTGTGCTTGAGCCTCATTAATGAAGCTCATCTCATTAATCTATTTTGAAGTCTAATACCTCCCACTCTGAAAGGATTTCAGTGAAGTCAGGAGTTAAAATTCAGTACAGAGTATAATGAGATGAATAACACTCTTCAAAATACTTCATCCTAGGAAAACACTTAAGTGTCATAGGTAAAAGACAAGAGATAAGGTAATTGAAGGTCATTCCTTCTCTTACTCTTATCAGAACACAGGGCAAGGGATGTTTGATTTTCCTGTAGGCATTATTTGTAAGGGTGGTAGCTCTCTGTTCTGTTGAGCACTTTTCTGAAGTCTTCTGTTAGATTAAAAACTTACCCTGATATTTTTTTTTCATTTTTTTTCTGATATGTTTGTGTATTGCTTTAGGCTGAGGCTCAATGTGTTTTGAAGCACAGCATAGCAATGATATAAAGGAAGCAGTCATTCTCTTGAAGGATACTCACTCTGCCATGTATCTTTAGGGCTGTAGGGCCACATCAGTGGATCCCGTCCTTCCTTGCCCCACCTGGGATTTGAATTTGTTCAGTTTATTGAAAACACTTTCACTGTCTTCAGTGGGCTTTACACCTGTCCAAGGATGATGCAAGGCATTTATTTTTAAAGCATGATGCACTTTTAGCAATTATTTTATATGTGCAAAGTGGGAAAAAAACAAACAAACAAAAAAAAACAACTAACCAACCAAAAAACCCAACAAAACAAAGACAGATCTATCAAATAAACCTTCCATGCTTAATTTTCAAACTGAAGATCTAATGAAAGGGATCTGTCTTCACAAATTTGAGGAGTACTTTAATTCTCCTTGATTTCAGTGAGATTACAGATGCTCAAGATTCTGTAAATATGCTTAGGAACTCTCAACCTTTAAGTCAGTTTTCAAATATTTAGCTTGCATATACTTGTTGCTTAGTATGATATACTATGCCTCATTATTAGAGGTGTTCTTTACTTCTTGCCAGGAGTCCTGTCTCCTGCATCAAGTCATTCAGTGCTTTTCAGTATTGGTTAAAAATGTGTATATGCACGTATGATTTTGTTATGTTGTGGTACTAGATTCTGAAAAATGAACTTCTTTCTCCTTTTGTAAGCTAGATGTCCTTTTAAATAATCAATCACCCTGATATTAACACAGAAATTCTTGCTTGTTAGCAAAACATTTGAATGGCTGTTCTACACAACTGTGGTTCAGCATTTAATAAATGTGGCTTTTTATTTGTGATTTAAAAATAAAATAGTGGTCTAATGTTACAAGCAGAAAAAAGAAAACAGCATTAAAAGTGAGAAGCCAGAAATAATTGCAGTTTATCTGTGGGTGATTTGATTTGAGGAGGGTCTAAAGGGCTCCGGAAGGAGGAAATGAGTTGATAGTAGTGCTTAATTAGAGGAAGTGAGGTGTGTTTTCTGGGAAGTTTTACCATTTTTTCTGATCAGATATTTGGCTTCTGTTCTTTACCTGGCAGGCTGTCAGTGTGATGTCGGAGGATCCATCAGCTCTGTGTGTGCTGAACCCTTGGGTGCCTGCCAGTGCAGAGAGCATGTTGTGGGGAAGGCCTGTCAGGAGTGAGTCTGACTGTAGCAAGCAGCTTATGCTTCAGAATAGTTCATTTGAAACTGCACATCAGTTCTTTGCTAGCTTTTCACACAAGATTGTGGATTTATTCATAAATAAGCTGGTAAATTTTTGCATGCTACTCATTTTGTCTGACAGTTTTCTTCTTTTGCCTTAGTAAGATTTTTTAAACTTGGTTTTCTTGAATAACCAATACAAGTTTTGCAATCACAGTGCATATATATCAATGTATCTGTATCTATCAACAGCTATATAAAAAGGTATGGCTGTAAAAGCTCCTAATAAGGGAATTTTCATTCAATTTTATTAACTGCTATGAGGATTCCTCAGTGATCGATAGATCATTTCCCTTCATTTTTTTATTCTTATAGTTGTAGACCACACAATGATTGGTAATTCTTTCAAATTATCATGGTGGTTGCATGGAAGTTTCTTGCCAAAACATGCTGGAAGTAGGAGTGATACTCGACTTACAAATTACAAGGAAATGCCATAAATTCATCAGGTGCTGTTAGCTTAAATAGTGGTGAAATGAAAAATCATTTCAGAATGAATTTGTTTTAGCTACTGAGTGACATGGTTTAGGTGCATTACTTAACATATCCTTACTTCCAATTTAATATTAAAGGTTCAATTAGTGGTTATATTTGTATTTTACACTGGCAGGAATACTTAAACTGACAATGAGAGCAAATATGAAGATTCAGAGGAAAGAAAAGTTTAAAGTTTCCTTGAAAATTTAACTTTTTTTTTCTCCCTTCTTCTTGGAAGACCCGAGAAAAACTATTTTTTCCCTGATCTGCACCACATGAAGTTTGAGATTGAAGATGGTACTACAGTCAAGGGAAAGGAAATTCGGTTTGGCTATGATCCTGAGGAATTTCCTAGCTTCAGTTGGAGAGGATATGCCCAGATGTCTGCTATACAAGTAAGGTGGTATTTCGCTCTATGCTTTGGGTGAGAACATAGATGTATGATATGTGTTCCCCCATTGTACTACTTTGTGTGCGCAAGGTCATGAGCAAAACTGAAGACAGGACAGGATCTCACTGATCTGAACATTTTGGCACTCTGTCACTGTTTCAATTATTAACTGTTCATGTTATCTGAAGTTGATTGTTGCTAGTGCAAATGTGTTCTTTAGCAGTGTCATTTGAGAGTTGGTTTGGTGTTGTGTTTTTTTTTCTTCTTGAGATGCATTTTGATGTAGGTTTAAATTAAAGAACTAGTAGATTTAAAGTATTAACTGCAGGAATTAGTATCATTATAACGACAGCCAAAACAGTAGAAGATTGACATTTGGCTAAATCGCTTGGATTACAGAGATCCATAGGAGTCTGTATCCATGAGATTTTCATCACAGAGGCAACGACAAAGCCTTCACACTTGTGCCTCGTGTTGACAAGGAAGAGAAATTTTCCAACTTCATGGGGAATTATACCTTTCCATTACAGCAAACAGGAAAACGTGTGAGTCAGTAAAAAAAGATGAGAGCAGCAGCTCTCACTGGCAACATTTTGTCTCTTGACAGGCTAGAAATAAACAACAACAGAGGAAATCAGTACATTACTAGAAGAAAATCAGCAAAATTTAATTGTATGAGGACCTGTTCGTGGACTGAATTGCTAAGCAAGTGTACCAGGACTTTGAAACAGTAGATTTGAGCAATATGGAGCAATATTTGATGGAATCAAATGGATTCCATCAAATGGAGTTTTTTCATTGTAGTCTCGAAGTAGTACTCTGCTGTGTGCAGTACTCTGCTGATGAGATTTTTCAGTCCTCAGTTATAATTGTACTCAGCCTCTGTAAGCTGTCTGAAGGCAGATGGGCCACTCCAGACAGACACGAGTACATAACCATTGTGCAAGCTGACTGGTTTTCTTTCTATTATTCTTTTTTTCATTCTTTCTTTTTCTTTTATTCCAGAACCTCCTTTGTGTCTGGAGTTGTTGGTTTTTTTTTTGTTTTGTTTTGTTTTGTTTTGTTTTGTTTTTTTGACTCTTCAGAATTATTTCACTTTCACAAATGAAGGCAACTGCTCAGCAGCTGTGATTTCTTAACTTCTGCTTTCTAACTTGGAGGCTTTTTGTGTTTCATGTCCATCTGGCATTTTGTGAAGAAGTAATGACCAGTTTCTAATCTTGCTGGTAGCATACATTACTTTGCTCCCCTGAGTAAAGCTTTTCAAGTCATATAACTAATTGCCATATCTAGGGACTCCACAGTTAGATCCTTGCATAAATAGTTGTATGTTGTCCATTTCAAGGGGCTTTCAGAATTTTGGCATAGCTTGTCTGTATCTTACGGAAATATTCTTGATATTTATTTTCTGAAAGATCGATAGTGTTACAATATCTGTCACACAAAATTCTAATGTAGCAACTTTTTGTGAAGCTAAATTTTTTTTTTTTCTGAAGTGAATAGCCTGTGGATGGTACACAGTGCTGCTATGCTGCATCCATGCTGCTAACATGGGTATTTCATTATGGACTGAGAAGCTGAGAGCTGTATCAAGATTTTAAAGCACTGCCAAGAACTACCTAAGTCTGTGGCAGAGTTCAAAGAATAATTTTTCACCATTTCCTGCTTTTGCTTGAAGCCAAGAACTGACATGTATTTCTCCCTCATTGCTCAAGTATGTCAGTTTTCTTTCTTCACCTGTGTCTTCTAGATATTCCACAAAAGCTTAGGAACCCTTTTGTTAAACTTTCTGAGGCATGCTTATTTCTTTCACCTTTTCTTTTTTATTTCTATCTATTTTAAAGTGTTCCCTCGGTGCCTGTCTTATCCTTCAACAGTCATTCTTCTCCATTTAAAACAACAGTTGTAAAACCTTCCCCCACGTTTGTTTTCTCTCCTGATCTGCAGTTACTGATATTTTGTCCATCTAACCTTTGTAGATCTTGCATCCCTGTCATCTATTGTATGTCCGTCTTTGCTTTCTGCTTTGCTATTTAAAAAGTGGAGATATCTGTGATGATCAGAATCATACAGAGTTGGCACTGTAACAGTTTTAGCAGGAAGAGAAAATTTGTGCTCCCTTCGGAAAGGTATAGAATTTGGAAAACCTCTGTGCTTTTGGAGATAGAGAATCAGCCACAGTTGTGAGAAGGTTAACATACCAGAAGTGTCTTGAAATGGGATGCTGAGTGGATTATGATGATGGGAGTTGGATTGTGATGGGGGCTTTATAATTTAAGATGAAAAAAAGAAACCAAACTCTTGAGAATGCACCAAGCATTTTTTTTATTTTCTTGTTTTTTTTTTTTTGTTTTTTTTTTTTTATTTGTTTGTCTGCCAGCAGCATTTGAACAATTCTTTGCTGATTCTGTTCTAAATAATGGGAGCTGTGTGAATTCGGTCTCCTGTGAGCTCAATGCCAGACCAGGGCTGATGAGACCATATAGTTCCAGAGATGTCAGTTCAGCCTCATGGCAAAACAGTCATGGTATCGCATATCTAAGATGCTGAGTGATGTGGTGGTGGAGGACTAGAAGAAGTTGCAGTATCAGTCTGAAATGTCTGCATGCTGTGGAGCATTGTGTGTGATCTCAAAGTAAAGTCTATTCCCTTAATGCCACATGTTGCAGAGGCAATGTCACATAATGCAGAGGCAGGGAGAATTCCAGTAAAACACTGCCCTTGTTTCAAGGTGTAATATCAGCATACATGCTAGCTAAGTTATTCTATATCTTTCTGGGTAAGCTATTAGTTCAACAAATTTTTTACAGGAGGTTTAGTTCCATATTCTTTTGTAAGCTGCCTGAGCCTTCCTTTTCTGTTATAGAGTTGTCTTTGCCAAATGGTTTTTCTTTCTCTGGGTGCTAGTAACAAATAATATACTTTCCTTTCCTCCTTTTTCTCTTTCTTTTTATTTTTCCCAGCCAGAGGTGGTTGTGACTGTCACTGTGGCTTCCCCTAAGCTCTTCCACCTAGTCCTCCGCTATGTCAACCTGGGTTCAAAAAGCTCTAAAGGAAAGATTTCAGTTGCTGAGGGAAAACATTTTGGCACTAATTATACTTGTAAGTGAATTAATTTTCTCATTAGGCTTACCTGTCTTCATCTGTTATACGCAGCACTGTCATTCTTGTATGTACTTGTCTGCATGTGCATTTTTCTTGTAGGCAATCAGTATGGTGCTTGCATGGCTTCTAACTGTTCTTCTGTTTAGCACTTTATGGCTGTTTTTGTTTATTAACTTCAATTTTTCAGAACGAAGTGAGGATATCTTTGAATGTGGAAAAATCAAACCTCTCCTTATTTCGCATTGTCCTGAGATATATTAACCCTGGAGGTGAATCATTATCTGGCCGCATATCTGCTTGTCAAACTCGGCCTGAAACAGGTAGGTATGACTCAACAGCACAGCAGCAGATCAGATAAATGATAGATCAGAGAAGCCATTTCAAGATACTACTAATTCAAATTTGTATTGTCACTTAAAATGCATTGCTTTTAACGGTGTCAGTGCTTCTGTGCTTTTCCTAATATATTTTGCTGTAACTGATGTGGCTATGTTTGCATGAAACTTCTGCTTGTAGTGGGAATCAACTTTTGTTTTTTAAAAGTTAACCAAATTTGGTACTTTCAGTTCTGTCCTCGAAAGCTCTGAACTGTGTGTTTTTAGGAAGATTTCAGATAAAGGATAACAGCACTTGATTTAGTTGCCTGTAATATTTCAGTTTAAAAGTAGTTTCTCCCTTCCTGCCATGAATAATACTTATTTCATGATGAACCCTATCAATCAAGTTAGTTCTGTTTACAGACCTCGACAACATGTGATGACAACGTGTGCTCTGGTAAAAGATAAGTACTCCATATCCTTTGAATGGCAGAGGCATTCCAAGTCTGCATTTAGGATCATCTTGTATTATGCCTAGCATTATCAACCTGCTGAGAATCAGTGGAATTTAGTCACAGTTCCTCTCAGTAGTTTGGAGAGGACAGATCTGAAGACAGATCTGAAGTCAGGTACCACTCATTAGATTAGAAGCAGCTTCATAGTCAAGTCTGGCTTACATTGCCTGGCAGACAAGGGAACTTGCTTTAAATAAAGCTTTTGTCTGTGTCTTGGAGCTTCCAAGAGGAAACCTTTGCTATCCATAACGTTTTAGGTGCTTTTGAGAACCTCTGGTATCTAAAATATGCAGCAGAAATTTGTATAACAGGCCTTGTGTCTGTCAGTAATAATGGCAGATAGAGGTAAGAAAACATTTCAGAATATTGCAAAACTGGCTATTATAAGGGAAAAAGCTCTTTACTATAAGAGTGGTAAGGTGCTGGAACAGGCTGCCCAGAGTGGTTGTAGATGCTCTGTCCCTGGAGGTGTTCAAAGCCAGGTTGGATGGGGCCCTGGACAGCCTGGTCTAGCATTAGATACGGAGGTTGGCAGCCCTGCCAGTGGCAGGGGCGTTGGAGCTTTTGATGATCCTTGAATTCCCTTCCAACCCAAGGCGTTCTATGATTCTATGAAAAAGTTTGCTTTTCTAAACCAATTTTCTCAAGACTAATGAGAGTGAAGATTACAATAATTGCATAATTCTGTTATTTACTGTGTGCAGTTATTAATATGTATTAATAGAAGAGCATTGATAAGCTCCTACCGGACCAGGTATAATATATGTAATAATAATAAGTCTAGAGCAATAAGCAGGTAGAGACATTTTACAGTCTTTTATTTCTATTTTTATTTATTTATTTCTGCTTGCAGGTGCTTCTCAGAGCAAAGAGTTTGTCTTCCCACCCAGCAAGGAGCCAGCTTTTGTCATGATCCCAGGAAAAAACTCCACAGAGTCTTTCTCACTGGTTTCAGGCACATGGACTGTCAGTATAATAGCAGAAGAAGTCCTCTTGGTAAGAAAGCAATTGAGGAAAACAAGTGGTTGAAGACTGCCATGATTCTGTAATTATTTGCCAGAAAGAAGTCTGGAAGCAATTGAAATCCAGCATTAGTGAAAGGAGTACAGTGGCACGATTACCTTCAGACTCTTACTCCTTTTTTTTTTTTTTTGTTTTGTCCTCTGACTTTTATCTGCTCTGATTTTTCATGTACTTACAGGCTTTGAGTCTATCCAAAATATGTATCTTCAAAGGATGAAGCAATATTAATATATGCAACTGGTTGAGCATAAAAGCTCATATAAATTTTTAATTCTTACATATCAGGTGTCATATTTAAAGCTTTGCTACAGATGCTCAAGTTGTTAGTTTTCTAACAAAAATTCATCAGAAAAATATTAAATGGTGGGCTTGATAATTAGAAGGTGATTTTCTAAATGTTTTTAATGCTTCTTCCACACATTTAAAAGTTCTCTGTGAAAGCAGTTCTGGGAAATTCCTGTATAATAAATAAATTAATAATTGTGGTGATCGTTTGTGATCCTACATCTTTAAGTTTGTTCATAAAGATACCACACTGAAATTCATGTGTGTATTTTATAGAGTTAACAAGTACCCACTATCTTTAGTCATCATCCCTGAGGCTCTGTAAAATTTGTGCAATATTGTGTAAAATGTTACTAAAAAGCTTGCATGCATATTTCTTACTGAAAGTGACAGTACTGTTGTGCCTGTTTTTTTTAATAATACCTTTGAAAAGGAATTTGTTAATGATCTTAGCCCAGAATGTTTTCACACACACACACACACGCACGAAGTTTTTAATAAGTTAGCTTAAATATGTTTTTATTGGAAAGGCAGAGCAAAAACAAGCCAGCATGTCTTACCAATACACAAAGCACATCTTAAATAGATTAAGCAACTGGATCATTGGGGTTATAAACCAAGATCAACCTTGAGTTAGAAGATATGTGTTTCAGAGCTAACTCTTAAGTAGGAGAGGCTTTTAGTTTCCAAGGCTCTGGGCTTGATGTGTCCTGTAAGGTGGTGGGGATATGGTGGGGAAGCTCTTTTATGAACACCATCCTGTACAATATGTGATGAAATAGTGGCTGCAGAGTTTCCCTGCTCACAGAGCAGTGCATTTCTCCCATCTCTGTGAAGATACAAATAGAGTTAACAAAAGATAAGTAACAACAAAAGCATGTGTCTTGCAGATAGATACTCTCCATAAAATTTGTTTCTGTAGTTGGTTTTGTGCATTGCTACATTGTGAAAGTCTGGAGATGTTTCTTCTGTATTTTTCTGCATGGTCTTGCAGTTGTTGTATTCTTTGTTTTTAGGATTACATGGTGCTGTTACCTAGAGATTATTATGAAGCATCCATCTTGCAGATCCAAGTTACAGAGCCTTGCACCTATTCAGGACATGTTTCAACAGAGAAGTCAGTATATATGCTGGAAAATAAACTATTGTGTTGGGTCATATTGTTATTATCCCACTGCAACTGAAAGCAATAATAATAATGTGTTTTTTTCTTTTTTGTTTTGTGTAAGCTGCTTGCTCTATCAGCATTTGCCATTGGGCAAATTTTCCTGTGTCCTTGCTTCAGAGGCAGTATATTTCAGGCATGGTGGAAAACATGGAATGCCTGTCCGACAGCCAACTCCTGATCAACCAGCGATGTCACTTATCAGTGGAAGTGAGGTTAGATTCCTGCATGCTAATTGCAGTCCCATCTGCACTATTAACTATAAAACTACTGGATTAAAACAGTTGCAGATTCATGGCTTAGGATTTGCAGATCTTTAACTCATCCCTACAGCAGACTCTGTGTTAAGTTCTAAATTTTTTATAGATTTTAAAAGATTAATATAGGCACATCTATAACTGTGACCAGAGTAGATGTTTCACTCTGACATAACTGTCTTATTAAATAAAAATCTCTGTGTTTCAGGCATACTGTGTTGTTCAGCATACTGCTTAATTATAGTAGAAATTGCAAAAGGATTTGTCCTCAGTGACTCTTAATCTTTTTTTTTCTTTCCCTTAAATAGCTATAGTTATGTAAAATTTTTACTTCATTTAAAAAGCAGGCAGAAGAAAGTATGCCACTGCTGTAAGTCCATTGAAAGAGAAACATGTTTTATGAAATTGAAAATTGTACTAGAAACATGTTTCATTTGGGGGAAAAAAAAAAAAAAAAGAAAAGAAAAGAAAACATTTTATTGTGTGATAATTACATGTAGAGTGATGATTATGTCCTCTATTACTGTGGCATTAGCTTTTAAAAACACCAAGTACGACAAGGATACTTACGTGCCACAGGCCCTGGTGCTTGTTTGCAACTACTGGTAATTTCAGTGAAGTCAGGATGGCTGTTGACAGAATTATTTGCTTGCTTAAATGTTCATAGCTTCAGGACATTGAGGAAAAACATCTTAAATTTGAATTGTATGGCCAAATGTAACAAAAAAACTGTAACCACAGCACTTTCCATTCAACTACTTTGGAGTATTTTCTGTAAAATATTAATTTAAGCAACTTGCAGAGATGAACTAACAGAAAAAATAGTTTTTTCAGAAATTAGCAATGGCTATGTGGAGAAGATGCTTTCAGTCTTCATAGGGAATCAGTACACAGTACTTCAGAAGTAGAAATTATGTTCATGGAAATGTTTATGTAGCAGAGAATTAGAGTTCGCTTTTATTTGTTTTTAAAGATAGGCTAGAGATGAGAATGACAATTTATTAGCATCATTAGAATTTCCTCACTGGTAAATTCTACTGTTGATAACAGAAATAATAAGCCTCAGCTTATCTTGCAGATCTGCTGTTATCTTCCCAGAACTGTTAAATGGCAGCTGTTTCCTGAATTTGATTGACTCTCATTAGTAGACAAAGTGATAATTTATAAGCACTACTTCTATTCTGTTGGATTGTCCTTTGCTGTGACAGTACTAGGTTGGCTCTAGACTAATGCTGACTGGTTTGGTTGGAGGACAGGAAAAGGGAGCTTCCTGCAAGAAAAAAAATGAAAAATCTAAAGACTTTTTTTCCAACATTGCTTGACCTAGGTCAATTTACAGATGACCATAAATGTTCCTCAAGTTGGTCGCTATGTTCTTGTTTTTGAATACGTCAATGAAGATGATCAGTTATACACTGCTGAGGTAGCAGTAAATAGTCCTGGACCTATCACAGAAGGCAGAGTGAGAATATACAGTTGCAAATACAGGTGAGAACTTCCAGGTTAAATACTAAATGGTTAAGCAACCATTCAGTATATAATTATACCTTTTATATTTTGGAATCCATTGTGCTATATATGTTGTTCAAATACTGGATTGACTAAAAAGCAAATACGTGATTGTCTGGGTATTGTATACGTTTTTAAGTCTGTGCAGTCAGCACATTAAATATTGCTGCTGCTTTAGTGAACTTTTTCTGTACAAAGAGATTTTTTATATACACTTAAATCTTTATAAATTATGAATCTTGGGGTCCAGTAGCAGGGCATCCAGCAGCTCTGTTGGCAGCAGATGTCTGCAGTATTTATACTTGTTTAGTTAAAAGCAGTCTGAGGGTTTGGGCTATAATGAAAAGTAGCAGTCAGTACTACAAGGGTGTTCCCACTGTTGTAACAAGATTTTTTGAAGCAGATGTATAAATGTTTCTCTGAGTTTCTGAGTGTAGCCATCCTTTGGCTGTTGGGCTGTAGGCAAGGTTGTAAGCCATATGCTGATTTATCCTTGTTGACTGCTGAGATTACTGGAGATGTTTCAGAGATTTTGCCTGTCCTGGTGAGATCGTCCTTAACACTTGAGCAATTCAGAATATGACTCAAATGTGATACTGCAAGTGTCTGTGCCCCTGGGAGCGTGAGGAGACTGCTGCCATGCATCAATTTTTCTTGTCAGGCAAATTTTGAACAGATTGGAGGCTTGAAGCTGTTTGGGATGAAACTGCCCAGTAGGAAAAAATTGTTTTCATCAGCATATTTGTGATACAGAGCAGAGCTATGTGAAGCAGTGACCTTGCAAGGTTATTGCTAGACAAAGTTCTTATTTTAGCCTGTTGTGTAATACTTTGAGCCCCCAAACACTTTTTATAGAGCTTCAATTTTATTGCTTTTATAGCAAACATCTCTTATGGGCTTATTTTGATCTTACTCGTTAGTGTATCTGTTACACTAAGAGATTAGTCATGGAAAAAAAAGCAACAAAGAAAGCCTTTGCTACTTAAATGTAGCAATGCAGTAAATCCCTTCTGCTGCCATTCTACATTAAGCTAATAGTCACGTTGCAAGTAAATTGCTGTGTCATCTTTCCTGAGCAGAAAGATGTGTGTCCCTTCTGTTAGAAAATGAAACAGTTGAACCACAATGAAGTCCATGCACATCAGAGAAACTTGAGAAATCACAAGTGTGTCAGGCCTTGCTCAAAGGGAACTGTTTCCACTTCTGTAAGGCTGTAGGAGTCCTGCTCCCTCAATAAAGCAGGGTTACAAGCCTCTAGCAAGACTCTTCTTAGTAAGTGTCTGTCTTTACTGAAGATCTAGAGCTAAATGAAGGTAGTCAGTAAGAGACAGACTAGCGATTTTTCACTTGCATTGAGGAGAATCTCAGAGGACAGTTTCATAAAATCAAGAATTGCGCAGGTGCCATTGAGTGGATAATAGCTGCTAGTCCACACAATCAACAACGTGTAGTGATATGAAAGCAGAGGCTGGTACATTCTGGTACCTCAAGGAGCACAGACCGGGTACTGGATGTTAATTACATGCCATGTAACATCTGCAGACGGCATGTAAGTATGTTTCAGCATCAGAGCTGAGGTGTGGAGGTTTAAACTCTGTGTAGATCAGTCTAAAAAGGACAAGCATCATTTTATAGGTGGTGCTTCCTTTGTGAGGATGCTGCGTGTTTACCAGCCACAGTTGTTACTTACAATCCAGCAGAATGACCGGGCACCAGTGGTGAGGCTAGCTAGGCAGCTGAGTTAGGCAATAGAATAAAAAGCATGGCCTTGCCAAGAGGCTCATTTAATCCTGTTTTCTGTCTCAGTTTCCTTTGTCGTAGTGTTGTTGTTGATGATAGGAATCGCATTGCAGCTTATGACCTTCTAGCAGATACAAAGATACATCTTAAGGCATCATCAATTAATTTTCTTCTGGTAAGTTTTCATTTACTTTTCTCTTTTGTAATCCTTATTCCCCAAGGAGATATACATATGATTCTATGATTCTTCTTATGTTCATATGTGCTGTGAAAGCATGTAATTTAGGTGCTTGAAGATGTTGGTTTATATATACACAGACAATAAAGAGTCAGGCAAGAAAGGCAAATTCCTGTTTATATTCTGTATCACCAAGAGTATTCCCCCCTCTCTTATTTCAGTGCCCTTCTGTTTTCTATATGCAGAGTTTAAATTAAAAGCTTCTGGTAGTTTTTTCTTCTTCTGCTTCTTTTTTTTCATTTTTTTTTCCTAATCCTCAAAATCTATCTGAGAGTTTCCCAAGTCTCCTAGTTTCAGATAATAAACAAATTCATTTTAGAAACGACAGAACTTTGAAATGCTTGGAATAAAAAGCCTTCGCTGCCATCTTTTGGTCCATGCCAGTAATACATTTTTCTGGACACAGATTTTTTTTCCTAATTGTTTCTGTGTTCACTGTTTCAGAAACATGAAGATGGTTGAAGTCCAGAGTTAGGATTAAATTATAAACACACAAGTAATTTCATAGAAATGTTATGAAGAAAGCATTATCAGTTATTAATCCTTTCTGGAGGCAGTGTTCAGTGTGAATAAATACAATTTGAACTATATGTTAACTCCCTGTAGCAGTTGCTGTGCTAATGTGATCCATATCCAGAAGTTGTTGATACTATCAGGCTATATATCTAAGTATGGAGGTTTTATACTAAGAATATCTTTATCTTTATTTCTAAAATGCAGCAGTATTTTTCTGAATAACTTACTTTGAGATTGGTTTGAATATTCTCCTGATATATAGGAAATACCTGTTACTTACACTAATAATTGTGCTTATTTTTCAGCACAAGGTTTGTATTATATCAGCTGAAGAATTTTCATTAGAATATGTGAATCCTAAAGTGTACTGCATAGCTGTTTATAGGAGCACTCATGAAAGAAGGTAGCGTAACTGTTCTGCTTTTTTATGCTTTCTGAAAGATATCATGAAAGGGAGACCTTTTTAATTTAATTCTTTTTAATGAACCTTTGCTCAGTGACTAAAAGTTGGCTCGTAAGCCACTTTTACAAGGTAGAATTAGTAAAAAAGTTGAAATGTTGTTAATTCTGGCCTTTTCCTTGCCTATCTGAACTACTGAGTGCTAGTGCACTAGAAAACAAAAGTATTTCATTTGCTGTCCAATGTGGTAAGTGTCCAAGTTCAAAAAACATTTCAGCTCCTGTTAGTCTTGCCTGCATGTCCCTAGTGATTCGAGTCTTAAGCCTTTTTTCTGATTGATCTGACAATGAGGAGAGCCTCAAAGTAAAAGTGAATATTATTTGCAAGACTTCAGAGGCAGAAAGTGGCTAGGTCTGCTAGTTTTCCAGATGGTAACTCCTAATATAATGGCTGAATTGAAATAGAAAACAGAAAAACCTGGATAGCAAATTAGATAAAAGTATGCAACTGTACTTGGCTTGCCAGCCTGCTTCTGTTCAGTCTTACAAATGAGAGTAGCTTTCTAATATGGAATGAACTTGTCCTGGCATGATAGGAATTTTGCATTCTTAGGCGATGTATACACCAAGTAAAATGGGGGAAAAAAGCTGGATGTAAAACATGATTTAAAATAAAACTAATGTAGATATATATAACTTGGGTTTTTGTTTTTTTTTTTTTTTTGTCTCTTTCTATATTTGCATATTTTGCTATATATTTCTGTTCCATTTTTAAGACCAATACCTGGCATAATTTTTGCTCTCCTCAAAGTGTTTAGTGTTCACCAAGTTGAAAGATGCAGAATCTTGGCTCAGTTTAATAGCATTAGAAGCAGATGTTGCACATGGTTTCCTGCACAAGGCTGGCAAATAGATCTGAATCTCAGAACTGGAACACCGTTGGCATTCCAGTTCCTTGTCTGTCCTGAACAAAGAGTTATCATCGTCTTCTGAGTACCTACAAGAATTGAACAAACACCAGCATGAAACCCTCAAATAACATTTTCTCCTGAAGTTTTATAAAACATTTATCTCAATCAAATTATTAAAAATTGAGTATACCAAGTAAAAATTGGTTAAACACACAGTGGATGAATTGGGATGCTTTCAAGGAACACTATTTTGGCTTCGGTTCTACAAATATTTTGAGTACATACTTAACTTTTAAGTACATAAGTAGTCCCACTGTCTTTGGTGGGGAGACTTACATTTTTAAAGGTCATACCTACATAAATATTTGCAGAACTGAGAACTCGATGTTAGCACGGACTCTGCTGAAGGCAACTAACAGCATCATTTAACATTTTTTTAAATTATATTTTAAAACTCTTGGTTTCCTTAGAATACTATTGGATAACTGTTTAGTTTATGGAAATGTTGAGTAAATAAAATCAGTCCACATGCATTTTCCCCTTTGTAAGTTAGCTCTGTACCTATTGCTTTCATTTACTTTCTGACCATGTCCATAAAATTCCAAAGAGTAACAGTGGTTACTATTGCATTGTTAACTGTATTACATTCTACCATGTTAACTTCTGGGATTTAAATGCATTTTCTTTCATGGTGCTGAAGGAATGTTCCCAACCCCAAGAGTAATTATTATTATTTTTTTTTTTTAGTGTAACATGCATTCCCTCAGTGTATGAAACTCCACCAGCAACTTTGATTTTGGATGCATTTGGGGATGGGAAAATCTCTGAAGGACAAAGAAATATACTTCATCAGCCACTGAGTGCCCCTTTATCTTCTGACAAAGTTGATGGAGTCACCTTGGCATCATTACAGGTAGTTCATATTTTGAAACTACTGTTTCTAAAGTCACAAATGATGTTCTTAGAAAATTTATTTAGATGAAGCATTCTAAGAAAATAAAAAGTAAATGAAGTGATCAAAATGATATTGCAGACTAAGTAAGCCACAAAGATAATATACCAAAAGAGAAACAATGTGCCAGTTTCTTTCTAAGCCTATACTAAACTGTAAAACTACTAAACTGTAGTCTTGGAAACTACAAAAGTGCATTATATGTGCTTGACATGTTAACAAGTAGGAGCATCTGGATGTAATGCTGTAGCCTTTGAAGTTATTGTTAACTTCCTGAGAAATACCAAGTCCCCTCTTTACTGTTGCAGCTAGGAGTTATATAGAAAAAAATATATATTATATATATAGAAAAGTTGATAAAAACAATAATATTTCACAAAAGAAATGTACTACTAGAGCTGTCCTTGCTTCTGCAGAACCAGGTAACCATGACTGGCAGAGTGCCCCGCTTGGGCAAATATGTATTTGTGGTACATTTTTATCAGCCAGCACATCCAACATTCCCTGTACGTGTGCATGTGAATGCAGGACATGTGTGGTCAGGTAGGAATCCAAATTTAATCTAACTCCTTTCTCTTCTCAGCGTTTTGACGTACTGGTCATTGTTTGGCATTACGCTTCTTCTAGGTTCCTTTAATGCTTCATTCTGCCCTCATTCTTCTGGCTGTCGGGATCAGGTGATTGCAGAAAACCAAATTGAGCTTGACATTTCTGAACCTGAAGTCTCTGTTACAGTAATGATACCTGACAGAAGAATGCTGGTTTTGGTGAGTTTACTACGTAAGTGTACTTGAAAATACTCTTGCAACTTCACCAGCCATTTAGAGATAAGTACAAGGATGAAAACTAACAAGAAAGTATTTGATTTTTTTACATAGTGTTTCAAATTGTTAGGATCTTGTACGCTGCTTTTGTTTTTAAGTTTCTAAAATATCATGCATTGCTTTTATTGTATGCTGATTTTTAGAGTAAATCTGAGGAGGAGGGTGCGGATACAGCTTCCGAGTATGTTTTCCTACCTTTTTGTTAAAATGTGATATTCTGGGGGGACAATCCAGTACTCATAAAGAAGTAACATTAAAAAATATAAATGCCTCAGCTTTTTTGCGTGTTTTTGTTTGTTTGTTTGTTTTTTTCCCTGAAATGTACAATTCAGCTTTTTCTGTTTTAAGGAAAGTGTCTTAGTTGTTCCAGCAGACAACTACAGTTACAAAATTCTTGACAAAAAGACCATGGACAAGTCATTTGATTTTATTACCCAGTGCGGAGGAAACAGTTTCCACATCGAGTAAGCATCACGTCCTAAAAAACTGGGCATTTGAAAGCTGGTATTTAATATTATTTTCACTTCTTATTAAAGAAAAATGAGTAAAAACTTCATCCCTTTGCTGTGTTAAAATGCTTTTCATGGCTTATGCTGGCTCATTAATATTGCATGAATCATTTTTCCATGACTTTCTATTGTAAATGAAATGTAAAGGTAACTTTATTACTCATAGGATGGAAGAGGAAAATCTATGTCATCTTTCTGTCTTTGGTATTTCCATCTTTGGTATTTTGCTTGGCCTGCTGAACTAATATGACTAATGTACATACTTTGAAAAAATCTCTTACCTACTCTTACCTATCTACCTAATGATCAAAATCATTTACTACTAATATAATTAATGTAAGTATGTCCTTGCACGCCATCCTTGTTTCAAAGACTTGTTTGAAAGATAGGACCATAATTTACAGAACCACTGCAAAGTATTCTGATAGCAATTTCCAAGTTGCAATACTGACAAAATTTATATTTCAACTTAAACAGCCCAGAAAGATCATCAGCCTTCTGTAAGGATTCTGCAAGATCACTTGTGGCATTCTACAACAATGGAGCAGTGCCATGTAATTGCCATAGCGAAGGTTCCATGAGCCCCACCTGCAGCCCTCTGGGAGGACAGTGTATTTGCAGACCTAACGTCATCGGGCGTCAGTGCAGCAGATGCCAGACTGGCTACTATGGATTTCCATTCTGCAAGTGTAAGTACATGCTCTGGCTTATTCAGTACTTGAGAAGACCTTAGTTATTTAGTTCTCTCATTTCATTGCATGGGCACCACACCTTCACTCTTTTTTACAGAGCAGCCTGGTTGAGTCATCTTAGATTTAGCATAGCTTTCAGTTTGATGCAGAGGTAAACTCATTCCCTTTAATTGCACCTAGTTCACAGTGAAATGTGTCTTCATGTGAATTATCTGATCGGGACTTACAGTTTTACTGGTTATAATCCATATTGCTTCTCAGTTAAGTTGATTTTTCTGCACTGACTGCTTAGTAGTTGCTGTGTTAACACTACTATATCTCAATTTACACCTTCAAGATTTTCCATTGATAATCAAGGACACATAGCATTCTTAATTCCTCTCATTGTGATATTGTTCTTAATAACATCAACAGATCTGTAGATCACGCCCCTAGTCCTCATCTGCCTTCCATATATGATTCTCTGTTAATATTGCTTTGTAGAAGTGATCATCTTGAAACCAAAACTATTAATTGTTTAATACTTGACAGTTTGGGGAAGTTTGAATTCAAGCGACCAATCCATGGAAAAGAGCCAGGGTCTTGAGCTACAGTTACAGTCACATAATCATGTTCCATGGCCTTGGCTGATCTCACTCTCATATCATCATGACAGCTGGAGTTGAATAAGCCACCTAAAGTTTGAAAATTGTGAAAGAGAGAGAAAAAAAAATGTAGCTTGTGTTTGTTTTATATTAAGATTTTATAAGAATTTATCATTGTAAATTGAGATGTGATTGATTTGTAGAATGTTTTCTTTGACATAGTATGCAACTGTGGGCAGCGTCTTTGTGATGACTTAACTGGCAAATGCATTTGCCCTCCTCGAACTGTGAAACCAAAATGTGAAGTGTGCGAGAAACATCACTTTGGCTATCACCCTCTTGCTGGCTGTGAGAGCTGCAATTGTTCAGAAAGAGGAGTTGTTAATGCAGCAAGACCAGAATGTGAAAAAAACAAGGGGCAATGCAAGTAAGTTTGAATTATGTGCATTATACATGATGCATGAGTTGTTTGCTTCACTATTCTTTTTGGGCATGTGGAGAATGTGGGAGGATACAGGGAACTTTTGCAATGATTAGCAGAAATAGAAGAGATGTTTGTCAATAGGTAGAAGTCAGCTGTTACAGGGATACATGCATTCCTCTGTAGAAATCTGTTTTGTGCGAGTAACTAATGGCGGCATTTGAGATACCAGGCGTGCATTTTGTTTGCTGGGGATGTGTCATGTAAGCTAATTCGGTGCCCGGATAGCAGTTCACCACAGACTGGAACTCTGACATATCATGGTGTATGTTATCTCTCAAATTCTTAAAATATCTGACATTCCACAGTCTAAAGTGTGGGTTTAAAATCCAGTAATGTTTTTAAGGACTGTAAAACTCACATGTTTGCATTGCAGTGAATTTTTAAGAGCTTAAAATAGATGCTGTGTGTATGGAAAATATCGTACATTTGGAATTGCTTTATTATGCCTTCTATATGATATGGTTATTTTTACGTATCTTGGTATGCTGAGGTAAAATATTTTCCTCTACATATCCTGTTGTTGATATTGTCTAAATTAAGTAAAGCATACATTCATAATTGCAGGGAAGCATCTTAAATTCAGATGCTGTCAGTATTAGTATAGTTGAACATTTCTGTTTATTTCCTTGGGGGAGATAAACAGAAAGCATACATGTGTGAGAGCCAATAGGTTGCATAAGGCTGAATTTGATACAGTTTAATTGGATTGGATATGCTTTTGCAGAGTCCTAATAAAGAAATATAGTCTTTCCTACTCTGCCATTAGTCCCATGTATACAACAGAGAATACTCACTTTCGGAATTCATATTGGAATTTTATATTATTTCCTGAAATTGAACTATTTTTTCATGTCTGTTGATTTTGCATGAACTGAATAATTGTTTTATCCCGATGACGAAACAGGAAACTGTTTTCGTAGATAGAAATCAAAATCAGGATTGAAGTGTAGCATATATGGAACAGACTGCCCAGGGAGGTGGTAGAGTCACTGTCCCTGGAGGTGTGTATGGATAGAGTAGGTGTAGTGCTTAGGGACATGGTTAGGGGGCAATATTTGGTGGTAAATGGACAGTTGGACTAGATGATTTTAGTGGCCTTTTCCAACCTTTATTATTCTTTTATATTCTGCACTGATACACTTTAATCTGATGGGACTCTGCTTTCGTTTCCCCCCATAACTTATTCTTACACAGGCAACAAAGCTGTACAAAAATAGATCAAATCATTCGGTCAAATAAAATGTAATACTTTAAAGATAGAGCTTAGCACATTTCTGCTCGAGTAAAGCTGAGGATAATTTCTGCAGAAATAGATTTTCTTTCTCAGTGAAAAGCTGTATTGCCTGATTGTAATGATGATATCTCTAACATGCAGCCTGTGACATAAATGAGATGACAGCTTACCTGTTAAAAAACATATATGTATTCTAAAGCAAAATCTCACATTTGGCAAATATTTTTGAACTGATCTGGAAGTACAAAGCCAGCTACGGCATTCTGATTAATACTTTTCCTTCTGTGGATTACATGAAGTTCAAAGTCCCCATCTAACTCCAGTTATTTATGTGTAAGGGGTAATGCATTCAGAGAGACTCTGAGAAACCTTACCCATTTTTTGGTGAACTGAGTAATTGTTTTTGTATTTTACATGAGGTGCAGTATACCTTGTCCACACACTTAACTGTTTGTTTCCATGTTTGTTGTGTAGCGCATGTATAAATTCGGTGCAGAAAACCGAAGGAAACTCCATCAAATCTCTGATTGTTGTAAGAGTGATGTTGTCACAACCAAAACATAAAGATGGTGGTGGTGATGGAAGACATACTTTATAAGTGGGAATTTACTGTCTTGAAATCTTTAGGCTATTAAGGGCAGATTACTGGAGTAAGCAAGTTAGTATAAGCAGAAGGAAGAAAGGTCATCAGACCTACAACTTCATTGCTCTTATCAGTCTGTAAAAGTTTGTCCCAAAGGCAGGAGGAAGGCTGTCACAGAAAGATATTTTAGGTTTTCTCAAGCCTTGTTTTTGTAATTTGGTGTCTTTTGCATAATGTACACTTCACTCAAGTAAATCCTTGAAAAGAGGGCCCACAAAAACTAAGGCCAAGTGCAAAGTGTTGAACTTAAGTCAGGTACAAGTACAGACTAGGAGATGAGAGTAACCCTATGGATAAGAACTTAGGGGCGCTAGAGGAGGAAAAGCTAGACATAAGCCAGCAGTGTCCTCTTGCAGCCTGGAAGGCAAACTGTATCTGGGGCTGCATCAAAAGAAGGGTGGACAGCAGGGAGAGAGATGATTGTCCCCCTCTACTTGGCTCTTGTAAGGCCCCATCTGGAGCACAGTATCCCAGCCTGGGGCTCCCAGTAGAAGCAGCATGTAGAGCTGGTGGGACAGGTCCAGAGGAGGACCATGAAGATGATCAGAGGGCTGGAGCACCTCTCTTATGATGAAAGGTTGAGTGAGTTGGGATTGTTTACTTTGTAGAAGTGAGGACTCTGGGAAGACCTCATTGCAATTGTCCAGTACTTGAAAGAAGCTTACAAACAGGAAGAAAACTGAGTTTTTATGCATGTAGATAGTAGTAGAACAAGGGGGAGTGAATTAGGTTAGATCTTAGAAAGAAATTATTTGCTCAGAGAATAGCAAGACACTGGAACAGGTTGCCCAAGGAGGTTGTGGATGCCTCATCCCTGGAGGCGCTCAAGGCAAGGCTTGATGGGTTCCTGGGCAGTTTGATCTTATTGGTTGGCAATCCAATAAGTAATCAAAATATCCCTTGTGAACAGTTGCAAACTAACACAAGACTTGTGTCAAGTTGATGTCTCCATAATTATTCATAAGACTGGGATTCTCCACATTTTTGTTAGCAGGTGAGTGCCTTGGGAAATGCCCAGTCACATCCTCCAGCTGTAAATCTCCCAGGTGCTCTTATCTGTATACAATATTTATGTTTCACTCTTTGCTGTATAGAGTAGCTCTGTGATGCAAACACTGATTTGCTGCAGAATTCTAATTCCATTGTGAGCTTTTATATCTTTCAAAATCGAATCCATAATTTCCATGACCACTACAAAATGTTGCAGTTCTTCTCACCATTCCACTGAGAGCAGTACTAATCTGCTGCTGTTTCTTCATGAAACTCAAAGTTTTTTCATAGCCATGTGATTGCCTCAAAAAGCCACCAGCCTCCCACTTTCTGTTCATGCCTCTCTTGTTGATTCCTTCCTGCATGTTTCTTTGTTTGATAAAGATGCAAACCAGGAATAAGAGGACGGCAGTGTGATAAGTGTGCTCCAGGTACTTATGGTTTCCCAAACTGCATACCATGTAATTGTAACAGAGATGGAACAGAACCAGATGTTTGTGATCCTCGAACAGGAATTTGTCTCTGCAAGGTCAGATAAATCAAATTAATTTCTGCACTCATAGGCATTGTTTGCACATCAGTTGTTATTTCAGATTTAATGGTGAATAGTGTGTGTTGAACATTAAGAATTAAATTCGGCTGTAGAAAGGCACAACTTGTATGTGCAGATTATCTGCATTCATTTAAATGAGTTCAGTATCTGTTGGTTTTACAGTTCATCTCAGTTTTTACAGGATGTTACGGCAATACAACGAAGATGTTCATTGATTTACTGAAGCAGTCTGTACCCTGCACAGATCTGCTATGTATCTGCATCTCAGCTTTTGGATGTTAACCAGGTCCCAGGCTTTTTTTAGCTATATTATGTCAGTTGACATTTCACTACAGCATTGTATCCAGGAAATCTTCCTTTGTTCTGATTTGCATAATTAGATATGATAAATGTGAACTTTCACAAGTGACCTTTTATACTGTAGGTTTCAAAAAGCCAGCAGGAGGGTTTTGGCAGGGAAGTTACCAGCTGTCTCTGACTAATAGGTATTATTCAGCAGTTAACTTTACAGACTGTAAAGACAGCTCATGACTAAGATAGTCTCAAATCAGTCAGTTCTATTTGTATTTGGAATATGGAATATACAGACAATCACATTTATTCATGTTTCCACGCACTTAAATAAATATTCTTTCAGAAGATTTGTTTTATGTGCAGGAGATTTTGGGGGCCTTACCAAAATCAAAAGGAAAACTCTGAGAATTCTTTCAATCATGCCTTAACAGGAGAATGTTGAAGGTGCAGAATGTGATATTTGCCGACCTGGATCATTTTACCTGGACCCTTCTAATCCCAGGGGATGCACCACTTGTTTTTGTTTTGGGGTAACAAGCAGCTGTCGCAGCACAAATCGCCATCGAACCAAGGTGTATTTGATATTTTTTTTCTTTGCTGTCATGAACCTACATTTAGTCCATTATGGAAATGCCAGATTTCTTCTGAAATTGCAAATATTTTTTATTAGTTGTGAAGGATGAGAAATGTTCTGTAAGCAATGGTGCAGATTTGGTGCAGCATGATTAAATCTTAGGTGTAGCCTGAATGTGCCTGTTAGTTGAAATGACCCTGTTTAGTAGCAAACTTGAATTGATGTTTAGAAGATTTCATCTAATGGTTACTGAAGACTGTTCTTGAAAACCTATCTATCTGCTCATCTTACTACTCTGAGATGTTCTGGTAGATAGGCGTTATATCTTCTTTTCCCTAGCATAATAATAAATAACAGGTTGTATAGTCCTTAATGAAACGAGAGCCAAAGTCTAAACAATTTTCTCCCCCTGTTATAGTGTTAATTAAGCTTAATAGAAGATGAAACAAACTTCTATTTCCTTTGATATATTTTCAGTTTGTGGACATGAGAAATTGGCGCTTGGAGGCAGTGGATGAAAATATTGACATTCCTGTCACTTTCAATCCAGTCAGTAATAGCGTGGTGGCTGATGTTCAAGAATTGCCTGCTTCAGTGCATAGTTTGTACTGGAAAGCACCAACATCTTACCTGGGAGAGAAGGTAAATGACACACGACTCCACTGTTTTAATAAACTGTTCTTCAGTTCACTTTTGTTTGTGTGTGTGCCAGCATTGTCGATATAGAGTCTCTTTGTATTCCTTGGATGCTCTTCTCTCTCTCCTCACTAGATTCTTATCTGCCTTTCCTGAAATGCCAGCAATCATAACATGTGACTTCTGAGTAGAAGGTTGTGAAAAGCATGATAAGGAACTGTGGTTTGGAGAGCTGGTACCTTAAGGTACTTCCCTGAAATTCAGAACACACAGAGCTTGCCAGTGCCGTAATATTCTTTAGATTCCCTAGAGTGTACATGTGCAACCCACTGATTTTATGTTTTTGTTGCCCTCTTTTTTTTATATTTTAATAAAAATAATAATAATAATAAAAAAAAGATTTTTTACTTATGGATGTTAACTATATTATAAATTGTACATGACTCAGGACAATTCCTCTTCACTCAATGCAGCTTAGGCAAGCCAGAATGCTGGACACCCATACCCTAGAGTAATTCTCTCCTGGGCAGACTTCCAAAAGAATAAAAGCTCAGCAAAGAATAAAATACTCAGCAGCCAACAAGAAAAAAAAAAGTAAAAAAAAGAAGAAAAAAAAAAAAGAAAAAAAACAAGAAAAAAGAAGAAAAACCCTTGTCTTTTAATATGTTGGTGGAAAGGCTGAAAGTTGTGTTACTTGGTTGCTGCATTACACCAGTACTACATTTCTTGCTCATAAACTGTACGTTTGTTGTCTCTGTCAGATGATGTTTCAATGAAGGGAAACAGAACACTTTCTTTTTCATGTCTGTATTCTTTCTACTGCTTACTTTTCATTCTGCTCATAGATAGAGGCAGATGCTTGCTCAATGTTGATAAGACATTTCAGACTGGAACCAGGAGGATTTTGCTGCTGGTGTCTCAAAGGCCCAAAGTCCTGGCTTCCTTCTTTGTACAACAGTGTGCAACTGAAAGAGTCTACAATTGCTAACCTTGTAGGACATACAGGTTTTTCGGATGCAGTTCTGATATCACATATGAGAAAACAATGAGAAAGGCATGATAGTATTAAATAGGAAACAATTTTTCAAGTTCCTCTTTAGTCCCCATTTTAAGGACTAGACTGCTGTTTTTTCATCCTGTTCTCCTGAGCTTGGGTATAAATACCTTTCAGTTGAACAACACGTGTAAGATTTACTTACACGTTTCTGTTTATATTATAAGGCTTCTTGCTGCAATGCCTAAAAACAATTTTCTGAAGTAATTTCATGAAGAAGCGTACTTCATCTACTATAATGCTAATCCAAACAAACTTCTTGTTCCCATTACAAAATGTAAATTGATCTATTATTGCTTTTAAACACAGCCGCAAAGAACAGTGCTATGATTTTTGTATTCTGCGTCGCAATATCAAACCAGGCATGCCATGTCTGTTTTTCATCTATAACTGTCTGTAATTCATCAATATATATAGAAACAAATAGAGCAAATGCTGGTGTCTACCTGCGGAACACTATAACCTGACAAAGCAATTTTATACATGTCAAAACAAATGCAAGTTATAAAAGCAAGCAGGAACGGGTTGAAAACAAAGTACTGCATCTGTGGCATATATCTGTTCATTTTTCTTCAAAAATGAAGTTCTCACTTCTCTAGAACCGAGAGTCAAATTTCACATATTTCACTTACAGCTTATGGTGTAGAATTTATTAGCCAAAATCAAGAGTTAGCAAAATATTTTCAATTCTGATAAGTGCTGCTTCTGATTTTGATCGTTCCCTTTCAAAGTGGCTGGAAAATCTTTATTCTTAATTCTGTATGGAGAGCAGACTTCCAAAGGGAAGTTCATAAATTTCCTGTATGCATTTCAGGCATAAAATTCTCTCATATTTATGTGGAGGATTTGATGATGCCATCTTTTCTCATAATCGTGAGAAAAGAAAATTTAAAGTGTTAGCAATTGCTGCATAAGGAGATGCTGGTAATGGAAACAGGAGATTTTTGAATGTAATATTTTCAATCACAAAGACTGCAAAGGCTCCTATATGGGTGTTGGAGAGATCAAGACATAAGAAGCCCCCTACTAGCTCCTCCAAGGTTTGTGTTTCACCTAGCACCCATAAAACTTTATAGCAAGCTCTTTTTGGAAGAAGAAGTGTTCAAGCTCTGCCTAGAGCATCTCTTTGTCTCTATATAGTATATTTTAAACAGAATTTCTGATACAACCCGGAGAAGCTGTTTGATAGATGATTCAAACATGCTTGCCTAAGCCTTTGTTTCATGTGGTGGAATGTTAATTTGGTTTGGTTTGAGGCCTTTTGAGATCTTCTATAGCTGAGCCATAAGACAGGTGGTTTCAGCTCAGCCTGCAACAATGGTCTGTTATCATTTTGCAATAGAGATGATGCCAGTAGAAATTGTATCATCTACAAAGTGGAGCAAAGATTTCCTGTTTGGATTCATATCAGCAAGTTAGGAAAATGAGTTAGCCAATGAAACACATTCAGACATGGTTAGTTTGACTTATCCATGTATGCTCATTGGGTATAAATGACCAATTCAATAATCAGTCTGATATCTGCTTTTGATGAGCCAAATTTGTTCTGTAGTCTGGGGAGGAGCAGCATTTATGCAATTATGCGGTTTTTTTCCACAAAGCAGATGGCATGAACCAAGATACAGAAATAAAATGGCACTGGTAACTATCCAAAAACAAACTATCAGACACTACTCAAAGTAACATCAAATGCACAAAGTAACCAAATCAAATAATATTTTCATCCAAACAACATGTATTTTCACATTTGGCCTAGAGAACAGAAAAATAATATATTGTTCACAATTCTTGAGGTGCAGTAGATTTGAATACAAATTATACTAATATCAAGCAATAACAAGTAGAGTAATTCATATTATGTGTATTTTGATCCAGCTTTCTTCATATGGTGGCTTCCTAAGTTACCAAGTGAAATCTTTTGGCTTACCTAGCGAAGGCATGGTTCTTCTGGATAAGAGACCTGAAATAAAACTAACAGTAAGTTTTAAAACAGTTTTTTTTTTGTCTTTCAAGCAATACCCATACCATGATTTTTTTTTTTACTTGATAACTGTGGCAAATATTGTACCTATATTACACTTAACTTTTTATAGCAACTTGCTACATTTCTATAAAAGTGATTTTATTGCATTTTCCTCGAAGTCATCAACATACTTCTCTCTGATACCAAGGTAGCATATTATTAAGCATAAATAACTTCAGAGCAAATAAAAATTTAGATGAATTATTGTTTTTTTAAATTCCCAAGACAATGTTTTTGTTTCTTGGGACCATCAAAAATATTAATTCAGTGTTCTAGAATATGCCTCATGCATTACCCAGTCATTTGAGTAGCAGGATGTGAAGTCAAAGTGTTCCTCAGTCCTATGTTTTTATTTTGTATTCCTTTCTGCATGCCAACCTTTTCTAACATATGAGACTATGAAAATGCAAAAAAAAACAAAAAACAAAAAAAACAAAAAAACAAAAAAAAACAAAAAACAAAAAACAAAACTTGGAACTGGTAACTAATTTCTAATTGCAAGCATTAATCAAATTATCTTGTGTTTTATTTAAAAGCAAGAATGTCAATGGGGTCAAAGCAGGGAAAGCACTTCTGACAATAAAATAGTGTTCATTACTTTGCTTGTTATGCTTTCCTTACAGAGTGATATACAATTACTATTAGTTTTTATTCTCTAAATAACAAGAATAATGAGCTTTATCAAATTGTATTGCATGTGAACACTTTGCTATTTTGCTGCTTTTTGTGGCAATGTTATATCCTTATTCTCATGCAGGGCCAGCAAATGAAGATTGTTTACGTGGATCCTAGTAACCCTCTGCCTGACCGTCAGTATTATGGCCGTGTGCAGTTAGTTGAGGTAAGAAATGGAAATGGAATGGCCTTCCATTTTCTTCCCTGTGGTACATTTACAAGTAATATGTAATTGAATACCTAATACTTACTAATATTAACATAAATTTCAATACTGCAGGTCATAAGTATAGACTTTTTTCTCTCTTCACATTGAACCTAGGTTCTGTTTCATGCTATCTAGTTTTAACACTTCTGAGTTAGGCATTTTGTCCAACTTAGTCCTTGGCACTCCCTCCAAAGCCAGTGGTGTAATACTGAATTAGTCACCACTGGAAGATGACTCAGTGCAGCCCCGGATGTGTACTTAATAGGGATCATAGAATCATAGAGCGACTTTGCTTTGGAAGACACCTTAAAGATCATCTAGTTCCAGCCCCCTGCCATGGATAGGACTACCAACCACTAAATCAGGCAATAGATCAGGCTGCCCAGGGCCTTAACCTACCTGGCCTTGAACATCTCAGATGAGGCATCTTCAGCGTCTCTGGGTAACCTGTTCCAGCACCTCAGCACCCTCTCAGTGAAAGATTTTCCCAACTTCTAATCCAAATCTCCCTTTTTTGTTTAAAACTGATGGAATGAACTGTTTCCTGTTTTCTTCCTATGAATCTCAGAGGAGTCTAGGTGCTTAGTTTAGATTAGGCGTCTAATGTCTGGGGAGGTGAACCTGGCAAGGATTATTCCTTCCTTAAATCTGTGCACAGAAAATCAAACTGAGCTATATCTGTCTCGTGTAGGTGAAAAGATAATGTATCTATGAATTTGGATGACTGAAGAAGAACCTGTATGCTGCTTCACTTTTTGATACCCCAAAGCCATACGTACCTTGCAAAGCACATCTCTTTTTGTACTCATTATTCCTTTCCCCGCCTATCCTGTGTTTACATTCATTGTTCTTATTTTACTGATGTTTGCTTCCCTCACACCACTGGGACTTTAGAACTTTGTTCACTTTTTTTTTTCTCCTTTTTCTTTTCTTTTTTTTTTTTTTTTTTTTTTTTTTTTTTTTTTTTTCTCCTCCGGACAATCCTGTCTTCTTTGTAGGTTCTCTTTTTAAGAGGCTGTAAGGCTGTGCTCATATTGTATCCTTCATATGCAGGGAAACTTCAGACATGCCAGCAGCAATAACGTTGTATCCAGAGAAGAACTGATGATAATCCTGTCTAGACTGGATGCCTTACACATCAGAGGCCTTTACTTCACTGAGACTCAGCGGTTAACCCTTGGTGAGGTTGGGCTGGAGGAAACGACCAGCATAGGAAGCGGCAGCATTGCATACAATGTAGAAACATGCTCCTGCCCTCCAGAGTACGCCGGTGACTCATGTCAGGTAGGAAATGTTTGCCTTCATACCACACCATTACCTGCTGTCTTGCCTACAGCTATACATACTAGTTTAGTTAGAGGAACAGGCTAGTTATTAAAGTACTTAAAGATCTTTTAAGTGCATGCACTTTTGATGGCTCAAATACTTTCACTGTCTAAGTAAAGACCTGTAAGGGTATTCAACTCTTCACCGCCTTTATGGAATTGTAAATGTCATTTTATATGTGTAAGGCACTATAATGTTGTCCAAGGGAAACAACCTGGATACTGTCCTATTCTGATAATGACTGATGCTTTTCCTATTTTTATTGGAAAATGTTTATAAGTTGAAGTTAACATATTTGCTAAACTGTTTGGAGATATTTTTCTGAAAGAGGATGTAAACAATGCAAAATAATACTGCTATCTGAAGAACGGTGGAATCATAGCCTCAGTTGTGTATTCAGTCCCTAATGCAGTTCCTGTAGATGTAATTGTTTTGGTTGTCACTTCAAAGCAGAATAAAGTACTGGAGAGATAAGCAGTGTACAAAATGCACCAATATGAGGAATTATTCTCTCAGAAGATGGTTGATGGTTGCCATAAAGCAGCAATTGCTGTGCTAACCTTACAAACATTTTTGAAATGAAAATGAAAGAACAGCTACACCGGAGTAGCTGCAGAGAGGCTGAACAAAACATTTACAGTTGGCTTTTGTCTCCTATGTGCATCCACTGCTCAGGGTAGCTATTCATCATCTGTCAAATGTCATTTTGGAAATATTGCTAGAAACTTATTTTTCACACATCTGGTGTTCTCTGCTATGTGCAAAATGAGAATTGATTGAAGTCCCTACTGCCATCCCATTGCTTTCAACATATTGCCTGCATTAAACTAAGGTGGATTTTTTTTTACACATACTGATGAAAATACATAGCCAAAGGAAGTGATCAAGACACTCACTTGGGTGATTCGTAAGAGCTGTATGTTTATGCAGCGTTACTCAGGCAGTGATTTACTGTGCTAATCATCTAGCTCTGTCTGACTGCATTAGGTGGAGAGAAGGTGATGCCTGCCACACCCTGAGTTAGGTATATATTGAGCTGCAGGAACTGCAGAGTTACTTGTTAACTTCAGGAACTGCAATGTGTGCCGTACAACTTGACTCACGTATAAAGTTTAAAGGTGGGGCCCATCTCAGCATATAGCCTCATTAATCTGAGTCAGAAGCTGGAGAATAAGGGAGAGTATAAGGGAACGTGTGAATACTGAAAGAAAACTGCATGTTAACAGTTGAGCTGAAGTAAAATGATGGCCCAAGCAGAGGGGCTGAAAAACACGGGCTGGCAAGTTGTTGCATTAGTAGCCATGGGATGTTGTTTAACACAAGCTATGCAGCAGAGGTTATTGTTTCCTCATCTTCAGGATAGAAGTCAACAGCAACAAGTTCAAAGGGATTTTTACCTCAGACAGGTAATTTATTCAATTTTTTCTTCCTTGTTTTCTTCCTTCATTCTCTCCGATTTTTAAATGATCCATTTTTACGACAGGTAAAAGTAATAAGGCAAATCTTCTTACATCTCACAGTACTTTGCTAACCAAAGTATGTGCGTGTAGTTTCTTTTAAATTGTTGTTTACTAGAAAAAGATCAGCCTGAACTCCTATGTACTTGAAAGTGCTTAGAGTTTTCTCTTCACGTGGAATACATTTTTCAGTATGAAGAATGTTGCTTCTCAAACAACTTGCCCACACACTCCAAACGTGTTGGTTTAAAGTTTAAAGAGAATGTAAATAGGAAAAAAAAAAAAAAAAAAAAAGCTGTGTAGTTTGTTTTTTTTCCCCAAATGCATTTTTATACACTTCTAGAACAAGTGATTCTTCTTGCTTTCTGAAATAAGACTTTCAGTAAAGAAAATCTATATGCATTAGAACCTATATTTTACGTAGTCATGCTGTTTAATGTTTTTCAGCCCCTGATGTCTGCAAAGCTGTGTACACTGACTCCCTGTTTTAAAAATATATCTGAAAAATTCCAAGTTGGGGATGCTCATTCTAAATAAAGTCCTTCCTCACACTGAAGCCAATATAAAAAGAGCTGTTGGTATTGTTAGTATTCTGCACACATTTTTTTCCTCGTTTATCCCATATGTGAGGAAAGCAAAGATGCCACTAGTAACTGTTGTTTAAACAGTGATAACTCAGTATTCCTTTTGGGATCTGCTTTGGAAGAGGTGATTTTTTGTTGTTGTTTTTGTTTTATTTTGTTTTCTCCTCTCTAGTTGCATGGTTAATAAGTTCGCTGGTTATTTCTGTCCCTGCTTGAATACTTTTGTCTCAACCAACTGTGGCACGTGATTTGAGGCGCTGTCCCTCAAACTCTTTGCTCTTCAGATCATTCCCATCGGTCTTGGTGGTACAACTGCATGAAAAAAGATTTATGGCTTTGGAGTTTCACGGTGACTTGTTTTCAGAATGTTGTTCTGGCAGTTACAGGTGAAACGTAGGTACAGTGCAGAACTGCATCACCTGCGGCAAGAATCTGGGAGGTGTTTTCTTCATGGGGAGCACAGCTTTCTGCTTGCTTCCAGATAACCTCTCACTTTCCTTGCACCATGACAGCTTAGATGCTAGTGAAAAAATTTAGGAAATAAAAGCTCATTTTCAGTGTTGTGGGTGTGCTAGGGAGATATTTTAGCGGAGGATATGGGCAGGAATTTTTGAATTGGTCTGTGTACGGTCTGGAAGAATTCCTTCTATTTACCCTGCCCTTGTACTTTTCTACCCACGCCAAGCAAGACTCTGTTTTTTTAAATGCTAGTTAATACTTATCTGATGCAAGTTAGCAAACCAAATACCTCTTGATTCATTCATAATGTTCATTCCTTCAGTTCTACCCCCTGTTTAAACCCAACTTTGATCTGATGTGCTATGTTTCTGCTCATGTGCTTTCAATAGCTGAACATTCTTTTCATGCTTCCTGCGGCTCTGGGACAAGCCTGTACTTAAAAATTAGACCGCTGTATGTTTTGTAAGATCACCAAGCTCTTTGTCTAAGCATGGCTTTGTCTAACTCCAGGTGGACTTATTTTGGAAGTTATGATGAATTAATGTAAAAGATATATCATAGAAGTATTTCCAAGGAATACACAGCAGTTAAATTAGCATCAGGATTTCACATAACCACTAATGGCTAACGTGTGAGACTTCCATGTGTTCATCTTTGCGAACATTGTGGTAGGAAACAATGTTCAATTCTTTTTCTGTGGTTCAAAACTCATGTTCTATACCTTTGTACATAGCCACAGGAAACGTGTCCTGCTCAGAGGTCAGAGTCAAAATTAAATCGCTGCTACCACAAAGTGTAGAACACAAGGCACAGATATTTAGGCTGAAACCTCATTACCTCTGTTCTTCACTGCTATTTGCCGAGTTAAAAAGCTATTTAAGCAATAATATGGACTCAGAAAAATTTGTCAAGAAATATATATCTCTACTCCTCCTTGAAAATGGCAATTTCAAAATACCCGTCCCATAACCTGTAGAAGTTTCTTTCCACCAATGCTCACTGGTTTTTTTTGTTGTTGTTGTTTTTTTCTCTCTGCTTACTGTCTAGGAATGTGGCCTTGGATTTTATCGTGAGAATAAGGGATTATTTACTGGACGTTGTGTCCCCTGCAACTGCAACGGGAATTCAAATAGGTGCCACGACGGTACTGGGAAATGTATTGTAAGTAAATATTAACATTCAAAAAATTGAATTTGAATAAAACCAGAGAAAAAGCATGTACCTTACTGCAGTACAGAATGTTCAGCATTGCTGAATTCCTAGCAACTAAAAATACCCCTTCCTGTGCCTCATTCTTTGAATCTTATAGTGCTAAGGAGCCTAAATTGTATAAACATTTATGTTAGGCATGTTTAACATAACTGTGGGTGGTTAGAACCATTTGTACTCTTTCTTTTGTGGTTTGTTTTTTTTTCTTTCCCTTTCAAAATGTCACCGAATTAGCACATATGTAAATGTTTTCAGTTACTTACAGTAATTTTGGAATCTTATCCTTGCATACGCAATCTTTCATTTTATAAATATACACTAGGGTTTGCTGAGGATGACAAATAGTGTATTCATGCACTATTCTTTGCAGAATCTCTTGTTTAATTAGTATCATTAAATCTCCACTAATACAAATTTACAGCTTAAAAAAAATAGAGAAGTAAATGATAAAGGAGATAAAAGTTAGATTAATTAGAATATGCCAACTGTTGCGGGAGATATATTGGGGCAGAGTCTGCTCCCTGGCATACCATGCTAAAGGTAAAGCAAACTCAAAGGAGCTGATCAGCCCTAGTAACCTAGGGAATGTGACATCTGGCTGACTGTGCTTCTCTAGCTTGTATCTATGACAGTCCTTTAAACAGTTTGTTCTGAATAAATTCCTACTTGAACTTTTTTCACTAATTTTTTTACGTACTGTCTAAGTGAAAACAAGAACCTTGCCAAAGTCTTTCATGGTTTGTTTTCTCTGTTATTTCTTCCTTGTTCATTCTGAATCCATTCTGCCTGCGGTGCATTCCTACGCATTATGTAATTCCCCTCGACTTTGTCTCAACCAACCCTGGTGTTTCAATGGAAGCTGTAAACCAATTCAGCACATTCTGGCAAATGACTTACAGTCTGCTGCAGTGGTGAGGCTGGGCAGGCCGTGACAGGAAAGTGCTGCAACAGAACTATAGAGATGAGGAAGTTTTAGTTCTAATGAAAATTATGAAGCCAGAAAAACACATATTTCACATTTGGCCATGAAATGAAATGTGTTTTAGGTTTCTCTTTATCCCTTCTTCCTCCCAGCTGGACCAACTTTCAGGTAGATAGAACTAAACTGACACTTAAACTTGAGACAAAATTTAAGGCAGGCAAAGTCACCTGGTATAACGTGGTGAAAAATGAAAGCCTGGAGGGCCTGTATTTCCATTATGAGCCTCCATCCAATAAAGACCAGGTTCTTCTCTCTATACAAGAGCCATCAAACAGAGACCTGCAGCAGTGCTGAGAAGGCAGCACAGAGGCATCAAGTTTCTGGTGTATCTGTTTCATATCTGAAATGTAAAGCTTGGCCTTCTCATTCCTGCCCCTCACCTGGAGCACTGGACTATGTACCTTCTCACATCAGCTGGTCTCCAGTGATGGCCTCCATAGAAGGCTATTTGAGCTAAGCCCCAGCCAACTCCTCATGGCAGCAGTAAAGTGCTCCTCAGCTAAGGCAAATAAGCTGCTGCATGGTGGTGGAAGGAGAGGAGTGCAGTGCTGCCCTGTTGAATGGGCAAGAGGATGGAGGATAGGAGGAGGTGTTTCTGCTGAGGCCCTAGCACACTGTATTCTCGCACCCACAAGGGTGTCTGGAAGTCAGCTTAGAGTCTGACTTTCAGAGTTTGCAGTACTGGACAGCAGGGAGATGCTGTGACACCAGAGCTGTCTCTGCTCTCATCTCCCATGCAGGCCCTAGGAAACTTGAAGGAAGACCCATGTGGGAGTTGCTGATCTGTCTTCATTTCTCTGTGCTTTGGGAGCACTGGGTTATCTTCTTCACTCTGCATATGCCATGTAACCAGAGGAACACTGTGATACATTCAGAGTGGCTTACATACGTGAAATATCTTTATTCAGATATTTATGGAATTGTTTCAGTTTCTATAAACATTCTTGAATGATAATATCTTCATATTTCTTCAACTTCCCCTAGTTAAATGCCCCATATATGAACTGGAGCTTTTTCTGTTCTTTCCCAGGGCCTTTCACAAGTGAGCCACATAATCAATCCTTGTCCCAAAACAAATTATGGGCTACAATGTGCATAGTCTGGGGCAAGCACTGCTGGAGTGTTTGAGAGTCTGGGTGTGAAGAAAAATGCAGTATAAGAGAAGGTGGGAAGGACAGAAATGTTGTTCGTCCGCAAGGGAAAGTGTCCATCTGCTGCAAATCACAGTAATAGGGCCCTCAGCCATAGCTTGAAGTCAGTGTCCTAGCAGTGGGAGTGCAGTCTGCTCAGTGACTGCTTCCAGCCAGTTTCCCACATTCTTTTTCACTTTATTAGTAAACACTCAGATCTGTGGAGCACTGGATTAGTCTGTTGCACATTGAAGAAGACAGCTGTAGAACTAGGGAGCCTCATGGATGTTGGGTACGTGGAATTTTTTTGGCTGCTCAAAATGTATTTCAACAACTTCTATTTTAAATCAGGACCTCTCTAGATAGAGCAAAAGCAAGTTGCTTATCCTCTCCTCAGAAATGTGTTTGACATTTGGACAACAAAAGGAATAAACACGGTTTTAAAATAAATTATGAATTTCCACAGTTTTGTCATGGAAAAATATTTCAATTGTTAATCAATCAGTTTTAATTTATTTTACAGGCTTTTCTTTTTATTATTTATTCCAGTTATTTCAGGTTACAAATTATGTGTACATTGGTGAAAGTGCATGAAATTCAATTTTAATCTTAATCTGAGAAGATATTTAGTTTTGATAGTAATTTCATGGGATTTTAAAGAATGTTCTTGAGCTCAATTCATTGCCTGTTTTTGAATTGTCTGTCTTCTAATTAGTGTTAAGATGCAAAAGTTGTGTTTAAACTGAATTTTTCATAGATACCATTGAAATACCAAGAGTGTGTATCAAGTGAACGATAACTAACAAACTATGCATCTGATTAAACTTCTTGTTTTGTTCTGCTTGTTTTACATGTTGCTTTTTCATAACAGTGAGTAAAATGTACAATTAGAGAACGATTAGAATCAATCTATCCTGGTAGTGAAAGTAGGTTAGTGAAAAATGCTTATGTATGTGGAAGGAAAAGAATGTATCCTCCAAGTAAATTCGCTATAATTATTTAAAATAAAGCCATATTGAGTAGGAAAGCATTGCTAACCATCTTGTTTGTTTCCTTTTCAAGAACTGCCAGTATAATACCGCTGGGGAAAAATGTGAGCTCTGTAAAGATGGTTATTTTGGAGATGCCACTCAAGGTTCCTGTCGGATATGTCCTTGCCCATATACAAACAGGTACTGTAAAATATTGTCAGAAGCCAAGGAGAGGGTAAAGGGTGGGGGGAGGGAGGGAAGAAAAAAATCCTGCTAATATGATAAGATAAGGATATTTCCTTATTTCCATATATCATCCAACACAGTGGGGCATCAGACCCACTTGAGATGTTGGTCCAGAAGTAACTTAGTGTTCCCTGTCATGGCATTGCCAGTTTTAATAAGCTGAATATTCCAATTCTGATTCAGTTGCTGAAACACAAAGACATGCTGCTGTGACCTGGAAGATCACCAGGCACTTGTGGTGTTGCCTATTTACAACAACATGAGTAACTTCTTAGTAGTGAGTAAGGCAAGGTGGAAGCATTTTCCATTACTAAGCATATCTAGAATCTTTTTTTTAATGGAATGCAAAGTGTAAGTTATCTTTAATCTCATGTTGAACGCCGTCTAGGTAGGAGATATGTGGCAGCGATGAAAGAAGCCTTTTTGATGAATTCAGAAAATTAAGATACAGAAGATAGAAAACACACACCAGGTAGCCATAAGTAATAGATCTATGCTAGCAGACAATAGTCAGCTTTTTTGTTTATCAGAGAACTCTTCAGTACATCTGTTTTTGACATCATTGGCCTCTTCTGCAGGTGCTTGCCTGAGGCTGAAAGAACATATTTTCACTCATCTTTTGGCTTAAGAGTGTTGAAATATCTGAAGAGGCCATGAAACCTGCAATAACTTTATAGATGCACATTAAAGTGATAAAGAACATTTATTATGTAAAAAATGCACTCCACCTGGAATTACTGCAGTTGCTTTATGCAACTGTTAGTAAGTTAAAAAATGAAAGTAGCAAACGTGCCTTATCCCCTCTTCATCTCCTGCCTTCTCCTTACAAACACTGGCCAAGTAGTTGTTTTCCTCAAGAAAAATTTGAATCTAATCAAGTCTTCCAGAAAGAACAGAAGAACAGATAGAAATTTTCATGTTATCAGAAATACTCCCCAAATTGGTGTGCAACTCCATTCTGCCTAAGTATAAAAAAAAAAGAAGAAAAATGCTATTAGATACATAAAAGTAACCTCTAATTTTTCAATCCATTAAAAAAAGCAAAAAAGTCTATCTGAACAGGAAGAAACTTTGTTCAGCACAGGGTATTGATTCTTGCCTGGTAAGATAAAATAGGTGCGTAGAGTTGTTTTATTTTACAACACCATTATTAAGGTTTACTTTAGGCATTGCTTTGGGTAGTGAGCTATAATACCCAGCTCAGAGGGCCAGGAAATCATTGGTTTTTGGTCCAGGGGTAGAATTTCAAGGAAACATAGGAAAGAATTCAAAGAAATAGTCAAATCAATTTATTTGGAGAAATGTCTTCAAACATGAAGAGGAGGCATTTAGACTGAATATGAGGAAAAAGGTTTTTTTATGGTAAGAGTAGGGAAATACTGGAATGGGTTACCCTGTGACTTGGTGGGTGCCCCATCCCTGAAGACATTAAAGGTCAGGCTGGATGAGACTCCATTCTAGCTGTAGGTGTCCCTGTTCATTGCAGGAGAGTTGGACTGGATGACCATTAAAGCCTTTTCCAACACAAATGATTCTATGATTCTGTGATGTACTGATGATTTAATTAGCTGATGGAATGAAAAACATTTAATCACAAAAACATTTATTTTTAGCCTCTGGACTGTAAAATCTGTTTGTGCTTTCACAAAAATATTTTGGTTTCTTCTCACAGGTTTGCAACTGGCTGTGTGGCAAATGGTGAAGAAATTCAGTGTCTCTGCAAAGAAGGCTATACTGGAGTTCGTTGTGAACGGTAAGTGACTTCATTCTCAAGACCAATAAAAGGAGATCTGCATTATATATCGTTGTATGAATGTACGTAATATGAAAACACTTAAGGAATATATATATATGTACGAACAGCTTCTATAGTGTGGTCCTGTTGTGTAATTGTAGGTATAACCCAACACTCCCTTAAGAAAACCATTCTCCAAAGACTGTTTAGTGAATACACAATTTTTACCAAAAAGGGAAGTGTCAGCCTCTTGCTGAAGTGCCCTGAGTGTTGCCTTGTCTTCTGTCTGATTGTAACAGCTCCCACTTAATTTGTCCTTGTTACAATTGAAAACTATTTCCCATTTCTTCCAGCATACTTTATGGTACTTCAGTGTTCTTAATTTGTTACCAGTAGCAACTATGTAACACTTAACACCATACCCTTCACCCCAACCCATTTTGGTGCACTTCCCAGCTGCAGTGCACAAACACAATACCGAAGCCGTCTCTTTTGCTGGAATGCTACAACAGTTTGACAAAGCAGAAGAGGTCCAGCTATTATAGCAGGATTTTATATATACGGCATGTACAGCAGTTTATAGCAGGAAGAGGAAACAATTCTAGCGAGTTTCAAGTCTAAGAGGATTTTCAGCATAACAGAGTTGTCTGATCTGGAAACTTGAGGCCAGTGAGTCCTGATGTCTCTCCTGGAGACAATACCACCAGTAGCACATTATCTTGTACTTCAAGACTGTTACGTTTGACATCTAAACTGTAGGTTATAAATTTTCTCTTCCAGATCTAGCCATAACTCAGCTCCTTATCATGGTCTCTTGATTTACATGTTACTTACTCCTCTTGATCTTACAGCAGAGATACTTTGAGGAATACTAGCTAGCAAGACAATACATTTAACCCATAATATATTCAGGGAGCACTCACACAGACTGCTTTGCTGACAGATGGCAAAAGGAAATATCACCCAAGAGATGGGTGGTAACATTCAGTACCACTGATGTTTGAAAACTCAATGCATATTTGCAGTATGACTCTAGATGATATTTGATTTCTGGTGGGATCACAGATCAAAATGGTGTTGTTATCCCAGTTAGGTATTGTAAAATTCTCTCATTATGTACGTATCTATGTGCATTGTATTTTTACACATGAGATGAATTATTCTTATATGAGTATTGTGGGAGTTTTTTATTTTTAGAAAAATTTCTGCAGTACTAGGAAAGAGATTTTTAACATATGGCAGTGGATACTGAAAAGCAAAAATACCTTCCTTTTGTGTAAGTCAAGATGTGAAATCAAAGTTCCTGACAGTTTCTTCAAGAGAAAGGCTTGTTTATTTTTGTCCAATGAAAGTATATTTGACAAAAGTGGGTTCAAACATTTAATGAGGAAAAAAAATTGTCCCTCTTTATCTAGCTGTGCTCCAGGATATTTTGGAAATCCACAAAAATATGGAGGCTACTGTCAGAAATGTAATTGTAACAACAATGGACAGCTGGCTAGCTGCGACCACCTGACTGGAGGTATGTAAGGGTCTATGGATGTGGAAGGTAATGTTGATTTCTCTCAGAGAAGCAAAGAGGGAAGGTAATTAAGTTGAATAGAAAAAGAGACCTCAACATAGAATAAATGTAAATCGTTTTTAACAAAACAGAAGATTTCCTAAAACATAAAAGCAGAGCAACATACGGCTGGAAACTGCAGCATAGGAAGTTCAGCACAAATGTGCACAAGAACTTCTTTGCAGTGAGGTGACGGAGCACTGGAACAGGCTGCCCAGGGAGGTGGTGGAGTCTCCTTCTCTGGAGATGTTCAAGACCTGCCTGGATGCCTACCTGTGCGACCTGCTGTAGGGAACCTGCTTTGGCAGGGGGGTTGGACTTGATGATCTCTGGAGGTCCCTTCCAACCCCTACGATTCTGTGATTCTGTGACATAAGGATTGTTCTGAGTCATTGAGTTCATCCTTGTAAACCATTTTATCATATATTTCCCTTTGTAAGTAATATTGATTGTATTTTGCTCTTAAGCTTCACAGTCACGTATTTGGATTCATTGGATTCCTCTTTTGACATACTCAAGTCATATCTTGCCAGTCTGTTATGAGCTTATGAAACAAATCTTACAAACACTCAATATGTCTTTTTAAAATGTATCTGGGACAGATTAGTGATATCTTCAGTCTGCATCAGACACTGCCATCTTAGGTATCCAAGCTAACTGTGTTAACAATGAGAGTCAAACATCTTACAAGGGCTGTTTTATAAATCCTGCTATACACCTGTATGCAATCCGAGACATCCTTGGTATTTCCAGTATCAGTCATATGTCACACTCCACTAATAATAAGCTCTTAAAAGAATATAATGCCAGAACTATATTATTATACCTGCTTTATAGATTACAGTTCTGAAGTAAAAGGCTCTATCCTGCATTCCTTAGACTGGCTTTACCTCAATTCACCTCAGTCTCCTTAGATAAGATACCGGTTTATATTTAGAAACACACAAGTCACTGCACTTGAAAAGAGCCTTGATTACCCCAAGTTTTTTTTCTCTTCAAAGTTATGCTTTTCTTTCCGCAGATGCATCTTTTCTTTCTGGTGTGTTTAGTGACATGCCAAACTAATAACTCTTCATGTTTGCACATTATTCATTTCTCTGCGCTACCGTTCATATTGCATTACAGTGACTTCAAGGATCACCTTCATTTTCTCTGGTCACAGAAATTAGGAAAACAGTGATGTGAACTGCTGTTGGCACCTGGTGCAATTTTTTCAATAGGTAGTTCTCATTTTATATTTCATTGAAGTAATAAATCTTCATTATTTTTATACTTCATGTGGAACAGATCCAAGCGGCGTTTGATGTTTTCTCATTCCATTCTTCTCGAAGCAAGAGTTTGCAAGGACAAACTGATCCGTAGGGCAAAATTCAACAAGCAAGTTTCTTTTCAGTTTGATCAGATGGAGACAGCCATCTCTTTCTCCACGTTAGCAATAAAACCCTCTGTGATCATCAGCACGGCAAGTTCTAGCAGGCTTCCATGTGCGTGATGTTCGGCACTTGGCCAGATCTATTTTATCATTTCTTGGCTGATGTTGTTTGTTCACGAGCTGTAATAATAGTTTTATTTAATTGGTACTTCATGGTGACAGCTGAAATGTATCTTGTGTAAGCCTGAATTATACAGCAGCAGAACCACATATGTATTTGCATTTAGAATAATCTCCTTCCTTCTCTTAAAAATACATTCTTTGTGACTTGTTTTCTTCTGGCAGCAGCACTCAGTATTCATACTGTTTAACTTTCTGATGACTTAATGTGAAAGTGCCAAAGGAAATGGCACAGAGAGGCATTTTGTTCCAGGCTGTTCCATGCTGCTGTTAAATTTCACATTCCATTTTATCACTGTATCCTCTCACAGTTAAAAGCTGTTGTTGACTCTTGGCAACAGCAGCCTATGCCAAGTGCATCCTTTTAATTCAGAGTAAAAGATGCGCACAGCCCTTCTTGTTTTCAACAGGATTTGGCAGTACAAGCAGTTTTGCAGTAGCCAGTAGGACCAGATCTGTAAAGGGAACTTGCACATCAAGACAGGGAGATTCCCATCCTATATAAAGGCACTTTTACAAGCCCTTTCCAATCCTGCCTCCTAGAAGTTAGAATCCTGGCTTATGATTGTACATACGCCTAGAAAGTATCAAGCTTCTTATAATGGGATTTGTAGAACAAGCAAGCCAAACAGTACACTGAACATATAATTGCTTGTGCTAGCCTGTTGGGAAGGGCAATGAGGGCAAAGTCTGTTGCGTACTACTTATATACCTATGGCCCAAGCACCATGCTTAAGTATAATGTATAGTGCCTCCTTCCATACATAGTCTGGATTTCATTCAAGGCTGATTAATCCCTTAAACAAGCAAGCTGGAACACATATGAAAGAAGGCTATAAATGTTTCTCAGCATCTAAAGGGTAAGACATCCTTGTGGGAATTAAGATTTGTGGTTTGGATGTGGATGTTAGAGTAGATAACTGTTTTGCACCTATGTCTTGTGTAAAATGCTTTAACTAATAGGCAGTATAGTCTTGGCTCCTGCCACAGTATTATTACTCTAGGCAAATTCTAGGAATGCACTCAGTGCAAATGATACGAGAGATTCTGCTTTTATAGAAGTTGCATATCTACAGGGTTACAGTCAGTTTCCTTTTGAAGGATAAAAAAGATGTTGATCTCATCAAAGCATAGGTAAGAGCTGAATTTTTCAGCATGCTCAAGCCTTATAGACATTCTAGATCTTGCATAATGGACATGGATTTATGAAAGGAGAGCGCAGTGTTTTTAGTATCTGCCAGATGAAAAAAATGAGGGTTAAAAATGCAGTCAGTAGTAGAAAGCTTTGGTAACTGGTGATTGTCTTTGGATTCCAGAATGTTTCAATAATGAACCAAAAGATGTGGATCCCAATGAAGACTGTGATTGTAAGTAACAACACAGAATTGCACAAAGATGTCTGCTGTTTTTGACTGCATGCCAGTGACTCTTTTAAGAGTGACAAAGTTGAAAAAGAGATGGTGGTGTTCTGTAATGAATGTTTTAAAAGCAAAGATTCAACCAAACAATTGGCCAAAAATGATGACAGAATTCAGGTAGCCAGATGTAGAGGGTGCCTTCTTTCTCTTCATTTCTGGATTTGGTACTCTCCTTAATACTGTGGGCTTTGTTGTTTCCTGCTTTATTTAGAGAGGGTGACAGGCATCAAATTTCTATTGCATCTCAGTTGTTACTGTGTTCAGTGAAAAGTTCTCTGCACAAAATGTATGTATTGTTTTCCTCTGCTTATGCTCCCTTTAGCTTGCGATAGCTGTGTAATTACATTGCTGAAGGATCTGAGCACAATAGGTGATGAACTTCAGCTGATTAAGTCCCAGCTGCAAAATGTTCGTGCTGATGCCAACACACTAGAGCAGATGAGACAGTTGGAAATACGCATCAAAGACTTAAAGGTACTGTGAAGTAAACTGAAAAGTTGATTCAGATAAAAACAGATAAGAGTTGAACATAGGAATTCATGCCATCTTTTTATGGGCTTGTAGGGAAACACACATTAACTTTGGATTTCAAATTCTGGACTCTGACAGCACTGGGTTTTCACCTATGGGAAGAGGGTTATTAGTTCAGCACAGAGCTCTCTAAGGGACCCAGCATCACACGGCCTGCTGGCCTTGGCAGTTATATCTCTGAGGTTTTCCTGTAGGTCTTTTCTTCTGGCACTTCATGCCTCTGTGTGACCAAGAAAATAAAACAACCCCGAATTCAAATTTCCAATACCAAAATTCATCCTTAAGGAATTTTCTTCAGTCAGAACAGTGGTTGCTGACCTCACAGAAGGAAAAGCCCAGTTTTTGGGCAACAGTTGATCAGGTTTGATAATCACTTGTTATCTCCTGTGTCTTGGTGATTCACTGGATTTTGTTTTTTGATTTCTTTTCAGGTCTTACTGAACAATTACCGTTCTGTTTTACATAACCAGGGCTTGAAGGCAGATGAATTGGAGAAAGAATTCAGTAAGCTAAATCATGATGTAAATGCTCTCCAGGAAAAGGTAGGTGATTGACATTAAATTAAACATGTGCACCTCTTGACTATATATTATTAACTAAATATCTCCACATATTTTTGAATTATTTTTTTTTTCCTTTGCTAGGCTGAAATGAACTATAAAGCAGCTGAGATACTCTTAAATAATTTTGGACAAACTCATCAAAAAGGAAAGGATTTGGTTTCAAGAATACAAATAGTTGTCAATAATATACAAGGTAAAAATAGTAATAATAGGTTTTGTTTCATTAGTTCATTAAAACAATATTCTTAATTAAGCATGGGAGTAGTTTGGATTTTTTTGTTTGTTTGTTTTTTAAGAAATGACAAGTTAGACCTAACTGCAGAATTCACTCTTATTATTAAGAATCTAATACATTATGCTAACTTAGGAGCCTGCCTTCCCTTTTGAGTGAATAGGTACAAAGAAACTTTACCAGTGGGAAATCTAAGGCACTTAATTGACAATCCTAACTTCAGCTTTATTTCCATCTCTGTTGCTATTATAGGCTTTCCTAAATTAGAAGCTTAACATAATTGCTGAATTTGGTCATTCAGGAAAAAACTTCATGGCTGATGTTGTCTTGGTAACACGGATACTTTTTAGCTTAGTGCAGTTAGTGCAAAATCCTTTCTGATCTACTTCATTAAAGGATTCAGGAATAGGCATGTCTTTTTGGAAAAGAGACCAGCCCGTCATTTGAATGTTCTGCATGGTGCATTCTCTGTTTGAATTTGATATTGCTTTTTTTTTTTTTTTTTTAAATTCAGTGCTCTTGGAACAAATAGCTGGTACGAACTCAGAAGGTAACAATTTGCCCTCGGGTGATGCTGCCAAAGAACTGGCTGAAGCTCAAAGAATGATGAGAGAGATGCGAAATCGCAACTTTGGCCAACTGCAAACAGATGCAGAGAAGGAGAGAACAGAAGCTCGGCTGTGTAAGGGCTTGTTCTTTAAGCTTCGTGCTCTCTAGAAAGATCAATTTTAAACCTGAAGCATTGCTGGCTGTTTGCGATGAAGAATACAGAGAGAGACAATTTGCAGTGTATTGCTGGGACTTGTAGCAGTGAGCCAAAATGAAAGCAGTAGTTCTGGAGGAGATATAAAGGCTTTCTTACTTTGTTAGTAATAAACTGATTTGAGATGGGGAAGAAACCCAGTAGAGCCCTCTAATAATAAAATGAATCTCAGTAAAGATGTGGCCAATTATACATAGTTAGCCAGTGCTTCTGTGCATTATAATATATATGATACAGCATATGAGGTTGTTACAGAGAAATCACACTTGTAATTTAACAACAGATGTTAAGAAGCTCTTAGAGTAGTACATGGGTCAGATCGTACAAGGAAGGTTGGGCTAGTTTTATGTTTTCTGTTTTCTGTTCTCTCGTTAACTAGTTGTAGTCCATTTTATGTTCTCCATATGTAGTTGGCTGGGACATTCATAAACCTTATATTAATAACAGAGAGGTCAGCACAGTCACAGGCTTATCTCCTGACAAGCACTGTAGTTGAGAAATGTGAAAGACGTGATTGATATTAATTTCCCCTAACTCTGAACTTTGATACCTTCCCATCAGTAACTATTCTGTATCCTAACATGTAGGCATTGAAATGGACGCTCTTGAAAGTGTGATTCATTTGATCTATTTTATGTTTCTGCTTTCTGTGAAACATGCCTGAATCTGAGCTGATTACAGAGGAAGCTTTGATGTCTAGCTCAAATGTAGACGTCTACACTGCAGGTGAAATTGGTGATGAAACAATTCAGTATTTGCAGAAGATTAACTTCATCCTTATTTAATTTAGAAATAGCCAAATAAACACTGATCTGTGCTCTGTGTCTGCAGCAGCAAATTTGTGGGCAAATTTAATCCAGTGAGATGCTGAATAGTATCTCTGCTACAGTAACACCGGATCTAGTGCTGCAAAGGATGTTCTGTAATTTCTGCAACCCTTAGGTTTTTTTTAACCCTATATGTCAGACCTTTCTAAAGGTGGTTTGTTCCAGTTCCCTTCTTCTCTGAACAAAGCTTTTCTTTCTGGTCCCGATAATTCAGTACTGGCACGTGTTAAGAATGAACTGCAGAAGTACCACCAAGAAAATCATGGACTTGTTAAAATTATGAGGGATTCATTGAATGAATATGAATCCAAACTTAATGATCTTCGTGAAGCTCTGAATGAAGCAACAGGACAAACCAAACAAGCTGAGAACTTAAACAGAGAAAATGGAGTTCTATTGGAAGACATTAAGGTACTACTGGGGTTTGAGAGAATAAAGTTAAGTTTCAGGAGATAAAACTACTTTTTATTGCCACATTTGACTGTGCAAAGCCAAGTAACACTAATTCTTTAGACTATTTTCCCAAGATCTCTTTTTATCTTTTGATGTATGCATGTATGACCAGGTATAAATGTAGTCTGCTCCCACTTGCGACCTTTTGATGTAATGAGAACAGGGTGATAAGGATGCATTTCTGATGACCATTATTCTTTAGTTGCCACTGCTTTTGCTTCCTATTGTAGATCAAATTGCTGGTTCTGATACACATCCCATAGTAAGTTTCTTGATGTAATTGGCTACAAAAGCTGTAAAGGATGAGGAAAATGTGTCCAATACTGTTATTTGAGATTAATAGTCCACAGAACTGCTTTTGAAGTCTGATGAGAAATGTGACAATGCTTCCATTCCTGAACTCTACTTGATTTCTTTCAAGCTGATAGTAAAAGAGAGATGAGTGTGCTTCAGGATGCATTCTTTTCAGCAAATTGTATTTTTGCTGAAGTGTCGCTGTTTTGTAACACTCATGTCTAGCCAGTTTGCTAACACTGCTCGAGCAAAATAATTTCTATGTTCAACTGTTCCTTAAATGTTGAACTGCACCTTTATATGCATGGAATATACAATGCATGTGTTGGCTGAGTGTGCACAGTTGTCTGAAAAGATGTATGCATCTGTTCATGTCATAAATCTGCTGCTACACTTCTCTGTTAGAGAGAGACTTTTTACAATGACAGAAACACAACTGAGGAGAGTTTAATATCCTTACCTGCAAATAGCTCTTGTCTAGTTGTGTGTAATGCTGTGCCATTACCCTAGAGCTACTCTGTAAATTGTCACAATTACTGTTCTAGACCAAGGACTTCCATTTGTTTTCCCATCAAGAAAGTAAAACGGGGAGGGTTCACGCCTCCTTTTTAGTGACATCCACAGATGAAGGGATGACCTGAAGATCTTATTTCTGCCTTTCAGAGAGCAGAAAAGATCAGATTTGTCACTTGGGAGGTGTATTTAGAGATTCCAGGTTTGCAAGGACAAACCCTTAAATGGTCTTCCCTGACTGTTGATCTAGGCTGACACATACTACTTCTACCTCGTCTGAGCAATAACAACTGAACTACTGTGGTCTCTTGCTCAGCTGTCTTGGTGAGCTATGTGCTATACCACTGCAAACTCCCAAGTTCTGTCACTATTCTAATCCATGGATTAGATCCTAGACACTGCAGATAAACACAGCAGTAGCATCTTTGGGAAAAAAACCTCTGTTATGCTCTAGGTGATTTGTGTGTCCTGATGTACTCACAGATGTGATTTTCCTGCTTCTTAATTATAACCCAATCATCCGATATTCAACCATTTATTTTTCCCCAGAAACGAATCGATGAGACAAATGAACAACAGAACAGCATCTTGGATATTTTGAGCTCTGCCCAGACTTCCCTGACACAAGCTGACAGTATGCTTGGATTACTGCTGAAGAGCAAAGAGGTATTGTTAACCTGTTCAGGTTAAGATTTAAAAAATCCAATACTTTGCTGATACTTTAATATGTAGCTGAGCTCAGTGGCGAGGACATAAGCCTTGTATATTAAAAAAAAACCAACAAAATAAAAAACCAGCAGTGATCTCAGCACATTCTATATGGAGAATCCCTGCCTGCATAAATGTTTGGAAGAGCAGTTAAGGGTTGTTATGTGTGTCTGAGGTAGACCCTGAGCTGTGGATATCAGAAATTTGAGAGAATGTGCTTGAGAAATACCAGAAGTGATTGTGCTGTTCCTGTATTTCTTTCTAGGCAATTGCTTCCACCTGGACAATATGCTAGGCCTCTGACTTAGAACAGCAGTTTTTGTGCTTCTGTATCCATTGTATTAAAAAGATAATGTAATGACTAGCAGTTGTTTCCAACAAATTCCAGAGTATGGGAAGGGTTATTTTTCTCTTTAGTCTTTTCAGGGGTGAGACTTACATACCACTGATGGTGATAAATTTATTTTTTTCTTTATAAATGTGTAGGAATATGAAAGCCTGTCTGCTCAGCTTGATGGAGCACGGAAGGATATGAATGGAAAGCTCACGAATAGCTCCTTATCAGCAAGCAAAGAACCTTTGGTGGTGAGGGCTGAGGAACATGCCAAATCTTTGCAAGAGTTGGCAAAACAACTGGAAGAGTATGTTACTGTTCCTGTAAATGAGACAATTCTGTACACAGTGTTCACAGTTGCAAAGCTTTGTGTGTAACTTCACTTGCTTTAATGACCATTTGCAAAGTTAGGAAAAAAAAATCATTTTTTTCTGCTTCTGCAGAGATGTTTTCTTTTCATCCCAAACCCGAGTCATCTTGTACTTTTCCTAATCACAGGAAATACAGCTCCATTTTACTGTACTAACTATTTATTAACAAGAGAGATTGTCCTCAGGTAGAGAGCAGATAAGTATATTTTTTTATGATGTTAATTCCTGTATCTGCAGTCAGGGATGCCTTTATGATGTCATTGAATTGGGGTAAATATCTGTAAGATATGCCTTTTTAGATTTACTGAGGAAAATAATCCTGTAGTTTTCTCATCCTCCAAGGAATCTTCTGGAAAGGCAATATGAGGAAAAAAAAAAAAAAAGAGAAATCTAATATGAATCTGTTATTTCTCCTTTACTTGTACTTTATGCTGGAAATACGAATGAGGTTTTGGAGGCCTTTCACAGTATATCAGGACAAAATGAAAGAAAGTAAAATCCTAATTTTCTTTTTTCTGTGCAAGTTGTTTGCATTTTGTCATCACACCAATTAGAATTGTCTGTTGTTTCCGACTCGAGTTCATGCACTGTTTCTTTGGCAAAAACACAAGTGATCTTGAAGCTGTTCCACTGTGTGTGTCATCTACCACTTCTGTAGAGTGCTGGAGCAGCCTGAGATCATCTGGAAGCCACTGTTCTCTAAACTCCTCTGAGCTGACCTGTATTTGGGAAGCTTCAATGAAGGAGGCTTATTGGCCTTGTGCCCTGGGGAATATTCCCCATCCAAATCAGTTAAAGACTGTTTGGAGGCCTGCAGTCGTATTTTTCCAAGTACTTGAACTCTTCCAAGTTCTGAAGAATCATTTTGTATATTGAGATTTTCTACTTTTAATCAAAGTTCTAAATGAAAAATGTTTCCTGTATTAGCATTAATTAGAAAATACTTGGTTCAGGTCTCTTCTCATAGTCCACAGTCTTTGCAGAAGGGTGCATTTTTTCACTCTTTTCCCCACAGAATAAAGAACAATGCCAGGAAGGATGAGCTGGTAGGCTGTGCTGTGGAAGCTTCTACTGCCTATGACAATATTATTAATGCCATCAAAGCTGCAGAGGAAGCAGCCAACAAAGCTGGGAGTGCAGCTGACTCAGCTTTGTCGGTAAGTACCTACAAGCAGCTAAAATGATGGTACAATAAGTGTTGTTTGTTTGCTTGCTTGTTTTGTTTTTTTACTCTCTGAGAAGCACCAAAATTGAAGTCCTCTGTGTCTTGGTATGTTGTATTGATTTGTGGCCATTATTTGGGGAATCTGCTATTCTTCACATTCATGTATTTGCCTTGCTTCAGCAGAATTCAGACTTATTTCTGCCTTTCTGATGAGCCTGTCCATCTGAATGCTTCTTGTCCATTTCAGTGCAAAATAGAGTGATGAATGAGGCAAACCCAGTGATCACTGAGAGCTCTTTCAGCTATTTTCTTTTACTTTGCACTAGTAATATCCATAAGCTCTTCAGCAGAGGATTAGCATGTAACAGCTAATTGGTTTTTAAGGTATTATTCTTTGTATAAAATCACTGTCCTTCTATAGCTGTTTTTATAAAACTGGATTGGGCTTTCTCTTTTACTTTTTGAATGTCAGAATAATTATTAAAGCAGTCTTACAATCCTATGCTTCTATGACCAGACTGTGAAGAGAGAAGACCTATCAGGAAAAGCTGCAAAGTTGAAAGCTGAGAGCAGTACGCTCTTGAATCAAGCACAGGATACTGAAAGGACATTGAAAGGTACTGAGAAATAAAGTGAGAATAGAAACGTTATCATAGACTCACAGAATCATTTAGGTTGGAAAAGACCTCTAAGATCACCAGGTCCAACCATCAACATGACACTGGTAATTCTACCATTAAATCACATCCCGAAGTACCACATCTGCATATCTTTTAAATACCTCCAGCGTGATGGGTCAACATCAGAAACTTTCATTGAATCACAAATCTTCACAGTTCCACAAAGCTCTGTAGCATGTATTTTATCAGAAGAGGATAGTTCCATTACTGCGGGACACATCGTGATGGTTATTTCTAAAATAAAAAGACAAGAAAGTGAATTTCACACCTTTACTGTGCTATCTATATTCCTTTGCAGCACTCAGGCCCAGCAAATCCTTAGACCTGCACAAATGTTTTACAGTGCATTCAAGCCACACAACTCAGCCAACAGAGAGGTGATATTTCTGTATAATGTTCATAAAGAACCTTCACTGTTTTGCAGCTATTGGTCCAACCCTCGAAGATATAAAGCAAAGACTTGGAGTCACTGATGGAAAGAAGAACACACTACAGATTGATCTTGTTACTCTTCAAAATAATCTTAATGGGATAAACAGAGGTCAGTTACTTACTCATCACTTCTCTTTTGCCTCTTTCACCAGTTACTGTAAGAATCTACACATGCATTTTTGTGCCTTTCAGATGACATTGACAGCATCATCACCAGTGCAAAGAACATGGTAAAAAGTGCCAAGGACGTGACAACTAATGTACTGGATGAACTGCTCCCAATTCAGGAAGATGTGGAAAAACTGAAGGGTACCTATGGAAGCACGCAGAATGCTGGCTTCAACAAAGCATTGACAGAAGCAAACAATTCAGGTTGGTGTTGTTTTCTATTGTGGATTCTTGCTATCTGCTTAGTCTCTGCTAATCATCTAAAAGTTGGCTGTCTAATCTAAGCCAGTATTGTGAACTTCTTCCACTGCCAGTCAGAAGGAGCAAGCACTGCAGAAGGAGAATTAGTCTGTGTTAAAAGGTAATATCATGGCTCATTTCAGAAGACTTGGAGGCCTGTTATCAGTGGTGTACCTAGAGGTCCATACTGGTTCCAACACTGCTTAACAGGAATGACCTGAATGGTGGGGTAAAATGTACCCTCAATAATTTTACCAATGACACAAAACTGGGAGGAGTAGCATTACTCCACAATGCCAGAGGAATTGTGCTGCCATCCAGAGGCAGTGGTTCTACAGGCTGGAGAAATGGGCTGACAGGATTTTCATGCTATTCAGAAAAAGGAAGAGGAAAGTCATGCACCTGGTGAGGAAGAACCCCAGGCACCAGGACATGCTGGGAGCCCCCCAGCTAGAAATCAGCTCTGCAGAAAAGGACCAGGGGATCCAGCAAGTTGGATGTGAGCCAGCAGTGTGTCCTTGAAGCAAAGAATTCTGTGACATGTGCCCTACTAGGTCAGACCAACAGTTCACTTATGCTGGTATTCTCCCTCCAACAGTGCAGAAGGACATGCTACTTGGGGGGATGCATGTAGACCTGGTTCCTCTCTGTTGTTCATTATCCTCATCAAAACAGTTCTGTTATCACCCTATTGCTTTTCAATTATGTATTCATACCCCATAATTCTATATGTTTTCCTCCTCCATTCTACCCTTAATGATGTGGATTTTTTCCCATTACAGTAAAAAAACTGACAAACCAACTTCCAGATCTGTTCAGCAAGATTGAGAGTATCAACCAACAGCTAATGCCAATAAGCAATATCTCTGAGAACGTAAACCGCATAAGAGAGCTGATTCAGCAGGCAAGAGATGCTGCAAATAAGGTCTGTCTTGGACACTGCAATCATGCTTGTTCTTAGTGTTTTGGACACTGCAGTGCTTTTGTTCCTCTTTATAAATCATTTTGTTAAAACATTTGTGAAGGATCAGACATAAATTTCATTTAATAGCATAACCCAGCAGTTAAATTTAGTATGCTGATGAGAAGTGTAATTCATACATAAGAATGGCTGGATGCAATAGCATCCAGTTTCATCCTTCTCATACAGTCTAATTTTCCAGTTCAATTTTCAGATCTTATTTATTCAAGAACCATTTTTCTTCCAGTTACAACAGGGTAACTTTGGCAGCAAGGGGCAGAGTCAATTCTGCAGTCTTAGAGGCAGGGATCTCTACCCATTTGTGGCCACTGGAACGCTGGCATTTCCAGAAAACGTGCAGCCTTGTGCCTTTGTATCTCCATCTGCCTTGACATTTTAGGCATCAGCTATAGGCATCTCGCTCTTTCTCCATTTAAGCAACTGTGGCAGTTATAGTATCAATGGATGGCATGGCCTCAGATGACAGTAGAAACATTGCTGAGGTAAACACGAATAACATGCAGTATATGAGAAGAATTTGTGACTGTAATGTAAGTAGCAGTAATAGGATATGTATTTATTATTATCAGAAGTGCATTACAATTTCTAACAGACAGTCAAGTCCAGAAAAGTGAAGCACTGAGATATGTATGTAGACATGTAAATAATTCATAGGCTTGCTCTTTGGAGCCACAAGGCACATCCTGTCCATTACATGTAGTGAAAGTAACGATTATTTGACAGTAGTGAGGTTAAGGCTGGTTAGTGACTGGAGTAAAAAAAAAAAAAAAAAAAAAAGTGCTGTGTTAAGTTTTGAAAACACAGAATATGGCATTATCCATTCTGTTTCCTAGTTATGTTGTTTGGTATGATCAGAGTCTAAATCTTTAGTGACTGGTAGTAGGTAGGTTACTTAACGATTGAATAATGAAATAAGTAGAAGCCGTAGTAATAGATTCTTCTGAAGTATTGAATTTTGTTTTTCTTAACAGGTTGCTATTCCTATGAGGTTCAATGGCAGCTCTGGTGTAGAGGTTCGACCTCCAAGCAACCTTGAAGATTTGAAAGCCTATACTTCACTTACTTTTTTTCTCCAAAGACCTCAGAAAAGATTAGATGCCCCCCAGAGGGCATCAAATAAGTTTGTCTTGTACCTGGGCAATAAAGATGTAGGTATATTCTAAAATGTAATTTGATTCTTAGAACAGGCAACATGCTTTAAGGAACAGGTGGGAGAAAATTTGTTTTGACTGAAGTTCATAGCCACTGATAACCTTTTTTTAATAATTGCCATCATGTGGTGGAATAAGTATTTTGTGAAGAATAGTTCATTCCTCCACTGGCAAGCCAACTTACTGAGTGATTGACTGCTCAACTCTTTGATATTTTGCTGTTAATTTATTTTGCTGGAATTTATTTCTCAGTCATAAATATCATCATACAGTCTTGTCAGAACTATCAGCGTTTGCAGCAGTCAGCACAAACAACGTGACCCTACTCTCACTTCTTTGTCTCTTACTGTAGCACACATGACTGTGAATTTCTCTTCTGGTTACGGTAAAAGGGTCAGTTCCCCTGCAGCTCTTAATTTCTCTTCTGAATATGCAGAATAATACAGAGTTGCTTATGCATTCATGCTTGCTCAGGAACCATCATTTTAAAAATATCCTGCAAAGAGGTTCCTAACAACGTGTTTTCAATTCTTGTTTGCAATTGTTTCTCTAGTGAGTCTCATTCACATACAGAAAGCTGATAAAAGTAGTTATGCTATATAGACTCTCACCTTTTTATCCCCTCATAAAAAGGATGCCCTATCCAGAGAAGGGCAACAAAGCTGTGAGGGGTCTGGAGCACAAGTTTCATGAGGAGTGGCTGGAGGAACTGGAATTATTCAGTCTGGAGAACAGGAGGCTCGGAGGGAGACCTTATTGCTCTCTACAACTGCCTGAAAGGAGGTTGTGGTGTGATAGGAGTAGGCCTCTTCTCCCTCATAACTAGTGGTAGAACTAGAGGGAATGGCCTCAAGTTGTTCCAGATGAAGTTCAGGTTGGACATTAGGAAAAATTTCTTCTCTGGAACAGGCTGCCAAGGGTGGTGGTTGAGACACCATCTCTGGAGGCTTTCAAGAAATGTTAAATGTGATACTAAGGAAAATGGTTTAGTGAGAAAATATTGGTGGTAAGTGGGTGGTTGGACTGTGGATGATCTTGGAGGTCTTCTCCATTCTATGATTCCATGGTTCTAAGTCAACTTAATAGGAACGGAGTGTTGACTGAGTGCTGTTCCTAGCACCTATTTTATTTCATGAATGTTGCATCTAAATTTTTAGTAAATGCCATGGCTTTAGCTGAAAGATGTTTTAGAATTGAGAACTACCTTAACTTTTACAGCTTTTTATGTTACAAACATAAAAAGCCATGCATGTCTCTTCAATTAATTTATAACCGTACTCTCCAAATATTCTCTCCGAATAATCATACTCAGTGCAATGCATCATTCATTAAATTAGCACAACACATCTGACTACAATTTAGAATAGAAGAAAATAATTAAAACAGAAGGGACCCAAAAGGATCATTGAGTCCAACTGCCTGAACACTTCAGGGCTAACCAGAAGTTAAAGCATATTATTAAGGACATTATCCAAATACCACTTGAACACAAACAGGCATGGGGCATCACCAGCCTTGTGAGAAAGCATGTTACAGTGTTTGTCCGTCCTCATAGTAAATACTTTTTTTTATTCCTATTGTCGAGTCTGAATGTTCCCTGGCACAGCTTTGTGCCATTTCCACACATCCTATCATTGCTTACCAGTGACAAAAGACTCATAGAATCATAGATTGGTACCTTCTTGTCCATTTCCCCTCCTTGGGAATTCATAGAGAGCAGTGAACTAACCTGCTGGTCTCTTTTTCTCCAGACTATTTATTATTCCCAGAAAAAAACTGGTAAACTTAATAAAATTCTCATCATTGGGTGGGTGAATTGCTTTGTGACTCATTCACAGTATGATGGTGTCCCTGAGGAAGGGATGTGTATTCTAACTTCATTAACATTAGTCATTAATGAATGATTATTTGCTTTGCTGTTCTTAGGCTTCTAAAGGATATATTGGTATGGCAGTAAAAGATGGTCATCTCACTTGTGTCTATAACCTGGGAGATCGTGAAGCAGAAGTTGTTGTGGAACCTCTTGTGATGGAAAGTGACACTGAGGAAGCCATTATGGATCAAGTTAAGCTTGAAAGGTATAAGATCCATAGCACGCAACAGTCTTTTCCAAAACTTGCTTGGAATGTCTTTTATTAGTTTGATGTGATATTTTGCCTGTTTGTTTTGGTTTTAGAATTTACCAGTATGTGAAGCTGAATTACATCAAAGCAGCAACATCAACTTCTCCGGTGTTTGAAAAGCCTTTGACTGCAAACAGTGGAGATGGAAACACTCTCCTAAATCTTGATCCAAGCACTGTTGTCTTCTATGTTGGAGGATACCCACCAGATTTTAGGGTACAGAGTCATTCAGTCTTTAAAAGAGATTTCCGTGTTAATCATTCTGTTACTCCTACAAGTAAAAGTTAGAATTAGCAGTCTTTCAAAGACTATAAAAGTTTGATCATGCCAGCAGAAATAGGGTGAGTGCAAAGAAATGCTACTTCTTGCCTGGCTTGTAGCTTGCTGGAACTCAAAGAAGGGAATATGATGGGTTTTATTCTTCCAAGGACACCACAAAACCTGCCAGCCTGCTGAGCACTCTCCCCAGTCCACTCGTACGATTCTGCTTTAAATTGTGCTGCACTGCTCCTGGGGTGCTATCAGATGGTTTGGTTATTATGTCCAGAGATACAATAATACAATAATTTCTTCAAATTAGAATGACACATTCTGTGTCTTAGTAATACTTGCAATAAGTCCTAGCAGTCACATTTCAACGTAAAATTTTGTCAGCTGATGTTGACAGCATGTTTTTTAATAACACTGTTTTTCAGCCTCCACGTAAGCTAGACTATCCTCATTATGAAGGCTGCATTGAATTGGACAACTTAAATGAGAATGTTATCAGCCTTTACAACTTCAAGAGGACATTTAATCTCAATACCACTGAAGTGCAACCCTGCAGAAGGTACGATACTGAGGTAGACAGATTGATGGTTCTGTGACTTTATCAGATTTTTGTGTCTTTTAACATCCAGAAGCATAAGAACTGCAGTTGAATGACTTTTTTTTTTTTCTCTAAGTCTTAGTCATTAGTACATATCATAGAGGAAATCATCAGAGGTGGTGTTATTCACATCTACAGCAATCTCAGTCCATTGGCTAACAATTTGAATGATAAAATAAATCACTAATTATTTTAAAATCAGGTTTTTCCTCTCTAAAGATCATATGTAAAATTAATAGAAGCCAGTGGAAAGTTTTTTTTTCTTTGCTTGGATTAACAGCTATCCCTGTTAGTGGCTCTGCACTAAATGCTTTAAATTCAGTTTTTTTAAATGTTAATGACAGTAAGTCCATGTGGTAGTAGATTTTACTCTTGTATATTCATGCCTGTGACACTGAATTATTACAGGTACAAAGAAGAGTCTGACCAAAGCTATTTTGAAGGCACTGGTTATGCCAGCGTCACATCTAAAGAAACAAATGCAAATGTACCAATACGCTACGAGCAGACAATTCAGACTACTGCAGATGAAGGCATAGTGTTTTTTGCTGCAAATGAGGTAATGAAATGCTTCTGTGTTGTTTAGAGGTCTAGGAAGTTTTTTTAAAAGTTCACTGACATGAGAACACATTAGATTTACTTACATGTAGGTTGATCTGATAGTAAAGCTTCCATGGAAACTACAACAGCTACGAAGAGCACAATAACACTATTTAGTAGAGAAAATTCTCAGCTATGAAACACTATTTTTTAACATGCGCTGATGCCAGCAATGAACAAGAATCTGCGTGCTGTGCTCATAAAAATCTGGACCAGTGGAGGTGACCCGCTGTTTTACAACTGCTACGGCAGCATTGTTGCTAGGAAAATGTTGCCCATGCAGTCCATTTTGCATCTGCCTGAACAGGTTGAAGTCAGAAGGTGCCAAATCAGGACTATGTGGTGGGTGTGGTAGGACAGTCCAGCCAAGCTTGGCAATGTGCTCCACAGTCTTCAAACTGGTATGAGGCCTGGTGTTATCGTGTTGCAGGAGAAAGGTTGTCATCTTCTCTGGCGTGACTTTGGAGGTGTGAACCTTCATCTTAGTCAGCCTTGCAATGAAGCAGAGTTGATGTCTGGGTATTAGGAAATCCAGAAGGATCATCACATTCCTCTGATGTTGTGGGCCATCATCATAAAATAGGAGGCATTACTTTCAGAGCAGCCATAGTAACTTCCATAAAGTTGCTTGAAACTGTTATCTTTGTTCAAATGGCAGATGAGTAGATTCTGCTGGGTGTTCAATTGCTGCTGAATACTGGCTTTGTCAAAGCTAACTGAAAATTGTTCTAAGTAGCTCTTCTGATAGGCAGTGCACAGGATTTGGACTTGTGTGACAGAGGGAGGGTGCAACTTGAATCAAACCAGTCTCAAAATACTGAAATCCTCCAGAAGTGCGAATGCTTTTTTTCTCAAGTCTAAACTAAGGGAGAACATAGGAAGTGACATGGTGACACCACGGTCACTTATACCTGTGAAAATTGCTGAAGAACAATAGCAATTCTGTTCGTGTAATACTATTATAGGAATGATAACTATCACTGTGATATCATTTAGTAATATCTCCATTCTGTTGAAGTAAAAAGAAAATCAGTAAACATTCTGAAATGAGAAAAAGTCCTCTGGAGATTTGACAGCTACATCTCGAACTGATACTAGATCTGTTTCTAAGATTTTGTTAAGCATTCAAAATTAGTCTTCTAAGTTTTACTGTTCTTGCTTTTATGCTTTTAACCAGAATAAGATTGAATCAGCTAGACAGCTTTGTTACAATAATTCATGTGACACTGACATAAATATGAAATGTTGAACAGTTTGTGCTTTTTCTTGCTGCAGGATCAGTACATCAGTGTGCTTATTAAAAATGGCCATCCGGTTTTTAGATACAAAATTGACTCTGAGCTTCCAAAAGAAATAGAAAACAATGTGACTTTAAATGATGGGACGTATAAACAAGTAAGTCATTTTAAACAACTGATTGATTGCTGTTTGTGGGAATATAAATTTTCTTGAAGCTAAGCCTTCTGTTGTAAAGATTTGTTGTGAAGTTTTTGTGTTGAGGATTAGTTTGGATGCAAGCCTTCACTATTTGCTGTTATGTTTATCTGTGAGTAAATTTAGTTTTAATAAAGCAGTTTCCAAAGGATCAAGCCCTTTGTGACAGAACATTGTTTTATGGGAAGAGATCTGTGATCATTGTACATACCAACATTATTTTAAAACTTAAGTTCATGCTTTTTACCATATAAAGATGTATTTCTTCAGAGGTTACTGAACAGTAACAGAGGTTACTTCTTCGAAGTCTTTGTGTTGTTGCTGACTTATTTAGCTTCAGTCTGGCTGTTTTGTAGAGCTTCTAACATGAAATCCTAAAGACACTGTTAAAATCTCTGATTGCTATTTTGATTTGTTCTCCCTCTTCCCCTTCTTACATTTCCAACTAAGTAGTGTAGGCTGCAGTGACTGCTGGAAGAAGTGTTTATGCTGCTCTGGGCTAAGTTGCCTCCAGTCAGCTGACTGATCCAGCCTTTGCAGGAGGCAGCAGCTCCTGAATCTTCAACTGCAAATGGAAGGCGATGTTTGAACGTTTAGGAACTTTGTCCTAAAAATTCACCTCATCTAAGTACAATAAACTTCACCTCTTATTTGAATAGTCAAGCATTTTGTGTAGGTATTTGCTTTGACTAAGTTCCTAAATTTTGCCAAGTACCTTTGAACTAGTGCTGCTATTCTGGTTCAGAGCATTAGTAAACAAGAGGAGGAAAAAAAAAAATTGTGTCCTACTCTTTAAATGTAATCTGCTATATCTTGCTCTTCTAATGTAATATGCTTAATAATTTTGTTCCTGGTAAGTGAAGTAATTCTCATTGTTCACGTATTTCAGATTAGAATATTGATTGCCCGAAATAAGAATATTGTTTATGTCAGCTCTGATATTACGGCCAACGTTAAAGTCTTTGATTTCACTAAATATTATCTCGGTGGCATTCCGTCTTCTCTAAGGAAACGGTGAGTAGCTATAAAAAGACTGTAGCACTTTGTGTGGTAAGTCCATCTAAACTCTTTCCTTAGGCAAGTTCTTTCGTGCTCTGTATTATGTATCACAATCATAATCTGTGATTTTTGGCTAATGGTGAGTTTGAGTGTGCCCTGTGGAGCAGGTTTGATCAGTATGAAGTATGTTTGTGCAATACAGATTGCTCGTTTTATTTTTCTACTTCTTATATTGCCAGCATTTACAGGTTGTTATACTGGTATCTGTTTTGAAATAGCAGTCTACTGAACTCTTTTTCCTCCCACTCCCTGAAACCAGCTTTGATATAACCGTACCTCCGTTCCGAGGCTGTATGAAGAATGTGAAAAACCCAAAAACTGCATCTGTTGTTTTTGATGAGACTGTTGGTGTCAGCAAGAAATGTTCAGATGACTGGAAGGTAAATAAAAGCATTCTTTTAAAATGTTTGGTAAAGTTCATAGATTCTGGTTTGTCTGTAAAACCTGGGCATTGTCTTGTTCAAATCAAAAACTGCCCTTGGTTATCATGTGATGGCCAAGAAAGAAGCCAACGGTAGTGTGAAGATACAAAGAGAAAGGAATCTGCACTCTTGCTGTGATAGTTTGCTCCAGTACACAGTCCAATCTCTTAATACTGTATACTACTAAGAATTCATATTTACATTTGTTGGCCTCCAGTTGCTGTTACTGATTGGGCCAGAGTATGTAGTCACTTAATACTACTCAGGATCTTTCTTCTCGCTGAGGTGCTTATGCGTTATAATTAAGTCACATCTCAATCTTTCTCCTTGACAGAGCTAAGCTTCCACTGCAATCTCACATAAAAAAAGCAATTGCTCCACTTGTGTGTGTTGTGAAATCTCCTGTACACCCACGAGTTTTGCTACATTCCTTTTAAAATGAGACAGTGTGGTTTTTTCAGTGTTGTCTTACCCAGTGCTGCATGGAGAAATGAAAATCAACGTGTCTGCTTCTACCTATTGCTCCTTGTGTGGTTTCTTTCTCCAATGGCACTGTCCCGACATTTTCATTCCCTCTGTGGAATCTAAACAATCACCATACAGGTTATTTCTCTGTGCGGAAGATCTAGCCTTATTTCTCTTTCTGAGTCTGTGTATCTCCTGTATATTAACAAGCATTTTGTTAAAAAAAGGCCCAGTTATGATCTGTCCTATGACTTGCATAGCCTCAGATACTAGATCATCTACATAGCTCAATGTGTACAAACCATTCCTCCAGCTGCTCACTTTGGCATTCTCAAATGTGAAAACTTAAAAAAAAATAATAAAAAAAAAAAAAAAAAAAAGCTTCCCTGTCAATGCAGACAGTAGAGATGAACGATGTGTTATGCTCAGCTGCCCTCATCTCCCTATAGAGCTTTGCACATCAGAGCTAATGATACTGGAACGCATTCAGTCTGTCTGCTCTATACTGGAATGTTGTGCTTGCAGTTTGCCTTGCATGTAGTTCAGGTGGGAGCTGCTTGCAGTTATGTCGAGTAGTGCTTTTGTTGTCCTCCATTGCCAGTTCTTCAGATTGGAAGGAAAAACACTGAAATTGTTCTCTCTTTCAGCTTGTCAGATCTGCAGCTTTTTCCAAAAAGGGCACACTGAGCCTGAGTGCAGCGAGTTTCCCATTTCCCAAAGATTTCCAAGTTGGCTTTGGCTTTCGAACAATGACATCGACTGGAACACTCTTAAGTTACAATCTATGGGTATGAAACATGTTCAGCTTAGAATGTGTTCATTTTTATTTCTGGATCAGTCACGTTTGTCTGTGACCATGTCAGTTTGTCATCACTACTAAGTTTTACATAGATTCCCATATTTTAAGGCAAGAAATAGCTAGTATAAACATCTCTAGATGCTGTCATCTTGCACGTCATAGGCTGGAGAAATTCATCCTAGCAATTTCTTCATTCATACAAAGCTAATTTCATGAGTAAATGATCCTTAACCTTGAGCATTCTGTATCACAGCACCCCCATCCCAATGAGGTGACTGTTGCCTAATACAGTTGGCTGGAAATATTCTGAGTAAAACTGGCCTTCTGCCCATGCAAAAATGATACTGTGATCAAATATGCAGAGGAAAAGGCTGATTTGGGCCATGATCTGTCAAAATGCAGGAAGGTTCAAGCAGAAACGCCATTCTTGCTGGCTGAAAAAGAAGACATGGAAGTACACACTTGATATTTAAGAAAAGGAAAACTGAGTCCTCTGGTATTGTAAAAACAATTCAAACAAGCATTTTAAATAACTGGTTACTTAAAAGAGATTTTAAAATGTGAACTATATTCGTCATAAAGAACTGGGAGTAAAATCTGGTACTAGATGACTGTGAAATGCAGTTTTTGTCTGAGAAAATAGAGACCACAGAGAACTTTATTAATGATGATATAATCGAGAACTAAAGGCATCTGCATTTAAGGATTATTTTGTGTAATTCTTTTTTAGCCTAATATTCTTACCATCTACCTGAGCCCTGGCTTTGTAAATGCAAAGATAGGAGAGAATGAAATGAAAGTGAAGAAGGAGTATGAAGATGGGTCAATGCATTATGTGACAGTAACAAGAGAAGCTGACATGTGAGTCCAGTCCTTTATCTGAGTGTTTTATGTTGTAGTTGGAGAAAGATTAAAATGTTGTCTGACTTGTAATTAGGGTATACAGGAGCAGAGCATGCTGAAATAATGAAGCAAAAGGAGATTTTTGGAAAGTGAGTGTGCATATAAGTCCCTGTGATATTTCAGCTGACAATCTGAATTCAAAGTTGATCAATATGCATGTGTGATTTATTGAGTTTTGTCTACTTGTTAAACTGGAGCTTGGAAGCTCTTCCACTTCCCCATAGCCTTTACATATGCCACTGTAAGTTAGAGGTGCATCTAATATGGGCCCAGAGAAGAAGCTAATATTGTCTGTTTTTTCAGTTGTGATCTATTTCATAGGTATCAGAAAAGTCAGTTTACAGGAAAGCTCCTAAGTCTCATTGATTTCTGTGCCACACATAAAATGAAATAAGTGCTCGTTACAGAGGAAAGTTTTGAATAATTGTAACTTTGGATTATTACAAATTTCAACATTATCTGTAGTTGCTGCTGCTAATGCAATTTTGATACAAAGAACAAAGAACCATTTTGATACAAAGAACAAAATCTTATCCTGTATCTGTCAGTGAGAGTTTTCAAGAATTTCATTTGGATCAGGATTTCACTGTAGGACTGAAGGACTGAAGACAGTCCTTGCTCAATATCTACCACCAAAAAGCAGAGTAATTTCACATAAGTTAAATTCAGTATAAGTTTCTATGGAAAGTATCCCAAAAGTAAACAAATGAAGCTCTAGTGTATTTACAATGCAACGAGAAAACACATCAGTCAAATGTTTCTTTTTAAAAAATATATTTCATTAAAATTCATGGATGTTTTTCTTTAGGTTTCATGCTCATCTTTCTTTGCTTTTTTTTCAGAGTAAAACTGCTGGTTGATGATGATCTTGATTCAAAATCATTTGACTTTCTGAGGTCACAGACGTTCACTCAGCCTATAAGATTTGGTGGAGATGATTTTGAAGGTTGCATCTCAAATGTTTTTATAGAAAGGTATTTGGCTTGGTAGTCTTTCAGTTCCATACTTTTTTGTCTTGTGTTCCTTTTTAAATCACCTTTTTAAAGACGCTTTCTTTCTAAGTTGCTTTTCTTCTACATGTATGAAACCTTCATGAATGTTTAACTCTGCTGCCCCAGAGTATTTTCTAATCCAGACAGTATCAACTTGTAATTAAATCTGTTGCTCAGATGTTATGGAATTTTTGTCTGAAACAAGTTCAGGTTCTGCTCCCAGCTCTACCACTCTTCTCACAGAAAATGACAGGCAAGGAGTTTCACTGCATTTTCTCAATTGTAAAATGTTTTGTAATTTAATCATTGAGGATGCTGTATGTGACTTATAAAATGATAGCATTATTTAATAGTATTCTTTATCCACAAAGGAAATTGGTGTCGACAGTCTTTCTGATATTTTGGCTGTAGTACCAGAACTGCTTATTAAGTTGTGATGGGCCTCATGCTTTGACAGCTCTCATTACAATGTCTAATTTGCACAGGAGGGTAAATTACTGTTCCCTTTTTTTTTCCTTGATCTGCCTGGCTATGCACATACTAACGAGTAAAATTTCATTGTCTGATCCAGAAATCAAGACTGCTTTTATTTACGCTCATTTCTGTTTAAGTAGATATCTTTTAGTACAAAAGACTGTGTTTAAAAGAGATGAGAAGGAAGCATCATAATTTGGATTATTTTTTTGTTTTGTTTTTAAGCCTAAAGGAAATGGGCAGAAGTAGGACAAATGTGAATATTTTTTTGCAGTGTTGAATGTAAATTTTTCATCAAAAGATGAAAATTGGTATTTTAACATCAGGTCACTGGGAAATCCATTTTGTACAGAACACAGTTTTACAGTATGTAGTTGATTACGTTAGAGAAAAGGTAACCTATGTCACAGAACTTATCTCTTTCCTCACTCTAGGACAGGTCAGCTCCCTGAAGTTCAAAATCTCATGAATTTTACTGCAAAGACTGATGTATCCCTTGGAGCTTGCCACCAGTATGAGAACCTTGAACCAATGCTGTTGAAAGAATTAAAAAATCCACTCAGGTTTAGGATGCTCAAGGTATGCCTGTTATTATGTCATCTTCACTCTATGTTGATGCTGTGGCTCTGTCTGCACAGCCATGATTTATCGAGCCCAATATTACTGTTTGCCTTCCATCTCACTTCTGAATCAGGTTCTCTTTGTGTTGAAGTTCCACACAAAGTCTGTACTTGCTCAAGAATGAGAACAGCTTCTCTGTCATTTAGAGAAAGGCACTGACTGCCTCAGGTGGAAATTCTTGTGTAGATAGAATTTATTATTTTATGCTCACCCATAATAAATGTTTTTATTCTGCCTCCCAGGATGAAAAATACTTTGATCGTCTGACATATTCTAATGTACAGCATGACCAGCAAAACTACACTTTACTAACTCAGTTAAATATCAACAGTGAGGCGTATCTTCTTGGAAACACCCCCAACAGTTTTATATCCTACACGTTTTCTTCATCTGCACCTATGGACAGGTAATACAAATATTATCTCTTCATCTCCCAATACTTGAATCTTCAAAGCTGCTTGAATCTGTAAGTGCTAAAAGCCAGGATTCTTAGTCATGTTTCCACCTTTTGGCACAACAGAATAGTGATTCTAAAGGTTCAGGAAATTTTCTTTTTCCATACTTCCCCAAACTATGTAGACTGACTTGGTTATGGTGGGCAGCTATGGTGCATATTGATGCCGAGTTCTAAGCCTGAGTAAGTCAACTTTAATTCACGTTCAAAAGGCGGGCAATGCAGAACACTGTGATTCCACCCAAAATGTCTTCTGCAATTCACAAGTCGAGTTTTGCTGATGCTTTTCTGATGAACAGGGAGAATACAACACCTGACAAAATAGGCATACGTTTGAGTATGCTTACTTTCCACTACAGGTTACATTTTTCTGTGGATATACGAACGCGATCATCAAGAGGATTAATCATTTTTATGGAGGGAAAGTCTGAGAACTCTTACACGGCTCTCCACATTTCAAAAGGACGTTTTGTCTTTTCGCTTGGTTCTGGAAGAAGACGAATCAAAATCAAAACTAGTGTTAAATACAATGATGGACAATGGCATACTGTAAGTAGTATGACACAGAAACCACGTTAAACCGTGACCAGCAGTCATGGTAGGCACAGTCTGAATTTCTAAGTTATTAGGCAGAGACAAGGAAGAAAAAAGTGAAAGTGTTCCTTGTGGTGACCTGAAGTTCATTTGCCTCAAAGCTCATGTGACTGACAGGTCTCTGTTAGGAGAGAACTTGCAGAGACTGATGGTCACCGCATTATTTTCAGTTCAAATATTTCAACGTCTCCCATACAGATCACTAAGATGCAGAATACAGTGAGGTGTTTGGGTCAGGCAGAATTCTGATTTCAGTCACACACAGAATGAGTGTGGAGTGACTCCATTTGCAAGCCCCAGCAAGATGACCAGAATCTGAATCTCTAACAATCTGAATGGTTGACTTGCAAAATGCTCCTGGTTTTTAAATCATCTTGATATTCAATTGAAATATCTTATTTATCCTCTTCCATTTCTACTTTTGCTAGTTTCAGACTATCCTGAAAATATTCTCTCTATTTATACTGTGTATGATTCACTTTTTAAAGCACAGTTTTTCAGTTCCTGTTTGGTACACTAGCCCTAATGGCTTTCACTGGCATTGGGGTTTCTCATTCTATTATTTGTTGCACCCTTAAAAGGTGGTATGTGGCAGAGATGGGAAGAATATCCTCCTGGTTGTTGATGGTCTGAGGGCTCAGCATGGAAGATTAGGAAGATTAGCAAGAAATTCCACCACTGAAATTAAGCCACCAGTCTACCTGGGAGGGCCACCATTGCTGAAAAGACAGGTAAAGAGCTGATGCAGGCACCTCTACACACTCCCCAAGCTGTACTGATTACATGCACAAGTGTTAATATGAAGGATTTCCATGTTGAAAAGCTTTAGTATACATTTCCAAGCACTGACTGAGCACCTGAATATTAGTGTGAAATGTGTGTTGTTCCTTTTACTTTAAAAATTAGACAATTAGGACAAGCTAAAATAAACGGCCTCTTAGGAAACGTTGTGCTTGAGATCTTACAACTCCCGTTGTGTTGAAACATCATTAGGAAATATCTGTGCTGCAAGCAGGAGTTACATAAACTCAAATTTAGCTCTTACTGTAATGTTTAAAGCACTTTTAATTGTCAGGTGTCCTTTCACATCAGAGATGGGGTTTAGGTACCCTTAACGACAGATGGCTGTCTGTAGTCCAACAATACAAAAGATCTAATGGGTAGTCTTACTAAAAAGATGGTCATCATGCTTTGGTATTCACGTTTTGAAACATGGTTTCAGAATATACCAATGAAGAGTTTCAAGGGTTGCCTGAGAAATTTTAAGATGAATGGAAAAGTCATGAATGCACCTCAGCAAAAAAAGGATGTGCTTCCTTGCCTGGATGCTCCCATGGAGATGGGGATTCATTTCTTTAAGCAAGGAGGATACATTGCTGTTGGTAAGCTATGTAGAGATTATGATATATGGAATTATGCCTTAAATGTGTGTGTATGAGTGTAGAAGGATGTTTTCTGTATGTATTTTTATGATGATTTCCAGTTTTTCCTCTACCCACTCTTTGACTCTCCACAGGTAATTTGCAAATGGGCTTAGATTTTAGGATTGTATTTGCCATTCGTCCAAGGAGTTCAACAGGTGTACTCCTCCATTCTGGAACCAAGCCAGGCAATTACTTGACTATTTACATGAAAGAAGGAAAGGTAAGAACAAGCTGTGATTCCATTACAGCTGTATTACTCTCATTCAGCAGGGAGGAGTTCTGACCTTGAACTCTGGGCTTATGTATTACGTTTGTCTCCAGGTTTAACACTGAACAACTTCCCTAGAGTGGTTTAAAATCACGGCATAGAAAATTAAGCATTTAACCTGTCTCTATGCCTACACTACCAGATTCCATTGTGTGCACGCTAGCTCACACATGTTTTCTTCACATGTCAGCAGGAGGGCACAGTCTTCATTTTCTTAGGCTTTTCTTGATACTATATAATCTAGTGGGATCATACCCTATGTGAAAATTATCCATGTCTCCCAGGTTTGCTTGCAAGCTACTTCTCTAGCATCATAATGTTGATTTTTTGGTTTTGTTTTGTTTTGGCATTTTTTTTGTAATGTGATAGCCTCAGAATCTGAATTTTGGATCAGAAAACCATTGTGCTTGGTTCTGTAGGGACCTCAAATAAAAAGATGTCTCTGTTCAACAGAACACAAATGCACATAGAAGCAGGGGCACCAACAGTTGTGAAGCACTTGTGGATGAGATCAGACACTTTTTTCAGCAGTAACTTAGATTCGTGCTGGCTGTTAGCATGGACAGGATGCAGTAGGAAGTAAAAACAGGTCAATGGAGCACCATCAGAGGAACCTGGTAGAAAATAGATTTCAGCATATCAGCTACTTGGCCATTACCAAAAGAGAGGAAGATGTCGATAACAAATAGCCTTCCTACAGGGAATAAAGAGAAAGATGTGAGAAAACACGAGGAGATTCTTGTTGGAGATGTCATAGTAAGTAATCAGGCTGCAAGCTTCCTGAGTGAATTAATGTGAAGGTCCAGGGAAATATATTGCAGTGATTCTCTCTGGAGATGTGAAGTGTGTAGGTGACTGCTTTGGGAATTGAAAAGTAGGTGTAGAAGAAAAGACTTTGATGCAGAGAGATTATTTCAAAACCATTAAAACCATTTTGTAAGATGTATTTTTGCTTTTAAAACTTGTAGAATATTTGTTCCTGAGAAATTTCTGGAATACATATACAATGACTGACTCTTAAACTAGGTGAAACCTAGCCCTCCACAAGTTCAATAAATTACTGTATTTTTCTGTTCCTTTCTTTGTGGTAACTTAACCCAAAACTGTTTTACAGGTCATTGCTGCTGGAAACGGTAGAGCAGGAGAATTCCAGACATCAGTCACACCTCAGCAATCTCTGACTAATGGACAGTGGCATACAATCACAGGTACGTTGTATCACACCAGTTCTTCTGCAGCTTGGAAAGAAGGGGGGCACAGAGCGTTGCAGCCACAGATCTTAGTTAATCATTTCTTCTCTGCCTATTCTTAAAGCACTCTTAAGAACAATGTAAGTGTTTTGTGTTAATTCAAGGCTTTACATAGGAGGGCTTTTTTTTGGCTGTATTTAGCCCCAGAGTACCTAAATGTGTCAATCTGACTTTGAATTGAAATGAAATCTGTTTTTCCTACAAGTTAAATTTTTTCATGCTGGTTTAAAATAGTGTCCTAGCTGGTTGGTTCTTCAATAGAGCTGAGAAAGAGCTCTCATTTACTTGTTTTTTGTAGTCTCTCAGAAGGTGAACACTGTGCAGCTAGAAGTAGGCATGGAGAGTAACTACACCATTGGACATCCACCTTTCTCTCCTGAATATGTGCATCAGGCTCTCTACTTCGGCAAAATTCCAGGTAAATTATTGCTGCTTTGTTTTTTAATGTATCTACTGGCTTTTATTCCTTTCTGAAACAAAAGTTCTGTTCGTGCATTCAGTTTTATATCATTCTCCCTCTTTTGAGAGCTTCTCATTAGTTCATCTTTAAAATCCTTCTTGTTTTATTGACTTTATCCTTCTATCTCATTTTAGCAAACTTGGACTCTCATTGGCTTCCTGTCAGAGATCCATTTTTCGGCTGTCTTCGGAATATTAGCATCAATGGCAAACCTGTCTCCACCAAGAGAATTTCAGAGGTTCACGGGGCTGTGAGTTTGCGTGGGTGCCCGGCCACGTAACTTTGCTTGTGCATTCATCAGGTTGGGTCTGCTGAAGTACTGTGTGAATTCATATCTTGTGGGTTCCCCTTTTGCTGCTTGCTGTGTCACAGAGTAGTTGGTAAGAAAATGAATCCTTTGGATGTGGATTGTGCCAAAGCAAATTTGAAGTATCGGCTTTGATAAACTCTCTATTAAATGTCATTGATTTCCAGAGTAATCCATCGTGTCTTTGGAAACATATGCAGAAAAAGCAATTGTATATACCCTGCTGGGTCAAATTCTGCTCTCACCCACAACAGCATATAGTTGTGTGGAATTCCAGTGTCTTAATTTCAGGAATTTGCCTTAATGCTAAACTTGAGAGCAAATACGATCCGCCGATGTAAAGAAATTTATAAAAATATAAGTCTCTTTGGATTGATGAACAGAATTTTTATACAGAAATGTACATTAATGTTAAAAATAATAATATAAATGGAGTTTGAAGCACTTTAAGGAGTGAAACTCTGAGAGTTTGTTGAAATACTAGAAATTCTGGAACCAAATAAAAGTAGTATGTTCTTAAAGCCACCCATATTCTTGCCTGGTTATTTTAAATCAAGTATTTCTTCCTTTTTTCAGACACCTAAATCCAGCTTGCTTTGTACAAGTAATTCTGTAGCTTTAAGGATCTGGTTTGCCTAGATAAGCAGGAGTCCATCACTGTTGCTTCTTAGAATTGTGTCACCTAAAAACCTGAGAATTTTTTGTTGTAAGCTTCTTAGCCAGAAGTTTCTTCCATCGATTTTCCTTCTGATTAAATGAAGGCAAGTTAGATTATGAGCAGTAGTTGCACATGCTGCAATTCTCAAGTGTGAATTGCAGGATGAAAACAGCAGACTGTGTTCTTTGACATTCACATCTTTGCACCCAATCATGATCTGTGGTGGAGTGGGGGAACCCGGTTTCCATTTTTCTAAATACAGGGTTGGCCCAAATAAACTTGACAGGGCTTCTCCTTTCTCTGTCCTTGTACTTGTAGCTGCAGGTCTTTGGGGTGCGATGGCTGTCAAAAAGCTCTTCATGCAAAGTCCTGCAGTCCTTCTCTTCTACAGCAACTCCATGGTGCAGAGGGTTCTCAGCTGCAGAGCTACTCTGCTGGAATGGGATGGGGTGAAAGTGAGTGGGGTTGAGGTCTTTAAGCAAGCAGAGGAGTGGCACACAAGGGGAGACACCTTCTGTCTGGAGATGCTGCAGCACCACTTCTCCTCTGTGGCAGCCTGCCATGTGGAAAAGGAATACCCCACTGCCTGGAGGAGTTGCATTTGGAAATCATCTTATCAGAGAGCAACAACTGAATCTTTTCTATACCTGATGCCTTGAAGTAACCCCCTGCCTTTGAAGTACATTGTCAAATATTCAGATGACCGAAAGTGAGGAAATTTTCATTTTATTTGCTGGCCTTAGCTGGAACTGATAATTCTTATGAGAAGAAAGGGAGAACAGTTAATCAAGATATCCTCCAGTAACATTTCAATATCTCCTGCCCATCACACTGCTCTCTGAAGCAGGTTTTCCCTAGCCACAAAAAAAAAAAAAGCCTTTTCTCCTCTCCACACAGAAGAAGTGAGTACAGCAAAAATGTTTGCATCACAAACTTGGAGCCAGGCCTGGATTTCAATTCCCTTCCATTTGAATTTATTTTGTCAGAACTAGTTTTAATGCTGATAGAAAATAAATTTAAAATGTAAGAAGACCTCAGTAAATCTATGGTATAGTAACCAGTAAGTATCAATCTTCATACATTAACAACAAAGTTGGAAAGCCCCCCTAATTTTCAGGGTGGTTTGTTTTCTCTCCTCCATGATTAGTTCAGTTGTATTGTTTCTGAAGAGTTGGGCTGTCATAAATTGTTGACTCAATCACTAAAGGCCAGCCAGAGTTCTGAGCTTTGTACCTGATCATGGCCAGCTCTGTATCAGGCTGATACAGATCCCTTAGTAGAAAGAAACTGACTCAGAAGAGTCAGTGGATAATTTTTATGTGAGGAAGGAAGTTGTCCCATTTAGGTCAGTCTCATGAAGAATTCTCAAGAAATCCATGTGCACGCTGAGCTGCATTTCATGCATTTTCTGATCCGTGCTCAGAACATTCTGAGTTCACTTACATGTGAAATATCTTCTGAAAAATGAGAGATGAATTAAGTAGTATTTCAAGTAATTAACGGTGAGTGGAATTTCAGTTGTGAAGACATCTTTTGTTCCAGGTTCACCAGGAAAGATCTCTGGGAGAATAAACAGTTTGCCCAATGCACTGCAGACCGTAAGTGACCAAATATACTAAAATGGAATGTTAAGTGAATAAAAAGCAAAGCAAGCCTTGGGTAGACCTTCTGTCATGTTATTTTTATTCTTACAAATAGTATTTCCAAGGCTTTTGTCATTTGAGTATTGGCATTTGCTAGTTAGTTCCATATATTATTTACTTCTTTTGACTGTACCACTTCATATGGACCCATAGGTCTATCAATAACTCTATTATAATAAAAATAAATAAATCCCACGAGAGTTTTTCTTCTCATTTTTTATTCTTTAGTCATCTTTACTATTTGCAATTTGAGCCTTTAAGTAATGCTAATATTTTTAATTGCAAAAACTCTCAGCCTTGGCCATCCTTTCTAAGCCTGCATTATTACTCATCACCTGTATTCAAGGGTGCAGCGGTATTACAGCCTGAATTTTGTTTCTGTTGTTCACCTAAAAAATAATAAAAAAATTATTTACCAGTGTATGTTTGTTCCTCTTTCAATTCAAGCTTTTGAGGAAGGTTTTGAAAAGTTTTATGGGGAAATATGAAGTACGGTGCTCAGTGCACTGCAAGTACATAGCTGAATAGTTGGCACTGTGTTTAGGTTGACGTGATGACTATTTGAATAAAGTGGGCAGATTGCCTCTCTAGACTGAACTGCATTGGTTTTGCTATTGCTCTCTTACCTGCGTAAGAATCAAGGACAAAGGATTCCTCTCCAGTTGATTTGGATTAGATTCAATGGCAGTGTGTTACCTGAGGTGAATGACACCAAGTCCAGTGAGTTCCCATTAATTACAACTACAAAATGCAGCCAAATGATAATAGGAGCTGAAAGATAGTTAGCAGAGCTAACAGTGGGAATTGCAGGCAAACAAAATGTAGTAGGTCACAGGGCATTCTCAAAAGAAACATATAGTTACTGTAGGAAAAAAAAGTGTGTAAATACAAGGGAAATATAACTCTCTCACTGCTTATTAATGATATTATTACTTCTGGCTCTAACAGACAAAAGTATCCCAGTGAAACATCTTCAGAGACTGCTTGAAGACTATGCTGCTGCTGTGGAGCTTTCTTGCAAATGCAGAGCCCCCATGCTTTTACTTCAGTAGGAAGCAATGTGAGTTGCTCGTTCTGCTTTTGTAACCTTGTAAGCTTGTTAGGAAGAACTCCTTGGAGCTTTTCCTCATCTGGAGTCCCTGGGGAATTACTTGTTGGTTGGTTTGTTGTTTTTTCACCCCCTCTATTTCCTTTTTGCTCCTCATAAAACAGTGGTGTAGCCTGGAAAATGTGTTTTCACTAAGAAATCTGTAAATGCATTGTGACTTTGTAAATGAGCTCAGAGCTTTTTGCCTCTTACCGTTTTCTTTGTGGTTTCCTCATTTAAACAACTTCAACATCTTTCTCCAGTGATGTAAAGAAATTTAGGGCGCTCTGGCCCAGTCTTCTGTAGTTTTATCTTTGTTTTATCTTTCTGTTCCAAAAATATACCAAATGGATGTCCCTGGCAAACGGAAATGCTTTGTTACAGGAGGTAGTGCCATAATACTACAGTATAGCTGCACTTGGGGCATTAAGATTGCAAGATGTAAGCATAAACCTACTTTGTGCAGCTTACCCAGACATCTCAAAACAGCAAGAAGCTACTCGCTGCCAGGGTTGCACTAAGCATCCTCTCACTATAAAGAACTGAAGGCAGAATAACCAATGAATTTTGATTTCTCAGCCACATTTTGGGACCCTCTGTACCAATGAAATCAAGTTCTGACCTGTTTTCATACCATGCTGTCTCTCTTGTTTTGCAGCTGGTAGCATTCAAAGTATTTATTTTTTTAACACCCATCTACTGCTACTTTACATCTCAGCCAATTACTGTATTTTCCTACAGGTTCTGAATGGGAAGCGTTCTGTGAGATGTAGCTTCTTTGTGGGGATGTCACCTTCTCGTTGATAAAAATTGAGCACTATTACATGGGATGAAAAGACAGTTGGCATCCATGAGCTTCTGTCTCGGTTCAGTTATATTTAACTTGGAACAGCAATGGGTTTCTCAATTGTGCGTGAGCCCATGCCAAAGATTCCTGTCACAGAACTGTGTGCTGCTAAGAATGAATAATTGCATGCATGAGAATCTTAGTTCTTTATAAATTAACAGGGAAGACAGCTGTCACTATTGGAATTTAAGCCTGGAAAAAACTTTTCAGATCTAATTGTTGAGGCCTGAATTGATAACAAAGAGCAGTTTTAAAGTATACTGAAATAAATGGCTCTGTGTCCAGCTTTTGCAGACAGTTGCAATTAACACTGTGTTAATAGCATAACTATTATGTTATTCTAAACACGGTTGTGGGCAGCTGGCTGTGGGTGACTTGGCTTGAGCAGTCAATAGACCAGATGACCTCAACAGGTCCATTCCAAACTCAGCCCTTCTGTGATTCTGAGCCAAGTTCAGTATAAGGTACTTCTTTGTATAGAGGATTTACCTTGTGAAGTAATGACACCTGCCACAAATTTTATTCCTAGCCCCTTCTGATTACTTTCCAATGGGAATTGCTTTCTGGATACTAAATACCTGGAGGGTTAGCAGTATTAACTATCACCAATTCCTGGGGCTAAGGCAAAGCTTCCGAGGAACAGAACTTCGCTCAGAGCAAGGTGACAAGTATGTAAGAAAGTTCTATCTTTCTCTTTGCTACATTCAGTTAAATCAAAGGTAATGGCACGCCTCTGGAGACAGAGAAACTGAAGTAGAGAAGAAGTTAAAGGCACTCTGGGCAGTTCTCCAAGAAAACGTGTAGGCATGATCCGAAGTTCAGTGCCTTAATGGGAAGATGTAACCACTGCACAGGACTTTGGCTCATGCACCTTATTAAAACATGCATAAGGCTCTACATACAGTTTATAAAACTGTACTGAAACTTATTGGCAAGCTTTATAGAGAATTTTTATTGCAGATTAAATTGGTTATGCAATAACTGACAGGACAGAGGCTGCAGAAATCCTGACATAACACTTTTCTCCATAAATATGCATGAATGTAAACTTTTCACCAATACAGATGGTGTTCACAGCAGCATTAGGGATGGAAGTAGGGAGGCCAAGGAAATAAACTGTGAATGACAGGTTTTGGGGTGAGGGTGGGACTGCAGGGGAGTCCCAAAGAAACAGCCATGAGCCCATTCCTCTGAGCCTACGTGTCCTCAGGCTCTTCCCTGCTCCTTCACATCTGAAGAAGCTGCATTGGTCCCACTGTGCCTCAAAGAAATAAAAATCTTTCTGGGAAT